AATTTTAAAAAAATCAGTGCCCAGACTACTTTTATTTCTGTGCTTATCTGACTGTGCAGGTGGGAAGGATTTGGAACTGCTCTGAAGGAATTTGGGAATGTTTGGAAATGCAGACTAGAGAAGCTATCACATTCTTAATCAGCGGCAGAAGTGTGGATGTGAATGGAGGGGCTGTGATTAATGATGGGCTTGAGTTCATTTCCCTCCCCCACCCTTTATTCCTATACTTAGGTGTCTGCAGGATGCTTGCTGTCCTTCCTTCTGTGGCAGGAGCCCTGTGAGGACTGAGGAGAGCCAGGATCTTCATCTTTGTACCTGTGTGCTTAGCCCCTTCTGCTGCAGAGGACCAGTTGGTAAGGCCTTGGGAAAGGGTACGACCACCACAGTATGGCCAAGGTCACCTGTGAGCTTGCTGTGTTACATCTGTCTACCAATGAGAGGGTAGAGCAGCCCACCCAGCCTCATCCTGGAGGGAGGCAACCTTGGGGTTTGAATCCCTGTCTGAACCCTAGCCTATGCTCATCCTCTTCCACTGGGAGAGGGAGGTCTCCCATCCTGGGGTTGGGACAATAAATACAGGTTGCTGATATAGAGGCAACAAAATTTTATCTCCATCCTCATAGGGCCCCTGCTGGACCTACAAATTAGATTGACATATGATAGATTAATGGGAGAGAGAATTCATATCTGTTTACAGTAGATTTTACATAGTCTATCAGTCCAGATAAGGAACTGAAGACCTAAAGAAGCATTTAAAGCCCATTACTCATAGATGGAGTTGGACAGAGAACATAAATGCATAAGGTATTCAATATGACAGGCCTAGGGATGGAGACTCTCGCCATGGATCAAGCCCTGGAAGATAAGGGCTAGTTACTCAAGCCCATTGGAACTGAATTCTGTAGGCCTCAACTTCCTGTCCCAACTTCCTGACCATGATTAGATGTTGCTTTTATTTCTAATACTATTCACATGGGAATTATTATGGTCTGCTTTTAAGAACCAAGACAAAGGTCACAGTGATCTTGCACTTGAGACTTTTTCAAGGGTCTTTAACTTAAATAGTAAACATGCCAGGGTAGTATATTTTAACACTCTCTCCCTCCTCCCCCTCTCTCTATATGTGTGTGTGTATGTATATACACAGACACAGACACACGACACACACACATATATATATCTATCATCTATCTATATCTATATCTAATCTTTCTCTGGCTACCCTGGACTTTGATAAAGGAAGGGTGAAGCTATCACCCTCAGGGGTACCCTGAGTCTAGAATGGGGTCCCCAGAGGCCAGTGACTGGAATGTTCAGATTCTGGGAAGTGACTCCCTGAGCCCAAGTATCTGTGTAGGTTCTTACTCCTAAACATAAAATAATGTTTCTATTATTATTATTATTATTATCATCATCATCATCATTATTTGAGGTGCTGGGGATCAACTCCAGGGCATTGTAAAGACCAGGCAAGTGTCTAAGACTGAACTATTTTCTATATTAGGGTTTTTTTTGTTGTTGTTTGAGTTTGAGGCTGACCTTGATCCTGCCTTACCTTCTGAGTTCTGGGATTATAGGTGTGCAGCACCATGTTTGGCTTTTTTTAATTAAAAAATAAATCTGATGGTTAATTGCTCATATTCTCTTTTTAAGTTACTTTACTGTTATATATGTGATGTATAGAGGGATTAAAATCACATGAGTCATGTACTGAGTACATTTCCTTTCATACAGTGTTTTCCCTTCTGCCCATATTAAGTAGAAGGACTGTGTGTGTGTGTGTGTGTGTGTGTGTGTGTGTTGATATGGAGCTTGAACTCAGGGCCTAAGTGTTGTTCATTAGCATTTTCACTCCAAGCAGGCACTCTCCCACTTGAGCCATAGCACCAGTTCAGGCTTTTTGATTGTTAATTGAAGATAAGACTCTCATGGACTTTCCTGCCTGTGCCTACTTTGAATGGTGATTCTCAGATCTCAGACTCCTGAGTCAGTAGGATTACAGGTGTGAGCATCAGTGTGCAGCCTTAAGTAGAAATTTTGAGCTCTCAACCTGGGCTATCCATTTAATAGATCTGATGACTCCTAAAAATATTTATTTATTTTATTTATTTTTGTTGATCCGGGGCCTGGGCACTCTCCCTCAGCTCTTCAGCTCAAGGCTAGTGCTCTACCACTTGAGCCACAATACCACTTCCGGCTTTTTCTGCTTATATGGTGCTGAGGAATTGAACCCAGGGCCTCATGCGTGCAAGGCAAGCACTTTACCACTGAGCCACCTTCCCAGCCCCTAAAAATATTTATTTTTAAAGGAAATGTCAGACATGTGTCAGCTTGTTTGAGGAAAGCATTCTTCTTTAGTGATTTATCAGAGAAATGGAAGACAAGTTACAATTGCTCAATTTTTTTTTTTTTTTTTTGTTGGTCATGGAGCTTGAACTCTGGGCCTAGGTGCTGTCCCTCAGCTCTTCAGCTCAAGGCTAGTTAGTGCTCTACCACTTGACCCACAGAGCCATTTTCAGTTTTCTGAGTGGTTTATTGGAGATAAGAGTCTCATGGCCTTTTCTGCCCAGGCTGGCTTTGAACTGTGATCCTCAGATCTCAGCCTCCTGAGTAGCTAGGATTATAGGTGTGAGCCACCAGTGTCCAGCAGTGGCTCTTGGCTGAATTCTGGGCCTGGGCACTGTCCCTCCGCTCTTCAGCTCAAGGCTAGCACCCTACTGTTTGAGCCACAGCATTACTTCAGCTTTTTTCTGCATATGTGGTGCTGAGAAATCGAACCCAGAGCCTCATACATGCAAGGCAAGCACTCTACCACTGAGCCAACTTCCCAGCCCTGAGGCTCACTTTTAAACATTTTCTAAACATCTTCCCTCATAGCCCACTTTTAAACATTTTCTAAACATCTTTCCCCATAGCTGTACCAAGTTTAAGCCTGTGGTTGGAAGCTAAGGTTTGAACTATGTGTGTGTGTGTGTGTGTGTGTGTGTGTGTGTGGTGTGACAGTCTTGGGGCTTGAACTCAGGGCCTGGGCACTGTCCCTGGGCACTCTACCACTTGAGCCACAGCTCCACTTCTGGCTTTTTGGTGGTTAATTGGAGATAAGAATCTCATGGGCTTTTCCTACCCAGGCTGGTTTTAAACTGTGATCCTCAGATCTCAGCCTGATGTGCTGTTAAGATTACAGGTGTAAGCCACTAGCACCCAGTGGAGTTTGAACACATTTTAAAACAATGCTTGGAATTCCAGCTTTATGTTATTTTTTTTCACTTGTATTATGATGAGATGATATTAATATACTCTACTCTTGAAAGTAAATAATGAACGCAGCTCAGAATCTTTAGATTACTTAGAGATTGTCCTAGGAAGCTTAGAAAACTCAGGAGATGTTGAATATCAGTGTCACTGCCCAGTGGGGTGACCATATGTAAGGGATTTGAAACAGCCCTCTGGATGGCCCAGTCTTGTCCTGGTGAACTTGAGACCCTGCTCCAATGTTCACAGCAGCCGTAAAGTCTCTAGTTTCCTTCCTGAGAAAGCAAAAGGTGTCTTGGGGTTCTCTTGTGACTCATCAGACAAAATTTGTCAGAACTGAGCAAGCTTCTTGACCCTCATCATCTTCCAGTCTCTCCTGCCACTCATCAGGCTCTAGGGACAAGGACCCTTTGAAAAGGATGTGCGGTGGAGACAGAGAAAGCAGCACCCTGAGAACACTATGTGGTTCTTTCTAACCCTCCTCCCTTATCTCTCCTCCCCTTCTTCTTCTCTCTCCCCTATCCCTCTTCCTGCCCCTCCTCTCTTTCTTCTTCCTCTTTCTCCTCTCCCTCCTCTTCTTCTTCCCCTTCCTCCTCCTCTACCACCTCCTCCTTCTTCCTTCACCAGTCCTGGGGCTTGAACTCAGGGCAATACTGTCCCTGAGCTTTTTTTTTTTTTTTTGCTCAAAGTTAATGCTCTACCAACTGAACCTCAGCTCCACTTCCAGATATTTTTTGATGGCTAATTGGAAATAGAAGTCTCCCGGGCTGGGCTGGGAAGGTGGCTCAGTGGTAGAGTGCTTGCCTTTCATGCATGAGGCACTGGGTTCGATTCCTCAGCACCACATAAGCAAAAAATAAAAAAGTTGGAAGTGGCGCTGTGGCTCAAGAGTGGTAGAGCGCTAGCCTTGAGCTGAAGAGCTGAGGGACAGCACCCAGGCCCAGAGTTCAGGCCCCATGACTGAACCAAAAAAAAAAAAGTCTTCCGGGCTTTCCTCCTTAGGCTGGCTTCAAACTGTGATCCTCAGATCTCAGCCTCTTAAGTAGCTAGGATTATAGGCATGGGCCATGCCCCTGCAGGAAATGCCTTCTTTAGTTTTTGAATCCTTTCAAACACCCACATAAGTAGAGACCACAGTGTCCTGAGAGCCCTGAACCATTCTTAGCTTCTACTGTCGTCTGCTTGGCAAGGCCTTCCTTCCTTCTCACCTGCAATCTGTGGTCACAGCCAGGTGGCCAGTGGGATCATCCTGGTGTCAAACTTGAGGATATCCTTGTTGGTCTTCCTGTTTGTTCCTTATACCTTCCCCCGTTCCTCTGGATTACAGTGTCCACCCCTTTACAGTGCCCACCGCTTAGTGAACCCTCTCACTCTCATCATCTCAGGACCCAACCCCTAGGAGTATCACTCCTCCTGTGTGCCAGGGCTGGTGTGTCCAAGGTCATCTCTAGGCTTAGGTATGCCTAAGTCATTGTAGACACAGATTCATAGGACAGGGCAGCTGGTCAGCACGTATCCCAAGGATGCCTGGCTTCATAATTGGCCTTTGTATCTCCAGAGTGGTCTTGCCTTCTGCATAGGGTCTTGTCCTTGACCTTGCGCATAGAGTCTTGTCTGTTGCAGCCCTCACCCTTCTGCACATTGCCAACTGCCACCTGTGTTCTTCTTCTTCTGTAGAAGTCCAGCCAAATCCTGATTTCTTTGTGAGTAACAAGGAGGAAAGCCGGCCTCTATGGACTTGGGGCGGGATGGCCAAAGCTATGGAGTCACAGACGCCATATTTGCTGCATCCTCTAGAGAAGGTATCCCTTAACCTACACTGGGTTACTCTGTGTCCAGGGAAATTTGGCCTTTTCTCCTGAGAACAGAATGCTTGTACCCTGCCTTTGGATTTTAGCAGGATTTCATCAGGCATGCGTTTATACCCTGGGTGTTTATATGGCTGAAACAGGTTGTAGTTCTAAAAGTTTCATTCTGTGATGAGAAATTTGAATTTCATGCTAGAGCCCAGAAGGCATGATGAAGGCATGCCTTCAGGAAGCAAAAAAAGCTGAACCTCACCTCTACCTATGACTCAATACATTGGCAAGGTTGCAAGCAGCCTAAGCACCAAAACACCAGGGGTTTGGGCTTTGTTTGTACTGGGGCTTGAACTCAGGGCCCAGTGCTACTTAAGAGCCTTTTTCACTCACTTTGGCACTATCACTTGAGCCTCACCTCCATTTCTGGCTTTTTGGTGGTTAATTGGAGATAAGAGTCTCACAGACTTTTCTGTCCAGGCTGACTTTGAGCTCTTATCCTCAGATCTCAGCCTTCTGAGTAGCTAAGACTACAAGCACGAGCCACCAGCATCTGGTAACACTGTTTTTTTGTTGTTTTTTTTCCCCTAAGGTCTGGGCTTCTTGGAGGTCCATAAGTTTACATCAGAAAGGCCATGGTGGTGGGGTATTGAGCCTAGGGAAATGACAAGTATTCAGCCCTCAGGGTGGGAGGGAAGAAGGAGAGGGGTTGCTATGAGGAACAGGGCAAGAAAAGAGCAAAAGCTACCTGGAGTGGCCAGCTTTAAATAAGTTTGCACCTAGACCGCAAACAAACAAGCAAAACCAATCCAGAGTAGTATTCGTCTTTCACATATGTGTGGAGAAATGGAGGAAATTTCGGCCACGAGGAAGGCTGCACAGGGCAAAGCAGAGATGGCAAAACCTCCCCATTGGCTTTCCCTTACCCCAAGCTCTCAGCACATAACAAGCCCCTGTCACTGACTGGAGTCTGGCCTCCCCTCCCAGCAGCTCTCCAGCCATCATCCTCCCTCCAGGTGCCTGGCCTCACTGGCACGTGTCATTGTCACCTGTCTGGATGGGTCCTCCACCCTGTCTTCCCATAGCCACTATACAGTGGCCAAACAGATGCTGTGACAGCACTGGTCAGATGGAGCCACATCTGTCCACAACACTCCATCTCTTTCAGAACAAGAAAAGGTCCTGATCGGATCCTCTTAATGGTCACTAATTCTGAGGTCACGTCTGGTCCTTTTGGGGCCCGCAGGTCACTACAGTCCCATTGGCTTTGGTGACATTCTTCTAACGAGGCTGGGGTGTTCCATCCATTTCTGCTGCCTCTCACCTCTGTTCTGGGCACAGCTCCGAGTCTGAATTCCATTAGCGCAGTTAGAGTATCACATCTCAAAATGGCACAGCACAGCATCTGCCCTTCGTGCCCCTGTCCTTCCAAAAGCAAGCATTGCAGAACTGGCCTCTTCCTTGCTGCATTGTCTCTCAAACCCAGCACCCACGACACTACCATGGCCAGACACTACTTTGGGAATGAAGAATTTTACTTTCTCAAATGTGCCAGGTTTTCCTAAGCACTTCTCATTTATTTATTTTTTTCCTCTCCCCTTATAGAATAATTTGAAAACAAGTAGTAAAGCTGTGTTTGATGTTGTTACTAGAAAACCACCAGCTCTTCTGAACAGGTATGTCAACAAACCACAGCTCAGTCAGGTTTTGCTGAACCAGCAAATGACACAGGACTTAAGAAGAATCACAAAGTCAGAGTCAAGGTCTGTTTTGGGGTGGGGATGAGTTAGACACAGAGTCCCCATTCCTGATTTTTAAAATTAAAAAACAAAGTATTTTAAAGCAATGTGACCTCAGGAAGTGCATTGGTCTCAGCTGGGTGCAAATAGCAGATACCATAAGGATGTGTAGTTCATGGTGCATAGTATAGGGACTTCAAAACAACAGCAATCGTTGTTGGACCGTGAGGATATTATGCTTTGGAAAATAAGCCAGTCACAAAAATGCAATTACATGAGTAAGGTAATGAGTACATTTCCTATCGGGCATTGTTACCCCCTCCTTTGTTTTTCCCCTACCCTTCCTTCGCTCTCCACCTTCCCAACTCCTCCCTCACCACCCCCCCCAAGGTTGTAAAGTTTGTTTTCAACATAGTGTCTTGTATATCTCATTGTTATCATGGTTCAACTTGTATCCTTATTTCAGCATTTTGTTTTTTCCCTTCCACTCCCCAAATTAGAAAAATGTATATACAAGATGCAGGGCACTGGAAGCAAATACAGTGAAAACAAGGGTTATACCATGGGGGAAGAACATACAAAAGAAACAAGAAAATCACATAGTACATTATAAGTACATTAAAAACAACAGCAACAAAGATAAAAACCTCTTGTGTCCCTATCTTGGGGTTCATTTCACTTAGCATCATCTTATATGATCATACGTTCATAGCTTTTGACCTTATCTGCTTGTTCTAGATGTATACTAGTTATTGCAAATAACAGATTAAATTTTTTTTAATGTCATTTATTGTAAAGATGCTGTATACAGAGGGGTTACAGTTATATAAGTAGAGTAATGAGTACATTTCTTGTCAAGCATTGTTACCCCCTCCTTTGTTTTTCTCCTACCATCCCTTTCCTCCCTCACTCCTCTCCCCCTAAAATTTTTACGATTATTTGTGTGTGTGTGTGTGTGTGTGTGTGTGTGAGACACTGGGACTTGAACTCAGCCCCAGCTGTTATTCCACAGGACTGGCACTCTGAGCCATGCCTCCAGTTCTTTTTGCTGGCTAACTAGAGATAATAATCTTACAGATTTTTTTCTACTTGGGCTGGCTTCAAACCACAATCCTCAGTTTGCAACCTCCTGAGTAGTTAGGATTACAGGAGTGAGCCACATGCACTCAGCTGGCTTTTCCTTTGCTTGTATGTTTTTCTCTTTTTACAGTAATCAAAAGCCAAATGAGCCAGGTGCCAGCAGCATTGGGTGCCTGTCTCTTAAGTGTTCAGTGATGTGCTAGACGGGACCCAGTGGGGACCAGTGATTGAAGGCTTCCCCCCAGGTTTCTTGGGCCTTGCTTCCAGAGGGCTGGCCTGGCCAGGCTGCCCACACCCTCTCTCTTAGCCTACCTGGTGTTGTTGTCCCCACCCCTTCCTGAACCATCTTGAAATCTGAAGTCTCTACTTTTCTCCCACAGCTCCTTGGGCCTTCCCCCTGGCACTTCTTGCATCTCCTGCTGTCCTGCTTCTCCGTCCAGCCCTGAGAGGATCCATCCCCTTGTGCAGTGTCCTCCTGGGGCCAGCCCAGCACAAGGTCCTGATCATACTTACAGCAGCCCCGCGGTCTGTTGCTTTCCTGCGTTGGATACTCAGACACCTCTAATTCCTGGGTTCTGTGTTCATGTGGTTTCTGGAGAGGCCTTTTGTCTGCTGGTGGATTTTGGGGATACTTCTTGGGCTGAAATGAGGCTCTGCAACATGACCAAGACAATGATGGTAACTGCCTGCCACCAGTACAGGAAAGGTACAACACATACGAACGGCCTTCCTATGTAGTAGCTCATGTACATGTCCTGTTTGGGGCGTGGTCAACCCTTAACTATGCATATGCTTGCTTGCTTGCTTCCTTCCTTCCTTCCCCCTTTCTTTCTCTTTCTTTCTTTCTTTCATTCTTTCTTTCTTTCCTTTCCTTCTTTCCTTCCTTCCTTCCTTCCATCCTTCCTTCCTTCTTTCTTTCTTTCTTTCTTTCTTTCTTTCTTTCTTTCTTTCTTTCTTTCTTCCTTTCTCTTTCTGTTTTTCTAAGATTTAAGTTCAAAGTTTTGCCCTTGGTAGGCAAGTCCTTTTACCACTGGGCCATGCCTCCAGCCCTGTCTTTTGCTGGCTATTTTTGAGATAGTGCCTTAGTTCCTTCTAGGAGAGTGCCTGGGTGATATCTGCCTGTGTTGGACTCCTGTTGGTAGTAGCAAGACAAGCACACCACCACATCCAGCAATATGATTCACCAGAGATCATCTAACATTTAGGAACTAGGTTAGAGAATTGCTAAAGCCTTCCTCGTGCTGTGAGATTCTGTCAGTAATCTTATCATTAAGTCAACCTAAGCCTAATGCCTTAAACACAACCATGTGTTAAGTTCACAGTTCTGTTGGGAGTTCTTTGGATCTGGGCTGTTTTAGTGTGTTCATTCATAAACCTATAAACCAGCTGTTGGTCAGCCTGGTGGTTCTCCAGAGGAGCTTGTATAGGACAGTTCAGTAATGTGTCTTATTTTTCAGCAGGTCAGGCAAGCTACTTCATATGGTAGCAATGACAGGTCCCAAGACAAGCAAGAGGGGACAAACTCTGCTATACAATAACTTGATAAATCGATTGACCATTGACCACAAGATCATCAACTCAAAGATAAAGAAAGAATCCATCACAGTGTGAGGAGCCACAAAGACATCATAGTCATACATACATTCATACACACACACACATGTTTGAATTCATACACACACACACACACACACACACACACACACACAAACACATGTTTGAATTCATACACACACACACACACACACACACACACACAAACACATGTTTGAATTCAGGCCTAGCACTCAGCTTGCTTGCATAGCTGGTGCTCTACCACTTCAGCCATACTTCCAGCCCTGTTCTTTTTTTTGAGTGCCAGTACTAGGCTTGAACTCAGGACCTGGGCACTGTCCTTGAGCTTTTGTGCTCAAGACTAGTATTTTACTACTTGAGCCACAGCTCTACTTTTGGCTTCTTGGTGATTAATTGAGATAAGAGTCTCACTTTCCTGCCTGAAATGGTTTCAAACCATGATCTTCAGATCTCAGCCTCGTGTGTAGCTAGAATTACATGAGCCACCAATGCCCAAATGCTTTTTGTTGGTTATTTTGGAAACCGAATCTCATAGACTTTTCTTCCCCATTTGGCTTTGAATCATGATCCTCAGATCCCAAGTTCCTTATTATCTAAGATTATAGGATTGAGCCATTGGCATCTGGCTTATAGGTATATTTTAAAGATGAGGAAAAAAATGGTAATGGTTTAGGGTTTTTTTTGTTGTCGTTCTGCTCTAACCATTCTTTGATATATCTAATTTAGATATTTAAGTATGTTTTGCCTAGCCATGAGATGACCACTATCTATTTTCATACTGCAAATATTTCATACTGTAAGTATCAGCTGACAAGGCTGACTCTATTATTCTCAGGGCCAAGTAGAAAATAAAAATACACGACCCCTTGCTTAAAAATTTTATGAAGCTGAAGGAGTGTCTTAGCAATAGAGCACCTGCCTAGCAAGTGCAAGGTTCTGAATTCAAACCCCAGCACTGCAAAAAGGAAGAATTTCAACCCAGTAGAACATTAAACTATTTGTCAAGTATGGGGCTCAGTGTACTGGACTGGCACACTCCTAGAAAATGGTCCTGCTGGAAGGGAGATAAGAAAGATCCTTTATGATATCACTTCCCAGACTAGTTACCCATTTTGACCGTTAACTGTGATGCCTGTCTAAAAGTTCATCAAATGTCTCTTTTCTTTTTCCAGAAGGAGTCTATAAGCTCAAGGCTGTTCTTTGTGAGTTGTATGGTGTGGAAGTGGAGCTTGGGCCTTATTATGTGAAAACTGGCAGTGAGGCTATGTCAGTGTTCATGAATTCCAGCAGCATCCATCAGGGGGAGGTCCTTGTCTTTGCCAATTCCAACCTGAAGCAGAAAAGTAAGGCCCATGTCTGGACGCTGAACAATCAGACTTCAACCAGAAATGTAGACTGGGGGCTGGGAAGGTGGCTCAGTGATAGAGTGCTTGCCTTGCATGCATGAGGTCCTGGGTTTGATTCCTCGGCACCACATAAGCAGAAAAAGCCGGAAATGGGGCTTTTGACACTCAAGTGGTAGAATGCTAGCCTTCAGCTGAAGAGCTGAGGGACACCACCCAGGCCGAGTTCAGGCCCCACAACTGACCAAAAGAAAAAAAAAATAAAAAGAAATGTAGATTGAACTTCTCCCCCCCCCCCCCATACACATACATACACACACACTATTCAAGTTATCACAGTTCTGAATCCAATTGAGGTTCCATCATTTATTCTTTCCTCATGCAATAGTTACTGGAGAATAACGCTACAATGTAGATGGAATCATAAAGGTCCTGACCTCTGGGAATTGCTAATCAATGAAGGCATTAACATATCTGAATGAAAAATGGTAGACAGGTCAGCAAAGTACTCTGAAAAGGACCTAGACAGGGCCTGGGAGGTTTCAGAAGAGGGAGCTTATCGTAACTGAGGGGATAAAGACTATATGAGGCAGGAGTTGGCAGCCGTGATGAGCCATGTAGACGGGTACTGGGCGTGGGGGTGGGGCGCGCTGGAAGAGGGAGGGAGACATTAAGGGCAAATGACTAGACAGCCAAAGCCAGGGATTGTAGTGCGACAGGAACTTACATTCCCTCCTGTTTCCTCATGCTGTCCCCACACCTACCAGAGCAGGTATTCTATTTCTTTTCTGTTCCTTTCCTGTTGCCATTGTTTCTTGGTGCCATTACTCAATCTTGAACACAGGGCCTGGGTACTGTCTCTTAGCTATTATTGATCAATGGTGGTTCTCTACCGCTTGAGGCACAGCTCCACTTCTAGCTTTTTGATGGTTAGCTGGATAAGAGTCTCATAGACATTCCTGCCATTTTGTCTTTCAAGCTGTTTCTAAACAGCTTTGAACTACAATCCTTACTACAGTCTTAGTCTTCTAAGTAGTTAGGATTATAGGCATGAGCCACCAATACCCAGCTAAAGAAAAGTTTAATGAGAGGAATTCTGTGATAAAATATTTTCCCCCAGATCTGTCTTATCTCAGAGCCTAGGCTCCAAATTTTCAAAATGATTGGAATTTAAAGAAGGAAGTTAAAAATGGAAAATATTGACATAAGTGAATTAATTTCCTGGGTATATTTCTGTCTTTTCTTGTTTTAGGTACTATTGTAATACATCGTTTTTCATCCATCTCATCATACAATGTGTCCTTTATTTCTCTGTCCCAAGCTGGTGGCCGCCAGCCTTGGCCCAGTGTGACTGTTCGGTATGAGATGCAATGTATGTTTTAGTTCCAATTCTAGATTAAAAAGACCCCTCCCCCACCTTTACCTTGGCTGACATTACCAATGCTGTAGGCAGCACAGGTTCCACTGGCAGTTCTGCCTGAGATCCCACCCTTTGGTTCAGCAGGCCTGGTGTCCATCTGCAATTTTTTCTTCAGAAATCATAGGTTCTGAGGCTACCACACAGGGTGTGGGAAGGCAGAGGACAAACACATAGTCATCTGCAACTCCATCTTCTGTACCCTTCCAAGCATAATTTCCCAAGGGGATGCATTTTGCCTTGTAAGCTATTCCCAAAGGCTTTTGAACCCAGGCCCGCCCACTGCCCTGCCCTGCAACTGTTCCTTGGTCCAGCCCTGAGCTCACATCGGGAGGCTGTGACCCATGGCTTGGTCCTTGAGTCAGCGACAGTGAGGATGCTACTTTTCTGGATGGATGCCATTCCCTCAGTTGTTGACATCCCCCTCCCCCCTCTGTTGTAGCTGTCTCTGTCTACACAAATGGAACTGTGTTTGCTGCAGACACAGATATCACCTTTGTGGCTGTTATCAAGGAAACCATACCCCTGGAGTTTTCCTGGTATTTTGGAGATGATCCACCAGTGCTGACAACTTCCAGAAGTATTAGAAGAAGGCTCCACCTCCCTAAGTGGTCTGTAAACACAGTGGTCACGGTGGGCAGCCATGGTAGCATAGAGGGCACTCAGACTGAGCATTGTCTCACAGCTATCAGAATAGTTTTATGAGTGTCATATGATTGTATAATAAGCCACTAAATACTTCTTTGAACTAAGCTCAGGCCTAAGATATTTCAAGAGGGAAAGATTTGCTTCCTGTTAGTACATTCTAAGTGACAGGCTTTGAAGTCTGATGATCCTGGGTTCAAATCCCATCTCAGCCAGCAGTGTGCTCTGAGGCATCCTTTCCACAAAGGTGAGCAAGATGCTCACCCCCTGGTTGAAGAGGAGAGACTATCCTCAGGAGGTGAAAGTCACTGGGTACTTGCATAATTCCTACAAATTAACCCTCTACCCTCTGCCTTTCTATTGAAGATTCTCCTCAGCTCTGTGTTTTTATCTTTCCATGTGGCTTTCCTGCCCACATTGCTTTCCTCCTCCATCCTGCAGGTACCACGTGACAGTCAAGGCTTCCAGTGGGATGGACAGTGTGGTCTCAGAGCCACATCTCATCAGGGTGCAGAAGAGAATTGTGGCCAATCGGCTCATGTCTACCTCCTCAGCCTTGGTAAACACCAGTGTGGCCTTTGAGTGCAGAATCAACTTTGGCACAGATGTTGCCTATTGGTGGGACTTTGGGGATGGTATTGTCAGCTCAGGGAGCAGCTCCACCAGCCACATCTACAGCAGGTAAGTCATGTGGGATAGGCAACAGCTTGCTGCAGGAGGCAGCTAAGATCAGCTTCTCAAGTATTTACTCTTGGAAAACTGCTTTTTAGGTGATGTAGGTGACAGATAATAAATAGAGACAGATCAAACCTGGCTGTGGCTCTGGAGGAGCTTCCAGTTCAAGGGAGAAGCTCATTCCTGTAATCCTAGCTACTCAAGAGGCTGAGATCTGAGGATCATGGTTCAAAGCCAATATGTGCAGGAAAGTCCAGGAGGCTCTTATTTCCAATTAACCACCAAAAGTCTGGATGTGAAGCTGTGGCTCTAGTGGTAGAGCACTAGCCTTGAGCACAAAAGCTTAGGGACAGTGCCCAGGCCCTGAATTCAAGCCCTAAGACTGGCACCAGAAAAGAAAAAAGTGAGGTACCTGGGACAAATTATAAAGGTTTCAGCATCAGAAGGAAGAGTATGGATGCTTCCATTTATTTCAGTCATTATTGAGCACCCATTGTTTACCTGGAGTATTAGGAAGCTACAGGCATGTATCCTTTCACAATGGGATGTATGTGAGAAACATGATATTACTTGATTTGTTCATGTGCAAACACCACCCCTAGGTGGTGCAGCTCAACCATTTAATGTGGCCTGTTGATGTAATTTAGGTAAACCCAAGATACATGGGGCTATTGACACGTAACTAACCGATTTCACAGTAAACAGTAAAGGCGTATACTCTAAAATAACTAAGGAAAGCATAGCATACAGAATACAAACACCAACCACATAGCCATTTGTTATTGCTATCAAATATTGTGCAGATATATAATTCCTCTGTGTGTGTGTGTGTGTGTGTGTGTGTGTGTGTGTGTGTGTGTGTGTGTGTGTGTTCATACTGGGGTTTGAACCCAGGGCCTTATGCTCTAGCCTACCTTTCTTGCTGATGGCTGCTGCTTTGTCACTTGAATTACACTTCAAGTTCTTTTTTTTCCCCTGATAAATTGGAGATGAAAGTCTCAGGGATCTGTTTGCCTGGGGCTGTTTTTGAATCTCGATCCTCAGGTCTCAGCCTCCTGAGTAGCCAGGATTGCAGTGATGAGCCATCTTCTTGCTGCCACAGAGGGATTTCTGAGTGTGCCAAACAAACAGAAAGCAAGGCCTGTGTGTGGCAGCCCTAGGGAATGATCACAGGTTTCTTCTAATATAGGACTTCCCAGGTACCTGTGTCTGTGATCTGTCCTACCTTTCATGGGGACTCCTAAATGGTCCTCCCTAGAGAAGTCCACTGGGACTTTTCTATTGGAAATAGACTTGCAGGTAGGCAAGAAATTGAGCAATAGTACCTGATGGATTGGTGTGTGCTCAGCAGGTGTCTGGAGCCCAGGGACCTGGGATTGTGCTTTTTGGTTCCAGGATCTCTGTCCCAGCCTCTGTATACGACAGGGCATGGGTCAAACCTCTCCCAGCCTTCATCTCAGTAGGCCTGCCACCTTCCTCTCTGAAGCTGCAAGATGGCAGGTGACAGTCTGGTCCTAGAAAACTTGAATTTGCCTGGCTCACACCTGTAATCCTAGCTACTAAGAAGGCTGAGATCTGAGGATCATGGTTCAAAGCCAGCTTTGGCAGGAAAATCTGTGAGACTCTTATCTTCAATTAATCACCAAAAAGCTAAAGTGGAGCTGTGCCTCAAGTGGTACAGCACTAGCTTTGAGCAAAAATGCTCAGGGACAGTGTTCAGACCCTGCCATTCAAGCCCTAGGACACACACAAAGAGAAAGGAAAGGAAAGGAAAAGAAAGGAAAAGTTGGATTTGTGATGTTCTGATGGACCTATTTTTCTGTTCAAATTTCAAAGAATTGAAGCCATTTTGCAGAATTTGCCAAGTCAAGCACATCCTACCTCCTTTCCACATTCCCCCTGCCCTGTCTCTCCACAGCTGAAGCCCTTTCACCATCCCTGGGGCCTAAATGGAGGGCCAGCTTACCTGGGGACTTATCTCAATCTCCTGGGTTTGCAAGGCCTTAAGAGATTAGTCCAGAAGTCTGATCCTTAGGGCTGGGCACAGTGGCTTATACCTATAATCCCAAATACTCAGGAGGCAGAGGCTGAGATGAGCTTGATTTGAACCGAGCCTAAAAAAAAATGAGTTAAGACCTCATCTTAACTAATAAGCTAGGTGCATTGTGACTCTAGCTATGCAGAAGGGACAAATAAGAGAATGGTGGTACAGGCCAGGCCAGGCAAAACCATGAGACCTTATAAAAAAAACCCAAAACTAGCTAAAGCAAAAAGCATGGCTCAAGTGGTAAAGCCCCTGCCTAGTAAGTGAGAGGCCTGAGTTGAAACAACAATACTGTCTTCCACAAGACAGAGAGAATGGCTAGTAGGGAGAGAGAGACAGAGGTAGACAGAGACAGAGACAAAGAGACAGACAGACAGACAGGCAGACTGGCACTGGTGGCTCATGCCTGTAATCTTAGGTACTCATGAGGCTGAGATCTGAAGATTTCAGTTCAAAGCCTAGGCAAGAAAGTCTGTGAGATTAACCAGCAAAAAAGTAAAAGTGAAGGGGGTGTGGGGAGGGAGGATGGGGTGGGATGGGAAGGGGAAACAAAAGAGGAGGCTACAATGCTTGATAAGAAATACACTCATTATCATGCCCATGTAATTGTAACCCCTCTGTACAGTATTTTCACAATAAAAAAAATTAAAAAATGGTATAAGTGGAGCAGTAGATCAAGTGGTAGAGCACTAGCCTTGAGCAAAACAGCTTAGGGACAGAGCCCAGACCCTGAGTTCAAGCCCCAGTATTTCCACACACACAGAACCACAAAGATCCTTGCTGAGTGAATGAGGCTCAGTGGGCAGCCAGCTCCATCTGCTCATTCCTCTGCTTTTCCCCTTCCAGGGAGGGAGAATTCAGAGTGGAGGTCCTGGCCTTTAATAACGTCAGCTCTGCCGTCCTAAGAAAGCAGCTTTTCATTGTGCAGGAGCCCTGCCAGCCACCCCCAGTGAAGAACATGGGGCCTGCCAAGGTCCAGGTAGGGCCGGGGCCTGGGGCTGCTTTCCAACCTCCTTCTCTCGCTGCCTCCCAATCAAACCCAGGATTGGGACCTGGGCTCTGTGGGGAGTGAAGGGGGCTTTGTGGAGTTCAGCCTCAAAAGAACCTCTGTAAGGGCTTTGGAGTATCTGGGCTGCTTTGGGGACTGAGGGGAGCCTGGGTGAGGGAGAGGCTGTTTTCTTGTGTATGAATAGTCCTTTATTTGCCTGTGCGACTCTGGGGTCCGGCACAGCGCACTTGAGGGCTTTTGTTTTGTTTTCTTGGACAGTGATCTATAATGTTTTAAAGAAAAAAGAAAAAGTAAAATGAAAATTAAATGACTAGCCAGGTGCTGGTGGCTCATGCCTGTAATCCTAGCTACTCAAGAGGCTGAAATTGGAGGATCAAGATTTGAAGCCAGCCTGGGCAGGAGTCTGTGAGCCTCTTATCTCCAATTAATCACAGAAAAAGCCAAAAGTGGTGCTGTGGCTCAAATGGTAGAGCACTAGCATTGAACAAAAAAGCTCAAGGATAGTGCCCAGGGCCTAAGTTCAAGCCTCAGGACTGGCACAAAAATAAAAATAAATTAAATAACCAAGTATTTGTTGAGCACCAATGATAGATAGGTTAGGGGAAATAGGATGGCTTTAAAATTTTTCTTATGTTCCTTTTGATGTCTTTGATTCAAAGCATATTTTTTCATTTTGGGGGCAAAGGTGCTCACATGGGAATTTAAACCAATGAGTGAACATTTGCCAGAATGCTGTCTGTGATGGTTAGGAAGTCTGGAGAAGTCAGCTGCTAGGTCCTTTGTCCTGCCTTGCACCCCAGAATATGCAGGGGAGATCATGGAAATTGGCTGAAATATAAGCAACAGAAGATCAGTAGTGATCTAACCACCCCACATACTGATTTTCAGTATTCTTTTAGTGCTTATTGTATGCAGAGGAAATGTGTATCTGTCACACAATTGGGATCATTGGGAGGTCATGTGACCACTTTCTCTTATTGGGTGCTGTGGCTCTTGCCTGTAGTTCTAGCTGAGAACTGAAAGTCTCAGTTCAAAGCCATCCTGGGCAGAGAAGTCTGAAACTCCTCTTCAATTAACCAGCAAAAAGCCAAAGTGAAGGTTTGGTACAAGAGTACCAGCTTTAAGCCAAAAAACCAAGGAAGAGTATGAGGCTCTAAATTCAAGCCTCAATACTGGTACAGACACACAGACACACAGACACAGACACACACAGATACAGACACACACACACACACACACACACACACACACACACACACACACACACACAGAGTCTTGATTATACCATTTCCATGGTGGCATGTGTTAAATCATAAACACAAGTTACACATTGTGATTATTGAATGTGATTATTGAATATTGGTGATTTCCAGATTCATCCCTCCTTCCTTCCCTCCCTCTCTCTTTCCCCTCTCATTTTCTCTCCCTCCCTTCCTCCCTCTCCCTCCTTCCCTCCCTCTCTCCCTCACCCTTCCTCCCTCCCTCCTTTCCTTCCTCGTTTCCTTCCTTCCTTCTTTCCTTCCTTCCTTCCTTCATCTCTTCCTTCTTCCCTCTCTTCCTTTCTTTTTTTTCTTTTTTTTTCTTGTCTTTCTTTCTTTTTTTTGCTAGTCCTGGGCCTTGAACTCTGGGCCTGGGCACTATCCCTAAGCTCCTTTTTGCTCAAGACTAACGCTCTACCACTTGAACTATAGCATCAATTCCAGATTTTTTCTGTGATTTATTGGAAATAAGAGCCTCAGGGACTTTCCTGCCCAGGCTGGCTTCAAACTGAGGTCCTCAGATCTCAGTCTCCTGAGTAGCTAGGATTACAGGCGTGAGCTACAAGGGCCTGGCAAGATTTCCCATTTTTTACAAGACACTTGGCAATGATGTTGTGTAGGCACATCTTTCTGTGTGTTTGTGTTTCTGTAGGCGTGACACCTGCATGTGACAAAGCTGAAGGACAGGTCAGGACCTGGACAAGCCCAGCCATTGTCCAACTATGTACCCAGTGTATCAGGGATCTGAATCACTTTTCACCCCCACAGCATATTATATATTTTTAATGTTTATTATTGTTAATGAACTGATAAGTATTCTTACAGTGATTGGCATTATGATTATAATATTATAATTTATATTATAATATATGTATAATATATGCATGCATAATGTATGTATAATACAAATTATAATCAGTATTATAATTTGCTGTAGCACATAACAATTTTGTGAAAAATCTTAAAATGGCATCATATTCAAAGTGGAAATCATATAAATAATGTAAAAGTAATTAAACGGGTTGGATCCAGCTCAGGTAGGGAAGTCCATGAGACTCATATCTCCAATAAATTAAACTAAAAGTAAAGTGGCAGAGTGCTAGCCTTCAACAAAGTGACAGTGCCCAGGCCCTGAGTTCAAGCCCCTGAGTTCAAGCCCCAGGACCTGTACAATGGAGGAGTGGGGGGGAGGGAGGAGGAGGAGGGGGAAGGGGAGGGGGGGGACAGAAGTAAAATTCCACTTTACAATGAGCACCAATGTTTCTTAAAATTCCACTTAGTAAGAGATTATTTCCTGCTTAATTTTAATGGAAACTTCAAGGAGAAGAAAGTCCTCTAGGAGGAGCCCATGTACCTAGCTAGCATCAGGCCTGGAAAGCCACCCTGGAGGAACAGGGCAGAATCTCCATCCTGATGCCCTCTGGCCTGGATTATTTTCCATGCTGGGGGCAAAGCCTCACTGAGTCATGCCAGGCCTGGTGTTGAGGAGGGCACAGCTTTGGTGTTGAGATGGGGCAATAGGTATGTTCTCAGAGGATAAGATGAGGCAAAATGAGCTTGAAAAGGACAACATTACAGGAAGGGACAAGTTTACATCAAGGGAGACACACTCTCTCTCCCTCTGTCTCTCTGTTTCTCTGTTTCTCTGTCTCTCTCTCTACACAAACCTTGGTTCATTGAAATCAAACAATTACAAATGTATTTTGGAGACAATTAGAGAAATTTTATTATGATGTAGTTTTGTATTAAGAAATCACTGCCAGCTGGGTGACAGTGGCTCATGCCTATCTGTAATCCTAGCTACTCAGGAGGCTGAGATCTGAGGATTATGGTTCAAAGCCAGACGGGGCAGGAAAGTCCGTGAGACTCCTATCTCTAGTTAACCACCAGAAAACTGGAAGTGGCTCTGTGGCTCAAGTGGTAGAACACTTACCTTGAGCTGAAGAGCTGAGGGGACAGTACCCAGGTCCAGAGTTCAAGCCCCATGACTGACAAAAAAAAAAAAAAAAAGAAAGAAATCATTGCTAATTGTTGAGGTGAGATAAGGTAAGATTGTACCAGAAAATTCCCTTTTATTTTGATATATATATATTGAGTACAATTCAAAGGTTCTGGTCTCTGAGAAAGACTTTTGAATGTTTTTGCAAAGAAAAGTCATAAAGCAAGTCTGCGTCATATATTACAGATATTTTTCTTTTTCATTCTATTTTTCTGAATGCACATTTTGACATTCAGAAGTTTACATATTTATGTAATAGTATCTAGCAATCTTCTTTGATAACTTTCTTTTAATTTTTTTTTTTTTGGTCAGTTGTAGGGCCTGAACTCTGGGCTTGGGGCTCTTCAGCTCAAGGCTAGTGCTCTACCACTTGAGGCACATCGCCACTTCCAGCTTTTTCTGCTTATGTGATGCTGAGGAATCAAACTCAGGGCCTCATGCATGCAAGGCAAGCAGTCTACCACTGAGCTACTTTCCCATCCCTTTAATTCTGTTCTTACAAAGCATCGTTTTCCCCTTAGTATATGTAACTATAGACATTTCTTCTGTGTGTGTGTGTGTGTGTGTGTGTGTGTGTGTGTGTGTTTATACACTAGAGCTTGAACTCAGGTCAGGCGCTGTCTTTTAGCTCCATCTCCAGGATTTTGCTAATTACTCAGATATAAGAATCTCATGGAGGGGCTGGGAAGGTGGCTCAGTGGTAGAGTGCTTGCCTTGCATGCATGAGGCCCTGGGTTTGATTCCTCAGCACCACATAAGCAAAAAAGAAAAAAGCTGGAAGTGGTGCTGTGGCTCAATGGTAGAGCGCTTGCCTTGAGCTGAAAAGCTGAGGGACAGTGCCCAGGCCCAGAATTCAGGCCCCATGACTGGGCCCTCCCCCCCCCCCCCCAAAAAAAAGAAAGAATCTCATGGACTTTTCTACTTGAGTTGGCTTCAAACCTTGATCCACAATCTCAGCTTCCTCAGATCTCACTCCTACCTAGGGTTACAGGAGTGAGTCACTAGTTCCCAGCTTATGATTTCTCTTGTTTTTAGATTTTTACTTTTTACATTTATCTATAAAATAAATGTAGTATTTATTCGGGTGGATCTATAGTCCAACCTTGGGTCCCACCCTATAGTTTTGCAAACAAATAATTGAGGATTTCTTCCTGAATGTCTCTAGTTGTTTACAATATTGCTGTACATGGAGGGCATATGATGGGATGTCTTCTCATGTTGATCCTCAGATATGGCGGTCTCAGACCCTGAGACTGGAAGTAACGTTTGAAGCTGCTGTCCTCTGTGACATCTTCCAAGGTCTTTCTTACACCTGGAACTTTCTGGACTCCCAGAGGTCTCTCATTGTCCTCCCTGCTGGCATCCACACTCACAGACAGGCCATCCTGCTGCCAAGCTACACGCTGGAGTGTGGGAACTACACCGCCATTGCGAAGGTCAGTCAAAGTCAGCCCGCTCCCCTCCCCCTCCTGCTGGCTCAGGGACACAGGACTTTCCACCAGCCTGCATTCTAACCCTGAGCCTCTTCTAACAAAAGTTTTTTTTTTTTTAAGGCATGGATAGGATTTTAAGAAAAAATGTTTCATTTTCTTGGGAGAACCTATGTTCCAATGTTTGCCGAGTAAGCAATGAAAAAGACCCCTAGACTTATTTTCCCCCCATTACTGGGGCTTGAACTTAAGGTCGGGCGCTGCTTCGTATATTTTTTGCTAAAGGCTAGCACTCTACTACTTGAACCACTTCTGGCTTTTTGCTGGTTAATTGGAGATAAGAATCTCATGGACTTTCCTGGCTGTGCTAGCTTCGACCACGGTCCTAAGATTTCAGCCTTCCGAGTGGCTAGGATCATAGGCATGAAATTCAGGTGCTGAACTTTCTTCTAGATCTTTTAACAAAACCTCCCTGTATACCTGCTTTGCCTAAGCTACAGGGCGCTCTGACCTCAGCCCGTGCACAGTGCTCTCTGCTTAGTGCTCAGTGCTCAGGGCTTGGGGCTCAGTTTTGTCTGGAAAATAATAACAATACATGGGTTCAAGGAGAAGGCCACTGCTTCTTGAAGGAGGGGTGCTTTAAAGAGTTGATCGCTGGCATAAAAAGGAGGGGGGCGGCAGAGGACAATAGCTTGGAATAGTGGAGGGAGGGTTTGGGGTCAGATGATAGTGAGATAAAGAAGGCCTGGCTGAAGAGGTGCTTCTTAAGGGTACAGCAGGAACCCCTAAAATCTCTGTTGTGGAGGAATGGGGATCTTTCCCTCTTGGGGTCACAGGAGCCTTGGTTCAAGCTTGTCCCAGGGTCCCTCAGCCCCAGGGTCCCTCAGCATGAAAGCTGGCACTAGTCAGGGAGGCCGGAGCCCTGAGCCTGCACTGATTGCCATGGATGGACCCATGCTCATGTGCCCTTCCAGTTCCTGTACACACCCCAGTGTGAGCTAGACCCCGACAACTGACAGAGGCCATGCTGTGAGGGACACTCTGTCAGTTATACTCACCCCAGTGTGAGCTGGACCCCGACAACTGACAGAGGCCATGCTGTGAGGGACACTCTGTCAGTTATACTCACCCCAGTGTGAGCTGGACCCCGACAACTGACAGAGGCCATGCTGTGAGGGACATTCTGTCAGTTGTAGGAAATGGAAAAAAAAAGACCCACAAAAACTGTGTCCAAGTCTGAGACATACTCCTCTGTGAAAATACTGAGAGAGAACTGGAAACAGATGAAAGGTGGAATTCTGGGAGAGTGTTCCTAAAGTGAAGTTGAGAAATACTCAGAGCCAGCAGTGGTGCATGCCTGGATTCCAGCACTTCGGAGGCTAAAACGGAAGAATTATTAGGTTAAGGCCAATTGGGGCTACATAACAAGTTCCTGTCTCCAAAAGAAGGGAGGGAGGAGGGAAAGAAGGAAGGAAGAAGGGAGGAAGGAAGGAAGGAAGGAAGGGAGGGAGGGAGGAAGAAAAGGAAAGAAGAAAGGAAGATACTTAGAGACTAAAACAGGTAGCTGCAGTGGAATGAAAAGCAGAGGAGGGGAAATAGAATAGCTGTGGGAGTGGGAAGGGAGCAGTGTGTATCATGGTGACTAATTGTAAGAATCAAAGGAAAAGCCAGGTTTGGCAGCTCATGCCTATAAGTCCAGCTACTGAGAGGTATAAGAAGAATTGTAGTCCAAGGCTGAACCTGGGTAAAAATACAAGACACTATCCAAAAAGTAATGAAAACAAAAATGGCTGGGGGAAGCCAGCTGCCAGTGGCTCATGTCTATAACCCTAGCAACTCAGGAAGCTGAGATCTGAGGATTATGGTTCAAAGCCAGCCAGGGCAGGAGAAGTCCATGAGACTCTTATCTTCAATAAACCACTCAGAAAACTGGAAGTGGCGCTGTGGCTCAAGTGGTAGAGCACTAGCCTTGAACTGAAGAGCTGAGGGAGAGCACCCAGGCCCAGAGTTCAAGCCCCATGACCGACAAAAAAGGGCTGGGGGCATGGCTCAAGTGATAGAGCACCTGCTTAGCCCTAAATACCAAAGGAACGGGGAACAATTATAGGGAAAAGTCCAAGAAAATCTGTAACACCAGATGAGTGAAAGGGAGATCAGGCTACTCTTCGTGGCCTCAATGAAAACTGAGTGCTCTTGTATTCATAGACTGTTTTGTAGAATGGGAAATTCTTTGTACAACTACTTAAAGATAATAATAAAAAATGTTAAGAAAGAAAGAAAGAAAGAAAGAAAACTGAGTGTTCATTCTGTCCTTCTGTGTGCAGGCAAGGGAGGCACAGACAAACTGATGTTGCACATTTGCTTACACAGCCTTTGGAGGAGGTAGATGGAGAGCAAGAGCAATAGAAGAGGTGGTTCCCATCTAAGCAGGGTCAGGAAGCGCTGAGCGGGGAGTGGCCTGGAGCATGAAGTCAAGTGCAGTGCATGGTAGGAAGTGGGCTGGACATAAGCCCCAGTGGGGACTTCTCACAATGACAGAAGCCTAGGCTGGTTGACATTTGGGACAGGGACACAGTGCCCATCTAGGCAGTGGGTTGGAGCTATGTGGAATCTCGGGGGCGTGAGAGAGTGGAAACAGGGAGCAGTGAGTACACCCCAGGAGTTCAGAGGGGAAGAGGGTGCTAGGAAGTTATCTTCATGGGATGAAAGGAAAGAAAAGATTCTAAAACAAACGAAAACAAATGCATGAATGAATAAATAAATAAGGCAAGGACTCCAGGGAGTGGCCAGTAGAGAGCCACATGCATCTGTTGAGAGAAAATCCAGGAGGACTAAAGCTGAGACCTATGAGTTAGAATGGGTGTTTTCAAATGGAATGAAGCTTTATAATGAACATTTAGGTGGTCCTGGGGTTTGAACCCTGGGCCTTGCACGTGCCAGGCAGACACTCTACCACTTGGATCAGGTTCTAAGCCTAACATTGGTGGCTTGCATTTGTAATCCTAGCTATACAATAGTTTTGAGACTTATGGGGTTAAGATTCTTATCTCTAATTTACCAGTAAAACTGCTGGATTGGAGGTGTGGTTCAAGCAATATAGTGGCAACTATGGCAAGAAAACAAAGTGTGAGGCCCTTTCTTGGTTTAGTTTTTCGTTTTGTTTTGGTTTTGTGCCGGTTCTGGGGCTTGAGCTCAGTCAGGGTTTCACACTCTCACTTGGTTTTTTTTGCTCAAGGCTGGCACTCTACCACTCAAGCCACATTTCCACTTCTAGCTTCTGCTGTTTAACTGGAGATTAGAGGTTCATGGACTTTCCTGCCTGAGGTAGCTCAATCCTCAGATCTCAGCCTCCCAAGGAGCTAGGATTTTAGGTGTGAGCTATTGGCATCTGGCTTGCAAACATTTCTTTCTTTTTTATTAAAACAATTTTTTTTGATCCTGGGGCTTCAACTCAGGGCCTGGGCCCTGGCCATGAGATTTTTCACTTAAGGCATGCCATAAGTCCACTTCCAGCTTTGTTGGTTTCTTTCTCTTTTTTTTTTTTTTCTGCCTGGGCTGGCTTTGAACTGAGATCTCAGCCTCCTGAGTAGCTAGGATTATAGGCCAGCGCCTGGCTCTCGAACAGTTCTTAACTACCATTATATGTTTTGGTGTTAGAAAGAAGCTCAAAGGAAAGAAAAGAAAGGCAAACCCATGTCAATACCATAGGTAGTTTTTAAAGAAGGAGGTTTGGAAGCAAATGCACACAGGTGCCATTGTGATCTGAGGCAACACCTAGACCTTTTTTTGCATACTTTTGTTTGTACACCCATTGGCCCCTGCCCTGTCTCTGATGGAACCACACTAGGTGGTGTATTTAGACAGCTGTGACTGGTTTAGCTGGGATAGAGATGGTGCATCAATGTACAAGTTTCCTTTCTAGTGTTTCATGTGAATCACCCCCTTGTCTGTGGCCCCACAGGTGCAGATCAAGGGCAGTGTGGTACACAGCAACTACTGCGTAGCTGTGGAGGTGCGATCCAGGGTCCCTGTCAGTGTGATCTCAGCGGGCACGCACCTCTTTGTCCCCAGGGTCGCCCTGGTCCCCATCGTCCTCAGTGGGTCTCACTCCTACGACCCTGACAACCCAGGCGCCATTCTCAGGTGAGGCTGTGAGTCTCAGACTGTGACTACTTCAAAATCAGGCTTAAGAACACTGGGAAAACTGGGTTTGGGATTTTGTCAAAATAGTTTTTATTTAGGATCAAAAGATAATGTTGACAGGTATAGTGACATATGCCTGGTTTTACTGGTACTCAGGAGACAGAGACCAGGATGATCTTAGTTTGAGGCCAATCCAGGTCCCCCCCTCCAAAAAAAAAAGTTAGTAAGCTTGGCTCTGATAATCCTAGCTATTTAGACGGCTGAGATCTGAGGATTGCAGTTTGAAGTCAGTCCAGAAAGGAAAGTCCAAGAAGGAAAGTCCAAAAGACTCATCTCTAATTAACCACCAGAAGGACAGAAGTGGAGCTGTGGCTTAAGTGGTAGAACATTAGCCTTGAGCAAAAAATGTTCAGAGCAAAAAAAAAAAAGCTCAGGGACAGCACCCAAGCCCTGAGTTGAGGCCCCAGGATACTCATTCTCTCTCTCTCTCTCTCTCTCTCTCTCTCTCTTTCTCTCTTTCTCTCTCTCTCTCTCTCTCTCTCTCTCTCTCTCTCTCTCTCTCTCTCTCTCTCTCACACACACACACACACACACACACACACGCGTGTCAAACAAGCTGGGTATGCTGATGCACAGCTGTAATCCATAGCTATGCAGAAAGAGTAATTAGGAACATTACTGTCCAGTGCCAGCCCTGGGCAAAAAAACTTGAGACTGAGGCAAAAATGGGCTTGGATGTTGCAACAATGAGAAGTACAAGTTGGGGGGGGAGGATTGGGGGGGGGAGCGGGGAGGGGGGGAGCCTGGGAAGGGATGTGAAGGGTAAACAAAGGAGGAGGCTACAATGCTTGATAAGAAATGTACTCATTATCTTGCTCATGTAATTGTAACCCCTCTGTACAGTATGTTCACAATAAAAAATAAAAATTAAAAAAATGGGCTTGGAGGCATGGCTCAAGTGGTAGAAGACTTTCCTAGCAAGCAAAGGCACCTAGTTCAAGCCCATTTGGCCACTTCTAAATGTATTATGGCAACATAGAAAAGTGGATAGGAAAATGAAAATGATTATTTAAAAAATGAATTTACTTCATTGTTATTATAAAGGTCATGTACAGTGGGATACAATGACATACGTCAGGTAATTAGTACATTGCCTTTGTACAGTGTCTTCTGTTCCCTCACTATCTCCAAGTCCCTCCCTCCTGTTTCCACCCACAAGTTGTATAGTTCACTTCCATCTGTGTCCAGTGAGCTCTACTTTTTTACCATTTTTTCCTTGAGTTCTGTGCCTTTCCCCTTGTCCTCTCAAAGATATACATGCGACTATGCCATACATAAAGAAGACACAGAGAGATTTCTTGTTTCCATACCTTGGATTTTGTTTCTCTCTCTCTCTTTCTCTCTCTCTCTCTCTCTCTCTCTCTCTCTCTCTCTCTCTCTCTCTCTCTCTCACCCATCTATCTATAGATAAATAGATAGATAGATAGATAGATACACACACACACACATATGAAGAGGCACATAGACATTGAGCCTTTTTGTTTTTCTCCTGAGTATTCTCTTTTTGGTCTGTGTGTATCTAGAATCCTGTGTAATTTATCAAATTCCAGTGTCTTTTAGATCTATGCAAATGACCATTTACCATGGTGTTTGAAATGTGGCTTAGGAATGTCAAGTTACATGTTCCCTGCCTGAGATGCTTGCTTGGTGTGTGGTGGACATGGGACCTCAGTGCTTCTTTCTCACCACTGAGGCCTGTCCCTATGAGGCCTCTTCCCATCCTCAGACCTGCTCAGTCTCCTGACTCCAGCAGACTTGGGTCATTGCCAGTGTCCCGAGCCTCTCCCCACCTCAGGAGACTCACCTGCCAGCTCAGGGAACTCACCTGTCAGCTCAAGGGACTCACCTTTCAGCTCAGGGCACTTCCTGTCAGCTCAGGGACTCACCTGCCATCTCAGGAAGACTCATCTGTCAGCTCAGGCACTCACCTGTCAGCTTAAGGGACTCACCTGTCAGCTCGGGGACTCACCTGTCACATCAGGGCATTCACCTGTCACCTCAGGAGGCTTACCTGTCAGCTCAGGGGACTCACCTGTCAGCTCAGAAGACTCACCTGTCAGCTCAGAAGACTCACCTGTCAGCTCGGACACTCACCTGTCAGCTCAGGGGACTCACCTGTCAGCTCAGAAGACTCACCTGTTAGCTCAGAAGACTCACCTGTCAGCTCAGGGCACTCACCTGTCAGCTCAGGCACTCACCTGTCAGCTCAGGGACTTACCTGTCAGCTCAGGCACTCACCTGTCAGCTTGGGTACTCACCTGTCAGCTCAGGCACTCACCTGTCAGCTCAGGGACTCACCTGTCAGCTCAGGCACTCACCTGTCAGCTCAGGGACTCACCTGTCAGCTCAGGGGACTAACCTGTCAGCTCAGGGATTCACCTGTCAGCTCAGGCACTCACCTGTCAGCTCAGGGACTCACCTGTCAGCACAGGGACTCACCTGTCAGCTCAGGCACTCACCTGTCAGCTCAGGGCACTCACCTGTCAGCTCAGGGACTCACCTGTCAGCTCAGGCACTCGCCTGTCAGCTCAGGGTACTCACCTGTCAGCTCAGGGACTCACCTGTCAGCACAGGGACTCACCTGTCAGCACAGGCACTCATCTGTCAGCTCAGGGCACTCACCTGTCAGCTCAGGGACTCACCTGTCAGCTCAGGCACTCACCTGTCAGCTCAGGGCACTCACCTGTCAGCTCAGGGACTCACCTGTCAGCTCGGGCACTCACCTGTCAGCTCGGGCACTCAACTGTCAGCTCAGGGACTCACCTGTCAGCACAGGGACTCACCTGTCAGCTCAGGCACTCACCTGTCAGCTCAGGGCACTCACTTGTCAGCTCAGGGACTCACCTGTCAGCTCAGGGACTCACCTGTCAGCTCAGGGGCACTCACCTGTCAGCTCAGGGACTCACCTGTCAGCTCAGGCACTCGCCTGTCAGCACAGGGGCACTCACCTGTCAGCACAGGGACTCACCTGTCAGCTCAGGCACTCGCCTGTCAGCTCAGGCACTCACCTATCAGCTCAGGCACTCACCTGTCAGCTCAGGGCACTCACCTGTCAGCTCAGGGACTCACCTGTCAGCTCAGGCACTCACCTGTCAGCTCAGGGCACTCACCTGTCAGCTCAGGGACTCACCTGTCAGCTCAGGCACTCACCTGTCAGCACAGGGGTACTCTCCTGTCAGCTCAGGGCACTCACCTGTCAGCACAGGGGTACTCTCCTGTCAACTCGGGCTCTCACCTGTCAGCACAGGGACTCACCTGTCAGCTCAGGCACTCGCCTGTCAGCTCAGGGCACTCACCTGTCAGCTCAGGGCACTCACCTGTCAGCTCAGGGCACTCACCTGTCAGCTCAGGCACTCGCCTGTCAGCACAGGGGCACTCACCTGTCAGCTCAGGCACTCACCTGTCAGCACAGGGACGCACCTGGCAGCTCAGGCACTCACCTGTCAGCACAGGCACTCACATCCTCACTCAGATCACTGTGGTTCTGCACTGGGCCTCTGTCTGGACCCCTTTCCTGTCCCCAAACATCTCTGCCCCACAACCCAATTCTTCATATCGTTTCCCCAGCTCTGCCTAGGAATTGCCTCAGTGATTTCACAAGCTCAGGCCGAGACCCTTAGCAGCATCTTGGATTCGGACTCTATGTCTCACTTATTCTGTTTATGTCTGTGTTCTATGTCTCACTCAGTGCCACTCTGTCTCGCTCTGTGTGTCTCTTTTACTCTGTCTCTATCTTTGTCTTTTCAGTTTTCTGACTCTCTCGCCATCTCTCTCTGTATTCTCTTTGTCTCTTTCCCTATGTCTCTATCCCTGTGTGTGTCTCTGTGACTCTTTCTCTGTGTCTGTCTGTCTGTGTCTGTCTGTCTGTGTCTGTCTGTCTGTCCCTGTCTCTGTCTCTCTGTCTCTGTCTCTGTCTCTCTGTCTCTGTCTCTCTCTTCTCTCTCTCTCTCCACCACATCCTCTGTTTGGTCTGAGCCTCAGAACTTTGGCTTTGGCTTGTGTCTATATGGCCTCTGCTTAGAGACCTCCATTCCTTTACTGGTTCCATAGCCTGCTCTTCAAGGCAGAGGATGGAGTCTTCTAGAACAGATCAGAGCCTTACTTCACAGCTTTGATCCTCCAGCAGTGAGGAGAAAGAAAGAGGGGAGGAGAAAGATAGATTGTGTTTTCTAATGTGGCAGAGGTGTGAGTGGGGAGGAGAGGGAAGTGAGGGGGGAGAGCAGTTTCCCATCCCCTGCATGGTGGAGTCCAGGAAGCCAGGCCGGGAACCAGCTCCCTTGCTTGCTGATATTGGAAAATGAAGGGTACCATCTCTTCCCCACCCATGTGTCCCCATTTCACACGTTGGTGCCTGACCCCTGGAGGTCTCTCTGACAGGTATCTCTGGGCATGCACAGTTGCCAGCTCACCTGGACGGCCCTGCTTTGACAATGCCACGCCCCGCCAACTGGATGCCAGAGCTCCCACTGTTTCCTTCCTGGCCGAGTGGCTCAGTGGATGCTGTGACCAGTTCCTTGTGACTCTGACTGTCTCCAGTGGTGGCCGGAACTCTTCTGAGGCCCAGGTGTTCCTGTCTACCCGCGACGACCCAGCCTTCAGGTACCCCTGCAATGGTCCAAGTACTGAGGTAGTAGGCAGGAAGACAGGAAAGCTATGGTGCTCACTGAGAGCATTGCTGGGTCAGGTCAGAAGGGAGGATGGAACTTGGGTCCCTGTTCTAGGCTGAGCCTTGGACAGCTTCCCATCCAAGAGGGGCCCTGAGTATATGGGCCTCAGAAAGATCGCTTCTGTTGGAACACCTGGCCCCAGGAGAGGAGACTGTTCTAGAGCGTTGGTCCAACAATGGAGGTCTCAGAGGCTTGGGAGCCTTCCAACATTGCAGGGCTAACAGGACACCAGCATGGAACAGGTGTGATATGAGACCATGCAGGGACAAAGAAATGCTGTGACTAAACCCCACAAGTCCCCAGCACCAAGGCCAGCATAGCACCCATGGGCCTGGTCCAGCCCCAGGAGCCCAACCCAGTACCAGTACCTGACCAGAGCTCTGCCAGGGAGGATAAGGCTGGAACAGCTTCCGGTTTCCTGTGCCTGTCAAGGGATTGGGTCACTGGGCAACAAGGGGTACAGGCCAAGGCCTATCACTCTTTAGAGGTGGCACAAGATTGTACCATACTACTTAGAGTGACACAATGGTGTGTGTGTGTGTGTGTGTGTGTGTGTGTGTGTATGCCAGTTGGTTCTGGGGCTTGAACTCAGGGCCTGGGCACTGTCCTTGAGCTTCTTTGTTCAAGGCTAATGCTCTACCACTTAAGCCACAGCTCCACTTCTGGCTTCCTTACTGTTAAGAGTCTCATGTGCTTTCCTGCCCAGGCTGACTCTGAACTGTGATCCTCAGGTCTTGGCCTCCCATGCAGCTGGGATTACAGGTGTGAGCCACTTGTGCCCAGCAGAATGGCACCACATAAAGCTTATGAATTACTTGTTTTTGGAATTCTCTACCTATATTAGATTTGGTTGACCAGGCATAACTGAAATTTCTAGAAGTGAAGCCCTAGTCCAGGGAGAAAACAGTATACATGTCCACACATGAACACATGAAGGCAAGTGGGCTTGGTTCTCTGCAAAGAAGCAGAGGGACCATTGTGCTGTGGCCCCTCACCTCTGGCACTGGGAGTTACACACTGAGGCTGAGGTGTTGACTGTGGGTGCCGGTCAAGGACACTCTAAAGGGGAGCACTGCATAGTACCTGGCACCCCAGCATCTGGCCTTTCATAGGCCCCCTTCATCCTGTAGAAAACAAACCCATGAGATGAGGAAAGTTTGATAGGCTCCAGCCACCTGGAGATGTCTTGAGGAGCCATAATTACAGAGAGAGCCTTAGAAAGTGATGGAATAAATAGACTAAATTTGTGGTGACATGTGGTTGTGTACAGGATGTGTGGGAGCACCTGCATGGAGGTGGGGTGGGCTCAGAGTTGTGTGTGGGGTGTGGAGCTGTGGGTTCCCTGGAGTTGTATAGAGGGCTGTTACTGGATAGATGGCTGACAATACTCCAGGGAAGTCTCAAAAGGGAAGATGCTGCCGGGCACCGGTGGCTTATGCCTGTAATTCTAGCTACTCAGAAGGCTATCTGAGGATCACAGTTCAAAGCCAGCCCAGACAGGAAAGGCTGTGAGACTCTTATCTCCAATTAATCACTAGAAAATCGGAAGTGGTGCTGTGGCTCAAGTGGTAGAGCTGAAGAGCTGAGGGACAGTGTTCAGGCCTAGAGTTCAAGCCTCATGACTTACAAAAAAAAAAAAAAGGTAGCAGGGGGCAAGGCCTTTGCTTAGCCTTTGGAACCTAGCTCTCGATATTAAAAATAATTGAGGACACATAGAAGTAGAGCCTAAGAAAGTTTATTAAGCAAAGGAAAGATAGATAGTATACAACCCAAATGTGGTTATGGGCACAACTGCTGACAGGTCCAAGGAGTGTTTTATGTCTTGGGTATTTATGGCATAGAAGTAGGTTGAGAGTTAGCTCAAACTCACCCTAGAACAAATACTCCCTTTTGTTCTCACACCTGTCACATTTAATCACTCTTGCTGTTATACTTTTTTCAACTGGGCTCAGAGGTTTTAAGACTGACCAGCTCACTCAGTGTTGGTTGTTGATGTCTGGGCATCTCTTCAAAGGAAAGATGAAGTTTGCCATAGGCCCCCTTCAAAGATGGGAGTCCATCCTTGAGATAAGGAAAACCTTTCAACCCAATTTGTGCCAAGAGGAGCCATTTTCCCAAGTGTTTGTATGGATAAGTGTGTCTTTCTTTTAGATAGCCTTGCTCAGTTTCTAGAGCAACCAATTATTTTGGGCAAATAGGCAAGGTCAGAAGGCAATGTGAGGGGGAGAGAGAGTGCTGTTTTTCTTTTTTTCTTTTTATCTTTTCTCTTCTCCTTCCTTTTCTCCCTCCCTTCCTTCTTTCCTTCCTACTAATACTATAGTTTATGAGGCATTATGAAGCTTTAAGCAAAGAATTGGTACTTCTGTGTTTCTAATATACCTACTCATTAATCCAACAGTTGCTCTCGTTTCCTGACTGCTCTTTTCCATACCTAACTTTCCCTAATTACTTCTGCCCCAGGTCATTGGTCTTTGTGGGTTGTGGATACATTTGAGGCACCCACTCGTGCCTCAAATGCCCCATCCAGAAAGGAAGCAAAGCCCAGGTGAAGGTTGTTGGCTTGGAAGGGTCCAGGAGAGGGTTGCACTGCAGAGGTGAAGCAAGCTGATGAGGCAAAGAGAAGGGATGGGAGAGCTCAGAGGTGGACTCCTCTATAGAGAAGGCTCAGGGCCAGGGTAAACAGGGCCCAGTGCCTCGTCACCTGAAGGAAATGCTACAGCGTCTCTGAACTGGGCCAGGTGCTCGTGAGCACTAGTATTTTGTATCCCATGGGATGCCGTGGGTCATATGGTATGCGGCTCATCACAGGAGCCATGACGCCCCCACTCATCCCATCCAATGTACAGCCAACATGGGTGATTCAGGCTTGGCCAGTCTGAATAAAATATGGCCAAAGAAGTCTCCTTTGTTTTCTTAAGCCATCATGCTGTTTTGTGTGCTCCAGATTCATCCATCTCTTCTGGGTGAACTTTAAAGACATCCATGTCAACTGGAATGAAGAACTTTCTCTCCAGGCTGTGTGTGAACTCTGCGAAGACATCCATGACCTTTCTTACTCCTGGGATCTCTTCTTAGTTAATGCAACAGAAAAGAACAGGATGGAAGGTAAAAAACACTTGCCTTATTTTGTGAATGGAGGAACAGGCTCAGGGTTATTCTGAGAGTGCTAAGATCTGGACTGACCCATGTGTTTTGTCTGACCTGGTCCATTGGCTCTGGGAATCCCCAATATCTCTCCATTCTGCCCTTCAGCTGGTTCTGGTGAGGATAAGGAAGGGAGTGAGCACTCAAAGACTGTTTCTCATCCTCAGGAGGATGGCCTGATGATCTAAAACCACACTCAGCTTTTGGAAAGAACCTCAGTATGGGGTATTACTCAATCTCCTGAGGGCCAGGTCTCTACCGAACTATGAAGTATGTCTTTTGCCCTTCTTTCCTGTCATACAACTTTTAAATTGTTGGATCTTCAAAAGCACACCTATAATCCTAGCTACTTAGGAAGCTGAGATCTGAGGATTGTGGTTTAAACCTAATTAGAGCAGGCAAATACAAGACTCTTCTCCAGTTATCCACCAAAAAGCCAGAAGTAGAGGTGTGGCTCAAGTGGTAGAGCACTAGTGAAAAAGCCAAACAAAAGAGCAATTCCTGAGTTTAAGTACCAGTTTTGACGCAAACAAACAAAAGAACTCATCACTTCCTATATGCAAATGAGCTGAATGATGGCTAGTGGCTTCATGGTAAGGCTTGGTTCTCCAAGAAGACCAAGTCAGAATTAGAGAGTTAGGACTTTCAGCCCCACTCCCAACCTCCTAATAGAGGGACAGGGTGTTTTACTGATCACCAATGACCAATCATGCCTTAGTAAGGAGGCCTTCATAAATTATGCAAAGGAAAGAATTTCTAGAACTTTCTAATAGCTGAACACATGGAGGTTCCTGGAGGGTGGAGCCTCTGAAGGCCTGGAAGTTTCTTGCTCTTCCCCCACACCTCACCCTGTGCACTATATCCTTTGTGATACACTTTATAATAGGCAGGTAAATGTAATCTTTTCACCAAGTTCCAGGAACTGCTCAAGCAAGTTAATAAACCTGAGCAGGGGATTGTGGGAGCTCCCATTTATAGCTGATGGGTCGGATAGCCAGGTAACACCATTGAGGGGCATCTGAAATGGGGACAATCTTGGGGATGAACACTCAACCTGTGTGATGTGTCACAGCTAGATGTCTACCCCTTGTGTGATATCTACCTCCAGGTAGACAGTATGGGAACTGAATTGATCAAGGACGCCAGATGATGTGGCTGCAGAATAGCTCGCATGCCTGCTTGCAGAGAGGAAGAAATCACTCTTTGGGAGAATCATGGAAGTGATCTGTGTCATTAGAGTCAAGTAGGGGAAACAGAATCTGTCTCTGCATAACCCCTCAAGATCTCCATCCTTTGGGGAGGCTGCGCAGGTGATGGCCTCATTGTGGTCCTCACCCTGCACTACCTGCAGGAAAGTGTCAGCAGCTGGTAACTGTTTTCTTGGATGAAAGATAGGAGTCTTGCTTGTTAATCTCAAAGGCAAGTTGAGGCACACCAATTGTGGGAACAAAGCCTGGTTTCAAACCCAAATGAGGATGGCCACCTGGGAAGAATACACTCATTCCAGTTGTCCAGGATAAGTTCTCCCAAAACAGTACTGGAGTGGGTAAAGAACAAGAGAGTTTTGCAGCACACTGGTTACAAGTGCAATATCTGACAGGCATAGCCCAGGGTGTGGGTAGGCCACTGCTGATGCAATAGAATCCAATCCAGAATTGCAGTGAGAAGGAAGGGCTGTTGCCAGGATTCTTTTTTTATTTTATTTATTTATAAATTATCTTTAAGTAGTTGTGCAAGGGAGTTTACCTCAATTTAATAATGCATTTGTTCAGTGTCACCTCTTCCTTCTTTCTCACCCCTCTCTCCCAACCCACCACTTTCCTCAAGTTACCTGGTTCCATTTTCACACAGGGACATTGACTATTATGACTGCCCATGCTTTCTCTCTCTCATTATCTATTCCCACCCGTCTTTTCCGGCTTCAGAGTACACATATTTCAGCTTCCTGGTATTCATTTTGCTAGGTATTCATTTTGTTACAACGCTGCAGTCTTCCTCTGCACAGACCATACTTTAGTCAGTGACCCCATATATGTTTTCATATGTGTTTATAATTTAGATATAACTTCCATATATGAGATAAAACATGTGCCCTTTGTCTCTCTGAGCCTGATTTACTTCATGATCCTGACTTACTTAATTTTTTCCAGGTTCCTGAAAATGACATGAAATTATTCTTTCTGATGGATGAGTGACTTGTGTGTGTGTGTGTGTGTGTGTGTGTGTGTGTGTGTGTGTGTGTGTGTTATACATATACACATCACATTATCTTCTTGTCAGGGTCAGGATTATTTATTCTCTCTTTGGTGAGACTTGCCGCCCTGTGTCAGAATGACCTTGGGGACTTCAGGTATCATGTTTGCCCAGATTAAGCATTTTGTGACCTTGTTCTTATCCCATTTTTGTTCCTTTCTCCTACGGCATCACAGATTGGTATTGGGGCTAGAAAGAAGGACTGTTTCAGTCTTCCTTGCTCCTTGTTGCAGTGAGCGCTTATGGGTAACCAGAATCGAGATGGAGCCCCCCTTCCCATGGTTGTGACTGTGCTCAGGGAAGTAGCTCTGATGGTGAACAGAGGAGCTTTGTCTCTAATTCCAGGCAATAGTTCCACACCATTGTGCCTACCAACCCCTGCTGGCCACCTGCCACGTCTTTTCAATCCATTCAGTGGGGCAAGATTCCTAAGCAGATCTTTGAGCACAGCATCTAGGGGACATAGATGCCAAGTGCAACCACATCTTTCATTGCAGGAGACACATCCCCAAATTCTTGTAACTAAATTAAAATTTACCAGATCAGGGCTCAAGCTGCATAGTTTAGAAAATCTTGTAAAGGAAACACATCCCATGGTTAAATTTCACCAAGGCCAGTGATTGCCCAAGGTGGATGTATCTCAAAGAATTGGGTTTCCCCATGGCCTAAAGCTATAGTTGACAGTATTGAAGATCATTTATATGTCCATGGCTTTTGTTGTTATTTTGCTGTAGACTCTTTGTCATATATTCTAACAATAACTTTTAGAAGTATTGTACTAGATTCTTACTATCATGTAAGAAAGTGAAAATCAGGAGAAACTTCTTATGCCCAAAATTGTTGCTATAATATACCAGAGTCACCCATGCTGGGGTACAGATGCCCTGCCAAGCCTTACGAGTGTGTGTATGGAACCTGGGAAAGCAAATTCCAGAGGGAAGAGCTTTGACTTCCTGTTCCCAGGTATTGGTTGTGTCCAGTGTTGGTCTCCATACCACCAGGTGGCGGTCACGCCCTTTATTGCCTAAGTCCCACTTGGTTTGCTTTAAAGCAGACATGCTCTTTCAACCTGTATACTTTTGAAAACAGATGGTTGGTCCAGAATTTTTAACACTGCTCTGTCTGTGTCTAAGTTCCCTTTTGTAGCACTGTGGGGCTGCTGGGTGCTTCAGCCCTTGAGGCCGTTTTGAAGTCATCAGAGTCCAATCTACTGGCTGCAGAGCCAAGCATGGCAGATGGTAATGGAAGACCCACACTGTCCTGGCTGGGGCCTTCACTCTCCACCCTGGCTCCGCCCATCATTTCAGTCACAGAGAGCATGCCCATGAAAGATGGCTACTATCTTCCTGCTGGTGGTGATACCATGGCCCCAGCAGAGTCTCCTGAGGATGAGCTGCAGAGCCTAGAGTCAGGGTCCCTGGCGGAGGGAAGCTGGCCCCAGCCCAGCATCTCCCCTGCCCTGGATGGTAAGTATCACCAGCTGTACACGCTGTTCTTATAGCTTAGCACCAGGGCAGCCTCAGAAAGAGAAAGTCTGGTAGGTCAGATTTAAACTCTCACCTACCGTAGAGAAAGCTGGTTTCATAGTCCTCATTTGCTAATTGTGATTTTTTTTTTTTTTTTTTTTGGTAAGTCATGGGGTCTGAACTCTGGGCCTGGTTGCTGTCCCTCAGCTCTTCAGCTCAAGGCTAGCACTCTACCACTTGAGCCACAGCACCCCTCCTGGCTTTTTCTGCTTCTGTGGTACTGAAGAATTGAACCGAGGGCCTCAGGCATGCAAGGCAAGCACTCTGCCACTGAGTCACCTTCCCAGCCCATGCTAATTTGATTTAAAATGAAATATGACTGAGTTGGGCACTGGCAGCTCATGCCTGTCATCCTAGCTGCTCAGGAGGCTTTGATCGGAGGATCTCAATTCAAAGCCAGGATGGGAAGAAGTCTGTGAGACTCTTATCTCCAATTAATCAGCAAAAATCTGGAAGTAAGGGGTGTGGCTCAAGTGGTAGAGCACCAGCCTTGAGTGAAAAAGCCAAGTAAGACGCTGGGAGCTGATGGGTCATGCCTATAATCCTAGTAACTCAATAGGCAGAAACAGCCCATGCAAGAAAGTCTATGGGACTCATATCTCCAATTAAACACTAAAAAGCCAGAAGTGGAGCTGTAGCTCAAGGGGTAGAGCACTAGCCTTGAACACAAAAGCTCAGGGACAGTGCCCGGCCCTAGTTCAAGCCCCAGTACCAGCACCTAAAAATAAAAAAGCCAAGCAAGTGCGTAAGACTCAGAGTTCAAGCTTCAGTAAGGACATAAAAAGAATTTAAAAAAAAAAACACATTGTTATTCTGTCTTCTCATAACAGATTTTGAAGCTTATTACAGCGACATCCAAGAAGCAGTGCCATCCAGGGGAAGACAGCCAGGTGACTCCTCCTGTTATTTCTCTCCCTGTCCAGGAGGGCTTTATGCCTCCCCCTTCTGCACACCCACTTCTGAAATCCCAGTTCACCATGCTTCTCCCTTATACCAAAGCAACTGGTGCTCACCAGAGTTAAAGGATGACAGGCTAGCCCAGACTCTCACTTCTGACTCTGATTTATGCACATCTCAGACCCAAGCCTCCCCAAATCCCACATTGCATAGTCCATCCCATCTGCCTGTGGCATCTGGTCAGATCCTGTTTACCTGTATCTGTCCCTTTAAAGAAAGCTTTTATGGCTAGCTTATATTGGTGTCCCCAGAATGGTCTCAACGCCTAGTGCATCAGCATGTGACAAGTCCATAGCTGGAGGAATAGATGATCAGAGGATGATTCGTTGGTTCATCAGGTGAACAGGAGTGAGAGATTGATGTGTAGAGCATAGATGGGCAATGTGTGAATAATGGATCTGTCTAGTAAGAAGGTAGATCATCAGAAAATGGTTCATCTACTAAGTGACTTAGTAGATGCTTTATTTGTCCTGAGTGATTGATTTGTGTGGGAGTGTATTGACCAGTAGATGTCATTCCTCTGATTTGCTGCCGTGTTTTCTTTGATGGTCCTCTTCAACTGTCTCTACCTTTACAACTTCTCTGGCCCTCCCCATGCTCCTTCCTGTGTGATGAGACCGAGTAGAGACTCAGAAAAGCAAAGGCTATTATACTCCCAGATTGTGGAGACTGGAGCAGCCCACCAGATAGGGCCTGGAAGGGGTACCTGAGAATGGTCAGGAGGCAGAAGACAGGAGTGAGGGAGAGCTGAGGCCTAGCCTTAGTGGGGTCTTTCAGGGACGCCACAGGTGCATTAGAATTTGCTAATAGGAATAATTCCAGTGGTCTCAGCCAGGATAGAAACTCTGGCTGTGGCTCTGACAGTTTGCATTTCCAAGACTGGTCCATGGATAGACCTTGGCTGTCGTGAAGGATGGACTAGCCCTCGAGGCCTCCACCAGAAATTTACTTTTGGTGCCAATTTGGGTTTAGGTTTGGTTGGGGATATCAAAAGATCATACCATACAGAATGTTTTAGAAGTTTTACAGTATAATCATGTTTACACTCATGGTGTTTCCGTAATACTACTGAAAAGAAAGAAGGATGTCATGCTATTGATAACATGACCTTTCTTGATAGGAATCATTCTAGGCCCTCAACAGTGGCTTGTCTTTGCATGATATCTTCTTTCAATGTCCATTATTCAAACTCTTAAATTGGTCTTCTTTGTGTGTGTATATGTGCAGGTACTGGGACTTGAATTCAGGGCCTCTCTTACTTGTCTTTTTTTCACTCAATTCTGGTCCTCTACCACCTGAACCATGCTTTCTTGGTCTTCTTACCTTAGCCCCATCAAGCCTGCACTCTTCCTCAGGCTACATGGTAGCCTCCGTCTCCCTACTTGTTCCTGCTGCCTGAAGTTACTCCCCTACAGCCATGTGAGAAGTTTCCTGTCATGAATGAGGCAGTCCCTTCTCCCAGGCTGCCCTGGTGGTCCCTCCAGCAGCTTCCCTCCATGGGCAGGGTCAAGGTTGCGTGATCCCCCCGCAGAACATGGCTCCATGGTGTTTAGCTTTTTTGTTCAGCCTGGAAACGTCTTTCTTCAGATCTCCACAGAGCTCATTCTCATCTCTGTTCTGTAGTTTCTTCTTAGGCAGGGGCTTGTCCCCCACTCCTCGTGTTTGCGCTTCTGTTGTACTGGACAATCGGATCTCTTTCTCTGCTTTCTAACCACCCCCTCCCCCCCAGCATTTACCATCACCTGACTTTGCATTACTTGCTTCCTTGTTTGTTTGTTTAACTTCCTCTCTATTATTTCCCAGGCTATAAGGATTTAGTTGATCTGATTCTCAAAGTCTCCAGTCCCCAGACACAATGTTAAAACATAAAAAGTACTTATCAACTAATCAGCAGCAGAAAGGAACACACAATTGGCTGACAAAGTATATGATAACATATTGGCTCTGTTGAATTGGTAAAGTCATTATTTTAGCTATAATATGTCCAGCAATAGTGATCACCATTAATATCAAATTGTTCATGTTTCGGAAAGACTGCGTCTTGTTTATCATCTATGGCCTTGGTTTGTCTTCTTAGGGAACAATATCAGCCCCCCTGGACAAGGATCCAGCCCTCGGGCTGAGGGGAACCCCTACGATGGGGATAATCTGCTGGGTCCCTTCCTCTCCCCAAGCAGAGCAGGGCCAGTTCTCATGACCGACTGGCACAAGACCCAGGTCAGACCCGCTGTTTTCCAAGGCTACACAGCATCAGGTATGAGCTTGCTTTAGGTATCCTGCAAGTCATAGCAGTGCCAAAGGAGACTGCATATTGGTCCACCTTTTCTCCTGAAACTTCCATTTTAGCAGCACACAGATATTTGGAGCCATCTAACCTCTTCTCCTTGCATTTGTCCCCCTGGGGACAACTCCTTTACTCGGAGTAGTGTTTGTTTTGGATGTCCCAGGAGGCCCTATCTGTAGGCCAGCATGCCTGCCTGGAGGCTAGTCCCTTCAGGGTCCACCATCTGGATGGCCTCTCATTGGGCAGATGAACCACTCACATGAATGATGCTTGCTCTGAGGAATGGGTTTCTAACCAGTGTTCCCCAGCAGGAACCACTTGGTTGAGTTGCTGTGGTTAGCTTACCACTGTTATAGATTTCATAGTGAGGTGATTTCCTCCCCACTCCTTCCTTGAGACATTTTGGCAGGTACTGTTTTAAAGAGATGATGTTTAAAAGTTATCCCTGTGTATGCTGGCTCTCGTGTTCTGGATGTTTCCCTAAGTCAAGGAAAGTAGTACAGAGCCAGACTTTACCTCCTGAGGAAGTAGTCCCGCTCTTAGAGGAAGCAGCGATGGTCAGATTAAGCATGTTTATAATAGCCAACATTCCAAAAAAGTTTGTAAATAGTTTCAGCATCTCTTAATCATAATTTATATAGTTAAATGCACAAACAGCAAAACTGAACATGGAACTTACTATAGACAGACAAAATAAGATCTTGCGGCAGTCTCTTGGAAAGTCTGACATTTCTGAGCTCAGACTGATAGGTTCACCTCCAAATGTTGCTTCTGTTGAGCTGATGGGGGCGGGGTGGGGGTGGCAGTGTACAGGGATTGGATTTCAGCTCTTCAGGGAAGACAGAAATCAGCAGACCTCAACAGTTCCACAGAGGACCAGGACACAAAATATAGAATTGGGAACCCACCCCCAATATTGTGCTTGTCTTCCTACCCCTCAGAGTCCACTGACCATTATTTTTATGTGGCCACCGTCTTTTATAGGTATCACAGGATCATCTGTGACAATAAAGCCCTACTCCCTGAGCAGTGGAGAGACGTATGTTCTACAAGCATCTGTGGGTATGTTACTTGGCCAGTTGAGTCTGGTGTTAGGGGATCATAAAGGTTTGGTCATAACTCATATGCTTTTCAAGAAAATGATCATCACTTTCTCCTATTCCAGAAATTTTGTGGTCCCTGACTTTCCCCATTTCTTCTGCCTACCTTCCCTCACTATTGCCTTTGACCAGGGCATCAGCAGGTCATGGTTCTGTTACTACATTTTACTTTTCCTCATGGAATCAGGTGCATGTTTAGGAATTGCCAGCACTGATGACTCATGCCTGTAACCCTAGCTACTCAGGAGACTGAGATCTGAGGATTGTGATTCAAAGCCAGTTGAGGCACACAAAAGTCAATGAGACTGTTATCTCCAATTCACCTTCAAAAGCCAGATGTGGGAGTGTGGTTTAAATGTCAGAGCACTAGCCTTGAGCAGACATAGCTCAGTGAGACTGAGGCTCTGACTTTAAGCCCCAGTACACACACACACACACACACACACACACACACACACACACACACACACACACACACACACACACACACACACACACGGTATACAGAATAAAGGCTGAAAAGTTGCCATTTAAAATTGTACGTTGCCATTTAAAATTGTACATTTTGTTGAGACTTGGAATGTGGCTCAGTGGTAGAGTGCTTGCCTTGAGCAAAAGAAGCTCGAGGACAGTGCCCAGGTCCTGAGTTCAAGCCCCTGAACTGGCAAAAAATAAATTTAAAAAATTGTAGGGCTGGGAATGTGGCTTAGTGGTAGAGTACTTGCTTAGCATGCATGAAGCCCTGGGTTTGATTCCTCAGGACTACATAAACAGAAAAGGCCAGAAGTGGTGCTGTGACTCAAGTGGCAGAGAACTAGCCTTCAGTAAGAAAAGCTCAGGGACAGTGCCTAGGCCCTGAGTTCAAGCTCCAAGACTGGCAAAAAATAAAAATAAATAAAATTGTACATTTTGTATTATAAAACTTGATAAAATTGGCTGTGAAGGTGGCTCAGTGGTAGTGCTTGACTTGCATGCATGAGGTCCTGGGTTCGATTCCTCAGCACCACATAAGCAGGAAAGGCCAGAAGTGGCACTGTGGCTCAAATGGTAGAGTGCAAACCTTGAGCTGAAGAGCTCAGGAACAGTGCCCAAGCCCAGAGTTCAGGCCCCACAACCGACCAAAATAAACAAAAACAAAACAAAACAAAAAACCTTGATAAAATGATTTGTTTTGTGAGAATCCATCTGTAATCCCTTTCTGTTTAGCCAGGTGTCATTGCACTGTTCTGTGTGGTTGGTGTGGGTCTGACTTCACTTGCACAGCCACCCTGCATGGGGCCCTCACATCCCTTACACTTATATCATGATACAATCTAAGGATCATCCTTTTGGGTAACTTCTAGACATTTCTCTCCATTTCATAACAAGAACAGAGGATGTAGCAATTACATTTATAGACAAGTCTGCTTTGGTGACCACATTTTTTTAATATTTATTAAAATCTACCATAAACCAGGTGTAGTGACACATACCTGGAATCTTAGCATTCATAAGACTGAAACAGGAGGATCAAGAGTTCAAAGCTAACCTGGGCTATAAAATGAAGTCCTATCTTGCTGACAACTGCACAAACCACAACCCACTGTACACTTCCAGTTTTACATCCTCTGTGTGTGTGTGTGTGTGTGTGTGTGTGTCCCATCTCCTGAAGAAGCAGCACAGGGATAAATTTTGTCTGAAACTGGGATTCTGTATAATCACTAAAGACCTGGATTGTCTGTGCTGGGAATATCAGCTTGTTCCCTGCACAGCCACAGCGTGCACACAAAGCCCTAGGCCCCTGCTTGTGCCAGAAGAAGATTAATGATTGCTTTTGTTTCGACAAACATCTTTGTCCTTGGGCTGGACTTCTTTCTCCCTTGCCTCTGAAATCTGTCCAAGTAACAACTGAAGGCCTTTAGATTAGCCATGTTCTTCATTGGAACTGGAGCCTCTTGAGAGCCTGTCCATAGCTCCAGGTTCAGTTCAGCTTGGCTACCTGAGAGAGGGGAGCTTGGTCTCCACGTGTCCCACCACCCAACTTCCTCCTGCTGTGCCCCCAACAGCCTTGCTTTTCTTACTGCATAGATCACCCTGTGGCCTGCGGATCTGTCTTCCCTTGTGGTTATTTTGGCAAATGCCCATTCACATCTCTATGTCCCTTCTTGACCACTGAACCCCAGGAGTGCCTGCTTAAATTGGTTAAATCTGCTTTTGAATAGATTTTCCTGACCATCCAGGTAGAATTACTTACTCTTTCCTCTTGGGTTGTATTGTATTAAAGTATCTGTTTTCTGTGGTTTATCTGAGGGCAGATAGCTTAACACATGAACAATGTCTGGTCAGACCCTGGCACTAAACAGAGGTGCTTTGTATGGTGGCAATTTTCACCAAGATTTTTAACAAATTGACACATAAATCTCCATCCCATAGCTCATCTCAAGAAAAATACACTAAAAGTTTGGAACACTTCACGTATGAGAATAATCATCGGGGGCTGGGAAGGTGGCTCAGTGGTAGAGCGCTTGCCTTGCATGCGTGAGGCCCTGGGTTCAATTCCTCAGCACCACATAAGCAAAAAGAAAAAAGTAGGAAGTGGGTGGTGCTGTGGCTCAAGTGGTAGAGCGCTAGCCTTGAGCTGAAGAGCTGAGGGACAGTGCCCAGGCCCAGAGTTCAGGCCCCACGACCGGACCCCCCCTCCAAAAAAAAAAAAAGAGAGAATAATCATTGGTGAGTGGCTAGTAATAGCACAAAGTAGAAAGCAGTAAGTCATCATCGGGGAGGAATAGTCATGCAGATTGGGATGCATCTGCCCAGTGGAATATCACACTGTTACTCACAACAGTGATTTAGATGATTGCTTCCATCCATGTTACTATAGGGTAGCACAGAAAATGTTTATGATGAGAATACCACTGATAAAAGAAGATATAAAATTGTATCCATGCTATAAATGTAACTCATCTGTCCTAGTATGCGTGAGACTGAGGTGTTAAGCAAATCTCAGAGGAAGGCTAATGTGTGCTCCATGCATCCTTGGGGTCCTCTTCCCAGAGATTTTTGGTCTCTGTTAGGGGAATTTTTGTCTGGCTCCTGAGTAGGAAATTAGTCTCCCTTGTCTACTTTTATTTCCCAGGGTCTGGAAAATTGGTTTTCCCACTTAGTGCTCCCATTCTCCAGGGCTCAGTGGATCCCCAACACATACTTACACCCCAAGGTACCAAAACACTATGCGCATCTGTCTGAGTCAGCAGGAAAAATTTTGTGTGATCACATTTAATCCTCTGGGGGCTGGGAAGGAGCTCAGTGGTAGAGTGCTTGCCTTGCATGCATGAGGCCTTGGGTTCAATTCCTTAGTACCACATAAGCAGAAAAAGCCAGAAGTGGTGCTGTGGCTCAAGTGGTAGAGCACTAGCCTTGAGCTGAAGAGCTGAAGAACAGCGCCTAGGCCCAGAGTTCAGGCCCCACGACTGACCAAAAAAAAAAAAATTAATCCTCTGCCACTGTTGTCCTCCATCATGGCTAAAATCTCCATCTTGTCTCTCTTAGCTTCCAAGCATGGCTTACGAGGCCGAGCTCAGCTCTACTTCACAGTCAACCCGACTCCACAAGACATGGCCTGCCAGATATGGCCCCACCATGGTCTTGAGGCACAGACCATCTTTAGTGTTTTCTGCCTGTCAGTGAATCCGGTATGTGACAGCTCTTGTTTGTCCTGAAACTGTTCAGCTTTGTCAGAAGTTGCAGCCAGCTCCGCACAGCAAGCAGTAGGCACAGAAGGCCAATTTGGCCTTCCCCATCTGTGAAGGCTGTGGGCCTGCAGTTGGATGTAGAAAGCAGCCACACTAGCAATAGGGGTACAGAGAATCCCTCACTCAGAAGGAAAGGGAGGACTTGCTCCCTGGAAGTCCCCCTGGGGCACTTGATCGCAGCTAACACTGCATGCACATGGACATTGGGGATGGGATGAGGAGGCTGAGCTTTATCCCAAAGCATGTCTCTAGTCTGAATTCCACCTCTCCTAAGTTGAGCACTGGAGAAGGTCTCTGTGGGTTTTTGCACAGGGTCTTTGTGAGGATTTGAGAGGAGGTTGAGTGTAGAGGGTCCAGTGCTCCCTCTGTCGGTCAGATGACAGGCCAAGTGGGAGCTGCCATATTGGAATCCTGGCACCATTTTCCTCTTCTTGCTGTGGACTGGTGGACACCTCCCATTTCTGCCCTTCTGTCCTGCCCATGTTATTCCTTTTGAAGCTTGCCCTTGTTTGTAGGAATGGCCAGGCCCTAGCTCAGACCTCAGGCCTCATTTAATAACTTTTGCTTTTAAACCCTGGGCCCCCACATCTCCTTTCTGCTGCCCAGGTGTCTGGATCAGGCCTTTCAGTACATCTCTTCATCCTCAGTGGAGGACAGACTGTCTGATTTCTGACTGTTGGGAAACTTGAGGGAAAGGAGAGCTATCTAGTGGACTCTGAGGGAGGAATCCTGCTTTGGGGGAGAAACTGTTGGTCTAAAAGACAGGAGTCGTACAGATAGGAAATCAGGGACCAATATTTACCTTGTTCCTGGTTGCAACATATGTCCTCAAGTACAGGTGAATGTTTAGTGATGATGCCAATCATAGTGTGTTCAACCACTCTATGTTTTTGCTCTCCATGGATCAAATGATAGGACTTTCACTATGAATTTAGTTACCGGCTTGGAAATGCCTCCAAACACACTCTGTACCGTGGAAGAGATACCCATTATTACTTTGCACTGCCAGCTGGCGAGCCCTTGGACAGTTACAAAGGTAAGTCATAATTGGATAGTGGCCATGTGCTATGCCCACTTGCTGTTTTCTCCTGGTTTATAAAAACTAAACATTATTGAAACTATGTGCCTAAATATTGAAATTTTTTATTCACCTTGAGTTTGATGTTTTGTCTTTTTTTTTTTACCTGCCCATAGTGGAAAAAAAGGCATTAGGAATATCATCCATAGCTAGGTATTTCTATATCTTATATTTTGTATGAAATATAACATAATCATTAAGATGCCAAAGGATGTTTTTGATATTTCTTGTTTCCTAATTAAATATATTCTCTTTGGTGAATCTTGAACGCATTATAGATTAAATGAAATCAAGGCATTCCCCCCCTCAAAAAAGAGAAAATGTGGGGTAAAGGATTGTTGAGTTGGCAAGTTGTAATGCTGGTGGCTCACTCCTATAATCCTAGCTACTTAGGAGGCTAAGATCTGAGAACTACAGTTGGAAGCCAGGTCGGCAGGAAAGTCCACAAGAAATACCATTCATCTCCAGTTAACAACTGAAAAGCCAGAAGTAGAGCTAAGTTCCTGAGGTCCTGAGTTCCAGCCCCAGGACTAGCACAAAAAGAGAAAAGAAAGATTATCTTGGCTCCTGGTTTTGGAGGTTTCAGTCTTATAACTGTCTAGTCCCGCTGCTTTGAGACGTGAAGGCACTGCATTGTGTGCAGGGATTGGGTGGTGGGAAAGTCCCACTGATCTCTGGGGCAGTATGAAAGAGGGATAAAGATGAGGGGCCACGGTGTCCGTCTTCCTGTTGAAGGTGCATCTCCAGGGACAGGAAGACCTCCCTCAACAGTCACTTCTTGAAGCTTTTCAGACTAGCCACTTCCTGCCATTCCCCATCTACTGACGTCCCCTCTATCATTTTTCACCATCTTCTAGGCCTATGAAGTCTGTTGACATTATTTAGGGACTGCTTACAATGTCACCCCAACCTTTGGTGGGATGTTATCCATCCTGTGATTTCCTGCTCTGGGAACCTGGTTGGGAGCAAGCTCTTGCCCTGGCTAAGGCACTGCTGAGTGTGCAGGAAGAGGCATCTCTGTAAGTACATGCCCAGGATGACTCTCCCTGTCCTCCTTCCTCACAGTCATGGTTTCCACCGAGATCACAGATGGAAAAGGCTCCAAGGTGCAGCCATGCACTGCAACAGTGACCGTGATGCCCCGTTTCCACGGGAACAGCTGCCTCAGCCAGGACCTGTGAGTACCACACCACCACAGTCATCCATACTAGAGCAGTGTTTGTGTTTCCCTGGGAGATGGCAGTGCAGTGGGTTAAGAGGTTTTCTTTATCTTTGTGCCAGTCCTGGAGCTTGAACTCAGGGCCTGGGCATTGTCCCTGAGCTTGTTTTGGTCAAGGCTAGTTCTCTACCACTTGAGCCACAGCTTCACTTGCAGCTCTTTGACAGTTTATTGGAGATGAGTATCACTGACTTCTCTGCCAGGCTGGCTTTGAATTGCCATCCTCAATTCTCAGCCTCCTGAGTAGCTAGGATTACAGGTGTGAGCCACTGATGCCCTGTTTTTTTTTTTTTTTAAAGCAGTTTTGCTGAGGCACTTTTACAAACTAGATAGTCCATCCAGTAAAATGTTGTGTACTTCTTTGTATACTTACAGAATTGTGCAAACTTTCACATTTTCAGGATCACAATGGTTTGTATTCCTTAGCAGTCTTGTCCCCCCAACCACCCAGTTTCCTCATTCTAGCCCCAAATAACTAATCTTGGAAGTGTAGAGGTGGTTTAAGTGGTAGAATGACACCTTGAGTGAAAAAGACAACCAGATTGTGAAGCCTTGAGTTCAAGATAGTACCAGCTTTCTGTCTCTCTCTTCTGTGTCTCTGTCTCTGTCTGTCTCTCTGTCTCTGTCTCTCTTTCTCTCTCTCTCTCTCTCTCTCTCTCTCTCTCACACACACACACACACACACACACACACACATACATCCCTCTACTGATCTACTACGTATTTATCTAGTCAAGATATTTCACATCAATGGAATGATGCAAAATGTGATCTTCAGTAACTGTCTTTCATTTAATATGTAAAAGTTTTGAGTTACATCTATGATATGAATTTATGAATTCCTACCATCTTTTTTGTATTGCTAAATATTTATTGTATGGATATATCATGATATTTCCAAAGTGAGTGCTCTGTTTTCTAATAATTCAAAGATTTTGTGGAAGCTAGCTGTCAATTCTCCTTTAAACACTGCATACAAACTACCAGTGACATGATCTGGGTCTGGCATTTTTTTGTTTTATAATTACTTACTCAGTCTCATCAGTATTCACCGTTTTAAATTTCTTTCTGAGTTGGTTTGAGTAGCTTACATCATTTTGGGATTCTTTTCCACTTCATCAACATTCTTTAATCTTTTGTTGTACAAGATTTTCTGTTCTTCAAAAACAGTATTCTGTCATAACCCTTTTTATTCTGTGTGGTTATTTTAGTAATTAAGTTCTTTTCTTTTTGTGCCATCATCAGTATAGCTAATAATTTGGGTTTAGCTGATCTCTTTAAAGAATCAGGTTTTTTTGTTTCATTGATTTTTCCCCTTTATTTATTTATTTATTTTGCCAGTCATGGTGCCTACTCTGGGCCTGGGCACTGTCCCTCAGCTCTTCAGCTCAAGGCTACTGCTCTACCACTTGAGCCACAGCACCACCTCCAGCTTTTTCTGCTTAAGTGGTGCTGAGGAATCGAACCCAGGGCCTCATGAATGCAAGTCAAGCACTCTACCACTGAGCCACCTTTCCAGCCCCTCCCCTTTATTTTTTTATATTCTTTATTTCATTCTTTTCTGCACTTAATCTCTATCATTTCTTTCCTTTTGATTGTTTGGGCTTTCTTTTTTTTTTTTGCCAGTCCTAAAGTTTTAAGTCAGGGCCTGGTCACTAACCTTCAGCTTCTTTTGCTCATGGTTAGCACTCTACCACTACAGTTATAGCTTTTTCTTTTTTTATTTTTATTTTTTTTTTGAGTTATAGCTTTTTCTGATTAGTTTGTTGGAAATAAGAGTCTCATGGACTTTCTTGCCTGGGCTGGCTTTGAACTGCTATCCTCAGATCTCAGCCTCCTTAAGTAGCTAGGATTATAGGCCTGAGCCACTGATGCCTGCATTGTTTATTTTCTTTATATACTTTACAGCTATAAAGTTCCTTCCAGCACTGCTTTCACTCCATCCCATATAGTTTGGGGTGTTATGTTTTCATTTGTTAGTTTCAAGGTATTTGATAATTTCCTTTTCTATTGCTATTTTGAACCATTAATTATTGAAAGGTGTATTTACTTTTCACAGATTTTCACATTTGCCAAATTTTCATCTTATAATTTCAAATTTAATGCTATAATCAGAGAACATACTTTGTCAAATGTCCTATAATATAATATAGTCTAGAAATTTTTTTTTTTTTTTGGGTCCGGTCGTGGGGCCTGAACTCTGGGCCTGGGCGCTGTCCCTCAGCTCTTCAGCTCAAGGCTAGCACTCTACCACTTGAGCCACAGTGCCACTTCTGGCTTTTTTTTTTTTCTTTTTGCTTATGTGGTGCTGAGGAATCGAACCCAGGGCCTCGAGCATGCAAGGCAAGCGCTCTACCACTGAGCCACCTTCCCAGCCCCCTAGTCTAGAAATTTTTATGTGTACTTGAGAATGTATGTTCTACTTTTGTTCAGTAAAAGTGGTTTATGGATGTTTGGTCTAGTTCTGTTTGAGACAGATAGACAGACAGACAGACACAGAGAGAGAGATTGATTTTTCTGCATCATTGTTCTATTGGTTATTGATGGTATTATTAGTTATGAATTTTCTCTGTCCCTCATTTTCTGATTTACATATACAGGGCCTATCCTTCCTTCCTTCCCTCCCTCCCTTTTTCCCTCCCTCCCTCCCTCCCTCCCTCCTTCCCTCCTTCCCTTCTTCCTTCCTTTCTTTCTTTCTTTCTTTTTTGTACTGGTACTGGGGCTTGAACTCAGCGACTGGGAATGTTTTTTTCCCTTAGCTTTTTTTAAAACAATTTTTTATTGAGATTAAGTGATTACATAAATTTCACAGCTTTGTGAGATAGTGATACTTAAAGTCACAAGGCATTTCAATTGTCATTATCATGGTCTATAAAGTTTGTGGATTCTGTAAGCTTTGACAATACAACTATTTCTTCCAAATTGGGTGATATGTACATTTCTTTCCTTTTGCTTAGTGTAAGCTGTTCCCTCTCATTCCCTCCCGTCCATCTTGAGTTGCTTAGTTCATTTTCACCAATGTACAATGCAGCTGATGGGCCCCTCTGTTGTATTTTTTTCCCCCTGTTTCCCTCTGATTCTGTGCCCTCCTCCTAGTTTCCTTTGCTTTTTTTTTTTGCTCAAGGCTAGTACTCTACCGCTTCTGGTTTTTTTTGGTTGTTAATTGGAGATAAGAGTCTCACAGCCATTCCTACCCAAGCTGCCTTCAATCTATGATCCTCAGATCTCAGCCTCCTGAGTAGTTAGGATGACAGGTGTAGACCACACTCCTTTATTTGCCATGGCAGATATGTCAATATCCTGTTTGGCTTCTTTGTACCCTGTTCAGTTCTGATGAAAGAGGCTTTTTGTAGGACTTTGGTATGAGACTGTACTGTGTCTATTTAGAGTTTTTCTGTGTAGAAGAACATTCTGTATTATTTGATTTCTTCATTTATCCATTTAAGATGAATAAATTCTCCTTAACCCTTGACAGGAAGGATGAACGGTTTTGAGATGCGTGCGTGCGTGCGTGCGTGTGTGTGTGTGTATTTAACCTTGATAACATCTGGTGTTTCCTTCAGATATAATTCCAGCCTGAAAAGCTTGTCTACCCTCCAGCTGATGGGGAGTCACAGGGAAGCAAGGAACTTCATCACCATGATCACTGGAATCCTGAGACGTTTGTCTAAGGAGAACAGAAGTACTTCATGTGGCCAGTGGTTGCAAACGCAAGATGTGTTAATTTCTTCCTTGTGCAAATTAGTGTTTACAGATCAGGTATGGCCCAGAATAGGGTAAGGTAAACCATCTATAAACTTGCATAAAGTGGTGAGGTCTGAGACCAGTTGGCCCCTGGCACATGGTTGGCTCTCTGTCACATGGTCAGCTCCCTGGCTTGTGGTTATGCTTATGAAACAAAAGCAAGGAAGGAGCCACAATTTCTCTTACTTGCTGAGATGTCTTGCAAATCAGTGTCACTGGTTTATGAAAAAGAAAGCAATACAAGTAATCCAGCATTGCAGATAATTCTGATGTTTCTGCAAGTAAGATTATATAAATACAATCTGCTACTATCCTGTTAACACTACCCTACAATGTTAAAAGTCAAAGGAAGGAAGGAAGGAAGGAAAGGAAGGAAAGGAAGGAAGGAAGGAAAGAAGGAAGGAAGGAGGGAGGGAGGGAGGGAGGGAAGAAGAGATGGGAGATGGAGGGAGAGAGGAGGGAGGGAGGAAGAAGAAAGGAAGGAAAAGCGAAAAAATAAGAAAAAGAAATGAGAAAGAAGGAAAGAGAGAAAAAATATGTTGCTTGAGTGGTTTTCTTTCTCTTGTTATTCTCTCTGACCCCTTTCCAAGCTCCATTTGGTTCTGTCCTCTTTTCTCCTCTATCATATCAGTTTCCTAATGGAATATGGTGAAGTTGGCTGGGGACACACAGGGGGAGAAATATTAGGCTGGAAGGAAAACTTGAGCCTTGCAAGAGAAAGACTTGCATTCAGGTAGTGTCTTAGGTGAATAGCATAAAGTCTGCTCTAAACTAAAAAGATCTTCTTCCTTCTCTCCCCCACCCCCACTTCTTTTACTTTCCTTGTTTTTGCCATCAGGAAGAAATAATTGATTCTATTCTTTTATTAAGAGACCTCATAAGTCTTCCTCATAAGGTAAGTGCTATTTATTTGCAAGTGTACTTTTTCTGCTTTTTTTAACTTCATAATTTTGAATGGCCAGTTCTTGAAGAATAGAACTTTCCAGAGCTATATTTTGACATTTAGATTGAAATACAATTTTCTTCTAAAAATTCATTAGAATGGTGATTTTTTTTTTTACTTCAGAACATGGCTGGAGAATTTTATTCCTGTGTATAGAATTTTGGAAACTCAAAGTAGAAACTGATTTTTTTTTTTAAAAAGCACTAGTCATGCTGTGAACATTTTGGAAGGTAGTATCTTTCCTACTCTTAATATGAAATAGGTTATTTTTCCTGTGGGACAATTTTATTTCTCATGCTACCTTTCCCACGAAATCTTCAGAGATATGAGAGAAGAACTCATTTTACTTAAGGCAACTTGTATATGACTTTATTCTAGCTTCTGGCTTATAATCAATGCTTCGGTCTTACAATCTTTATTTGAGGTACATCTGTCTTCTGACTTTACTGTGAAACATGATCATAATATGTTCTTACTTAAAAATGTACAACTGGTGGCTCATGCCTGTAATTCCAGCTACTCAGGAGGCTGAGATCTGAGGATCGTGGTTCAAAGCCAGCCCGGGCAGGAAAGTCTGTGAGAGTCTTATCTCCAATTAACCACCAGCAAACAGGAAGTGGTGCTGTGGCTCAAAGTGGTAGAGCACTAGCCTTGAGCTGAAGAGCTGAGGGACAACGCCCAGGCCCAGAGTTCAAGCTGCATGACTGGGAAAAAAAGAAAAAGGAAAAGGAAAAGGAAAGAGTTCAGTGTGGCTAAGCATAGAATTGAAGTGGCTGATGAGAACAGAGAAGGCCATAGAAGGACTTGCAAAAGAATTGGTAAAATGGCTTTTAACATTCAAACCAAATTATCAATGCACAAAGGGCTGCTGGGGTCCTTGGTTTCCTTAGTTATTTCATGAGTGAAAACCGTTTTCAGAGAGGAAACATAGGCCGTCCAATTCTGTTGACCAAAAGTTCAATTATTCTAATTCCAATGATAATGAAAAAGGTATATGCATTGTGGATGTAAAAAAAATAGTTCATTTTATATCTCTTCTCTTCGTGTAGTTAAGCTTTGTTAGTGCAGTACACATTCTCAGGTACTCCCGGATACTCCTTACTCATGGCCAGTTCTTGGAAAGATTTGTGGTTGACAAAGGACTTGGTCTTGAACTTATCCTACTCATTGCTGGAGTCTGGGAAGCCAGCACACAAGAAAACTTGACAAATGAGGACTATCTACAAGAAGAAGGAATGAAGGTCATCTCAGATGTGTTGCTAGTAAGTGAGATGTTTTATTCATCCCTAAGAACACAGCTGCAGGCTGTGCACGAGCTCACTAGACAATGTATAGTTGGCGTGTATTTCCCCCAACACCAAAAATACAACTGTTTTCTCCCTCCCATGTTGACCTACATTGGCAATCACTTTTTTTTTTAATGTCCAAGGCAGAATAACCTTATAAAGATAATAGGATTATTTACATCATAGCTCTGAAGATTTAGAGGTGAGGATCTTTTATTTGTGGGCTTCTGGCTGAAAGTCTCCAGTTGGTTTGGGGCATCAAATATTTGGAGAAAGGAGCATGCATGTGCATCTGTGTGCTTGACTGGTCTCTGTCTTGTTCTTTCGTGTGTGTGTGTGTGTGTGTGTGTGTGTGTGTGTGTATGGGTGGGTATGGGTGTGGGTGTGTCTATGTGTGCATGTGTCTGTGTTTCCTTTGTAGTCCTACGTGAGAATAAAGTGGATGGTATTTTGGTATTTGGAGATTGTTATTTTTTTTTTTTTTTTGGTTGGTCGTGGGGCTTGAACTCTGGGCCTGGGTGCTGTCCCCCTCAGCTCTTCAGCTCAAGGCGAGCGTTCTACCACTTGAGCTACAGCGCCACTTCCGCTTTTCTGGTGGTTTATTGGAGATAGGAGTCTCACAGTCTCTCCTGCCCGGGCTGGCTTTGAACCGAGATCCTCAGGTCTCAGCCTCCTGAGTAGCTAGGATTACAGGCGTGAGCCACCAGCGCCCGGCGAGATTGTTATTTTCAATGTTAAATGTTTCGTGATAATGGTGTAATGTTCCTAATATTTTGGTAGATGTTCACTGGGATAATTAGGGAGATGTTTGATTTAGGAGCATCATTCGTCAGACTATCTTCTATGTTTTAAAAAAAAATGATGTGAAGGACTGCAAGACTTTCTTATACGCATTAACCTAAAACAGAACCCTACTGATCTATAACTGATGAAAACAAAATATCAAATCTTATTTCTGTGACAGTAACTGTAGGAAATTATCTCAGAGTTTTTCTGTCTCATCTTGTGAAATGGCCAATGCTTTTAGGAAGCAGTGAATTCGTAGACAGGCTGTTGTCTCTGCAAACTGCCAACCCTCCCACACATACCTGTTGGTTTATTTAGCTTTCAGTTACCAAACTATTTGGGAAAGTGTCGCTACCGCCTCGACCAGCAAGGAAGACGCGACACCGAACTCTTCTCTCTGCAGTTTATTCAGGACCTTTGAGTAATCTTCTGACCCCAACCCCGGGGAAAATTCCCCACAGCCTTAAGTACCCGCTGGGTAGCCAACCCTGATACGCCACATGGGATCCACCAATAGGTTCAGGTGCGCGGAAGCAAGCCAAATTCTTTGCCTTAGCCATATAAGGAGTTGTTTACCACAGAGAGCACTCGCCATCGGGAAGGCGGAGGGCGAAAGCCGGTGCCATCTTCCAGGTGCAGCCTCTCGCAGCTCTCTACAGTTCCCCCTTTTTTGCTTAAAGAACACAGATGAGAACAGAGGTCTGATCCCTGTTGTGCAATGCAAGGCAAGCGCTCTACCACTGAGCTACCTTCCCAGCCCCTTCCAAGCAGCATATTTCTGTCCCAAGCTGGGTTTCCCGCAGCCTGATTGGCCGCAGCCTCTTCACTAGCAAATTTAATCAAAAAGGCCTTCCAATCTAAATACTGACCTGGGCACAAACAAGCTCGTGCGAGCCCACTCCAATCACTGGGTGTCATGCAGTGTCTGTTTAGGGCCTCCACCTGGGCTACAGTAAGGGAGGCCGTGATTCCGTATGTCCGCACAGACTCAGCTAAAGATTTTATCACCTTAAAATCTAAGGGTTCATGATACCGCTGTCCCTGTGGATACTGAAATATTGGACAGACTAGATGTAACTTGGTTCTGATCGCTTTCCACACGTCTGGGCTGAAAGAACAGCCGGAGCTGCCACTTCCGGGGTCCTCCGCATAGAGCGGAGGGGCCGAGGGTGCGGCACGGTGCACGGAGGGCGTGCATTCCTCTTTATCTGGGTCCTCTCTCCTTCCCTTTCCTCCTCTTTCTTATCTTTGTTTTTTCTATTTGTTCTATGAGTGATTGTAGTTCCTCTGAGTCTGTAGACTCAGAGGTCTCTAGTTCGGCAAAATCGGGGTATAACCCCCCCCTGCTCTCCTCCTTTTCGCTGTCTGCCCTTTCCGATCTTTCTTCCTGCAGCATTTCTAGGGCGGCCTGACCATTCTCTACCGCCTCACTGCAGCGCTGGTCCTCGAGACAGCCTCTTATCAGTTTCCATATTGGTCTCACTCCGCTCTTAAGCGTTCCTTGTTCAGAGGCAAAATCTAGGTCCCTCCCTAGTTTCTCCCAAGAGGCCACCGTGAGGCTTCCGGAGACAGCGAACCACGGGGCAACGATGTCACATTCATCCAAAAATCTCTCTAAAGTACTCTTTTTTATTTTTAACTTTTTTGAGTGCAGTAGCTCATTGAGAGCCAAAAAAATTGGGTGCGAAGACGAAGCGCCCATGTTTTAAACATTTAAAGCTGGTAAACAAACTTTTACTTTCACTTTTGGCTACTCTATTGACTAGCCCCGGGTTCTCGCTCTTTCCCTATCTTACAGAGAAGAGCAAAAATCCACCCCCCCCCCCCCCCCCCCCCGCTCTTGTCGCGGATTCCCCTTTTACCTGGGAACTTATTCCCCACTCTTGTCGCGGATTCCCCTTTTACCTGGGAACTTATTCCCCGCTCTTGTCGTGGATTCCCCTTTTACCTGGGGACTTACCCCCGCTCTTGTCGCGGATTCCCCTTTTACCTGGGAACTTACCGGTGCACCACCCTGACTGCAGAGAGTTCTGAGTCCTCGTTGGGGTTATGGCTGAGTCCCCGTACGGGCCACTACGTGTCGCTACCCGCCTCGACCAGCAAGGAAGACGCGACACCGAACTCTTCTCTCTGCAGTTTATTCAGGACCTTTGAGTAATCTTCTGACCCCAACCCCGGGGAAAATTCCCCACAGCCTTAAGTACCCGCTGGGTAGCCAACCCTGATACGCCACGTAGGATCCACCAATAGGTTCAGGTGTGCGGAAGCAAGCCAAATTCTTTGCCTTAGCCATATAAGGAGTTGTTTACCACAGAGAGCACTCGCCATCGGGAAGGCGGAGGGCGGAAGCCGGTGCCATCTTCCAGGTGCGGCCTCTCGCAGCTCTCTACAGGAAAGTAGGAACTGAATAAATATTCCATCTAAATCTAATAATAATCTGGGTTTCAGTGGCTCACACCTGTAATCCTAGCTACTGAAAAGCCTGAGACCTGAGGACTGAGATTCAAAGCCAGCCTAGATAGGGAAGGCTATGAGTCTGTTATCTCCAATTAATCACCAAAAGTTTAGAAATGGCATTGTGGCTCAGCGTGGAAGAGTGCTAGCCTTGAGCCGAAAACCTCAGGGACAGTGCCCTAGCCCTGAGTTCAAGCCCCAAACAAGCATAATAAAATAAAATAAATTAAATAATCATCATCATCATAGTTACACATTAGCATATTTTCAAATATTTCTCACATTTTACCCTGGTCTTTGCCCAAAGGCACTGCAGTCACATTAACTTTTACTCTTCAGGTGTAATGGCATTAAACTCTGTTTAGATAGGTTAAGAACCCCTAGGAAAAATAAAAGATTAATTTAAAGGAGCAAAATTCCCAGAAAGGTATGCCGAAAAGAAAGACCACAGTTTGTGTTTTATTATTCTTTGTCATTACATCCTCTATCCATATCTTTCGGACAAATGAACCTGATCTAAGTTCAGGCTGTCTTGTCATTCTCCTTAGTCTGAACTCAGGGGTTTGTTCATTTGTGTTGCAAATATTCTGCTTTCAGAAGTGTCTTTCTTTGAGCCATGAGCGTCAATTCCATATGAGCACTGGGCAGATGGAATTCTGGATCCTTCTTCATCACAACCTTCAGAGCTCTGTTCAGAGCCTGGGCTCTGTCCAGGTGCATTTACCTGGTGACCTGGCTTGGCACACTCTTGCTCAAGAAGAAATGCAAAGCCCATGCTACATAAGCCAACTCCTGTTCTTCAAAAAGAGCCCCTATCCAAGGGTACCGGATCCTGGGCAGGTACCAGAGGTATTGACTGTCAACTTCTGTGGCAATTCAAATTGTGGTGACTGGGCTTAGGAGATAAACAGAGAAACTAGGTTGACAGGTTATAAACTAGGTTGTACTTGCTTTCTAGCTCCCAGAGAGGAGCCGCTTACAATGCATTGCTGTCTCCATGCCTTTGGAAGATAAGAACTCTCTAGAAAACTCTTAATAAAACTAGGGCTCTCAGGTACCTAGATAAGTGATCCCATTCAGTATTTCCTGTGGGGGGTTTTTGGGCACCACTAGAGAATACGAGACTTGAGGAGGTCAGAGCATGTGGTGTAGTATGTGTGCCTCCAGTGGCCTTACCTTTCCTAAAATCAAAGGCAGAGTTGAAGTGGGGTGAAACTTGCAAAGGGGCCCCAAGGATCCTCCAGGCCTCTCCATCATCTGCTCTCTTCTGACCTGAATTTGATGACCTGATAAGTCAGGCAGAGCTGTCCTAGCGATTTGGCAGGGTTTATTTTGTTTGTTTTCTGGTCCTGGGACTTGAACTCAGGGCCTGGGCACTGTCCCTGAGCTCAAAGCTAGTGCTCTACCACTTGAGCCACAGAACCATTGCTGGCTTGCTCTGAATAGGTTATTGGAGATAAGAGTATCGTGTGCTTTTCTGCCCAGGCTGGCTTTGAGCTGTGATCCTCAGATCTCAGCCTGCTGCCTAGCTAGGATTACAAATGTAAGCCTCAGGTGCCCACCCTATTTGGCAGTTTCGTGAACTTTCTAATTGGTGTCAGCATTCAGAAACTCCACAAGTGCTCCCAACTCACCATGAATCAGGAAGAATTCCAGAGATTTCTGTATTCTCCCTGCCCGGGCCTAAGCACCTGACTCACTTGGGTACCCAAGAGATTTTTCAATAGCTGATGAACAATTTATGATGAAAGTCTTATTTTTGTCATAAAATGCTCATAAAATATTTGCTTATTTTTTAAAAAAAACCTTTTAGGGAACTAGAAATTGTTAGATGGCTAATGGTATGGAATTTAATTCACACTAAAAAGCAATAAATAGCTATTAACGTGACTTCATGATGTCCAAAAGTGCAGTTATCTAAAACACCATGGCCAAGGTGCCTATGGCTCAAGTCTGCGACCCTAGCAACTGGAGAGGCTGAGAGGAGGACAGAAGTTTGAGGCCGAGAAACTGCATTTTGTTCTTGAAACCAAATCTTAAAAGAAACCATTAGCTGGGCACCAGTGGCTCATGCCTATAATCCTAGCTACGCAGGAAGGTGAGATCTGAGAATCATGGTTCAAAGCTGCCTGGTCAGAAAAGTCCCTATGAGACTCCAATTAGCCACTCAAAAATTGGAAGTGGTGCTATGGCTTAAGTGGTAAAGTACTAGCCATGAGCACCGAGAGGCTCAGGGACAGTGCCCAGGCCCTGAGTTCAAGCCCCACAACTGACAAAAAAGTAATCATCAAAAAGACATGGCTGGAGGCACTCAAGTGGTACAGTACCAGTCAAACAAGTGAGGGGACCCCAGGACAAACGAAAACATTTTACATCTAACACTTGTGAAGGCATAATGAGTGAATGAATGTAAGCATGGGCTTTGACACCAAGCACCTGGATTCAGTAGGGTCCCACACTGAGGGTTTGAGAAAGGTTCCCAGAAAGACAAAAGCAAACACTTTGTTTATTTATTCAAACGAATGTTCTAATAGTCCAGAACAGAAGTATACCTAACTGTGCAGCATAAGGGTGTTGGTCATCTAAGTGACTTGTCATTTACATGCAGTCCCTTAAAATTCTGTCCATTGGAGAATTTCAGGGATTTCAGAGTTTGGAGAGTTTGGAATATACCGTCTCCATGAGTGTCCCCTTGGAGTGAGGGAAAGACAGCAAAACTGTTCTTCAGGCTTCCGGACCCCTTTGATACCCATTGATTATCTACCACAAGCAGATATGAGCCCTTAAAGCAAAAAAAAAGAAAAGCAATATTAATACAACTTCCAAGATTAATCATTTTAACAAGAGTAGCATAAATTCACCCTAAATCCTGCCACTCTACCTAGGAAAACCACTTTTTTGTGCGTGCAACCCTCTGGTGTCGAGTGTATTCTTTTTCAAAGTGGTCACAATACCGTCACTGTGTTTTGCTTTCCTACTTCTCTCATTGGAGCCTGTTGTTGGCTTCCTTTTTCTGAGATGATCTTTGTTTCTCAAGGTTGGTGTTGTCGTGGGCATCACCCTCTACAGCTGCTCCAGCAGAAGGCCCATCCCAAGAGGACGGCTGCAGACACCCATGACTGTGGAGTATGGGGAGGAAGATAGTCCTGTAAGGAAAGCTGTCCATTTGGTCTCCACTCCCTGATTCTTAATACACTTACTCCTCCAATGGCAAGCTTTACCCAACTTTTTTTTTTCCCATGACAGGATAATAACGGAAACACAACGACGTTTGTATTGCTGCGGAATCAGGTGAACTTCCACCAGTTCACTGGGCTTTCTGGAAACTCCCAGGGATCTCTACAGATACACATTGAATTTTCTAATGTAAAGACAAGGGCATTTCCTGTCATGTTGCTAGTCAGGTGTGTTGAATGTTTCATAGCCACACACCAGTAGCTCACACCTGTAATCCTAGCTACGCAGGAGGTTGAGATTTAAGGATCATGGTTTAAAGCCACCTGGGGCAGGCAAAACCTTAAGTTGTTCATTTCATTCCCACAAATTAGGTTGGTTATTTTTGTTCATGTCTTTTACTGCAGTTTTTATTTTGTAAATAAATGAGGGATGAAAGTATATGTAGAATTCTTTTTTTTTATTAAGAGTCTTGGTAATGCCACAGACTGTGAACGCAGGGCCTTTCTAGCCCACGCTGCCTTCATTTTTATTGCTGTTATTTAAGTTTTTGTGCCTGTATTGGGGCTTGAACTCAGAACTGACTACTCTGACTTACCTTTTTCTGCTCAAGGTTGGCATTCTATCACTTTAGCCATACTTCTACTTCCAGTTTTTTCCTGGTTAATTGGAGAGAAAATTCTCTTAGATTTGCCTGTCTGGGCAAGATCTGAACCTGGATCCTCATATCTCAGTGTCAAGCTTACAGTAGAGAAGGGTGTTTTGCTTTACAAATGACAACCCTAAAGGGTTTGAGAGGAAAGGAAACTAGACATTATTTCTTCATTTTTATCTTCTAGATTCTTCGAGAAGCCTACTCCTTCTGATTTTCTTGTGAAACAGACCCACTTGTGGGGTGAACAAACTGTAGACATTTACATACCTGTTGTTCTGCAGAAAGGTCAGTGGGCTGGAAGAAACCTTTTTGTTTTCAGTTTTCTTGAGAGGGTGGAGCCTCCCATGTTCTCATGGCAGTGTTTTGCTTCCTGTGACATACACATCCAAGTAATTTCTCTTCCTGCTTATAAGACCATGTCTCTAAAAAACTACCCCACCACCAAGAACCATCTTTGTCCCCTATTGGTGTGGTGAAGAGCTCCTAGCCTGTCTCTCCTCAGTGGTGGTTCCTCCTGCATCTCCTGGCCCCAGGACAGCTGTGTCTGAGTGTCTACTTGCAGCAGCCTCCCCTTCATTCCTCACTTCTGTCAAGCCTTCTGACTGCAGAATTTGTCTCCTGCGTCTACACATCTTGACTTTGCCTCTGACCTGCTTGGGCCTCCTCTGGCATCAGGGGCTCCCCCCAGAGAGGAGGCAAGTTTGTGTTTCACACAGAAACATGGTGAACAGGACCTTGGGTGATCCTTACAGAAGCAGTGAACAGAGGCATAGGGCCAGCCTTCATAACCAGGTGTTTCTCAGTCTTCTCTCACTAAAGGCAAGGTAGTGGAGCTCATCATGCTTAAGCAAACCACACAGGACTAACAGGAAAAATGGAGAAATGCTCTAAACCCATTTATGAGAAGGCAGTCATTCTCCAATAAGTTGACATCTGACTCTTAGGTGAATGGACCAGTCCTGGGATATGATTTTTCACTGAGACTTGGTCACTTTATAGTTCTCATTTCCTTTTAAAATGAGTCAAACTGGGTGGTTGATCAAATTCTCAATGGCAATTATATACACATATATATGCATCTACTGTTTTCTTTTCCTCAATATTTTATTATAAGAAATTAGAAAAGTAAAAAAAAAATAGATAAAAAGTTGGATGCCAGCTAAGTAGCTGGATATAAAGTTAACCCACAAAAATCCATAGCTTTTCTGTATTTCAAGAACCAGAAGCAGGGGCTGGGAAGGTGGCTCAGTGGTAGAGCACTTGCCTTGCATGCATGAGGCACTGGGTTCGATTCCTCAGTACCACATGAGCAAAAAGAAAAAAGTGGGAAGTGGTGCTGTGGCTCAAGTGGTAGAGTGCTAGCCTTGAGCTGAAGAGCTGAGGGACAGCGCCCAGGCCCAGAGTTCAGGCCCCACGACTGGGTCCCTCCCCCCAAAAAAAGAAAGAACCAGAAGCAGATAGAGAAGGAAATCAGTTAAGCAATTCCACTTGCAGTAACCTCAAAGTATAAAATACCCAGGAAAAACCTAGCCAAGAAAGTGAAAGTTTTCTACAGCAAAAACTATAAAACTCTAAAGAAAGAAATTGAAGAAGAAGTAGAAAGACTTCTCATGTTTATGGATCGGCAGAATTAATATCGTGAAAATGGCCATTTTGCCAAAGGGGAGCTACAAATTCAATGAAATGCCCATAAAAATCTCAATGTTATTCTTCACTGACACAGAAAAAACAATCCAAAAATTCATATGGAACCACAAAAAGCTTGGAATAGCCAAAGCAAATCTCGGTCCAGAGAAGAAGCAATGTAGGAGGTATCACAATTTCAAATCTCAAACTTTATTACAGAGCTATGGTAACAATAACAGTTTGGTGTGGCACAAAAATAGAACTGAAGACCAATAGACTAAACTAGAAGAGCCAGAAACAAAACCATATACCTACAACCATCTGATTTTTTTTTTTTTTGTCGGTAGTGGGGCTTGAACTATGGGCTTTGGCGCTGTCCCTGCACTCTTCAGCTCAAGGTGAGTGCGCTACCACTTGAACCATAGCACCACTTCTGATTTTCTAGTGGTTTATTGGAGATAAGAGTTTCATGGACTTTCCTGCCTAGGCTGGCTTTGAACAGTGATCCTCAGATCTCAGCCTCCTGAGTAGCTAGGATTACAGGTGTGAGCCACTTGCATCCAGCTAGCCTTCTGGTTTTTTGACAAAGGAACCAAATATATATGTTGGAAAAAAGACAGCTTCTTTAACAAATGGTGTTGGGAAAACTGTATATCCATAGGTAGAAGATTGACAATGGATTCCTATCTGTTATCTTGTACTAATATCAGCTCAAAATGGATCTCAAATGTAAGATATGAAACCTTGAAGTGACTACAAAGAGTAGGAGAAATATAATTTATTGGCATAGGCAGGAACTTTCTGAACAGAATTTTGAATAGGCACTAAGCAAATCAAAGACAGAATTGACAAAGGGGACTGCATCAATCTAAAGCATTTCTGCATAACCAAAGGCATAGTTACTAGGTTAAAAAGACTGCCTACAGGATGGGAGATCTTTGCTGGCTATATCTGCTTAGAACCTCATTTCTAGAATAAAAGAAGTTTAGGCTTTGAGCCATTAGTAGAAATTAGCTACTTACATCTAGTTCTAAAGTAAGCTGTTCATGTGCTTTGTTTTGGTCCAATTTTGTTTTTGCACTGAGATCTCTGATCATCTGGTGTTTGTTATTGTAGATGAGAAAGGGCTCTAATTCCATGTATTTGCCAGGGTTTGAACTCAGGGCCTTGTGCTTGCTCATTTGCTCAGCTAGTGTTCTATCACCTGACCCACTCCCTAGCCCTACATTTTTTACTGGTTATTTTAGAGATGGAATATCTTGGATTTTTCTGCCCCAGTTGGCTTCAAACTAAAATTTTCTGTCTCTCAGTCCCCTGAGTACCTAGGATTATAGGTTTGAGCCACTGACACCAGTTCTAATTTCCTATTTATTGTTTTGTGTCAGTCCTGGAGCTTGAATTCAGGGCGTGAGCACTGTCCCTGAGCATTTTAGCTTGAGGCTAGCACTCTGCCACTTGAGCCACAGCTCCATTACTGGCTTTTTGGTGGTCAATCAGAGATTCTTATAGATTTCCCTACCTGGGCTGGCTTAGAACTGTGATCCTAGCCGGGTGCCGGTGGCTCACATCTGTAATCTTAGCTACTCAGGAGGCTGAGATCTGAGGGTCGCAGTTCAAAGCCAACCCCAGCAGGAAACTCCATGAGACTCTTACCTCCAATAAACCACTAGAAAACCAGAAGTGGCGCTGTGGCTTAAGCGGTAGAGTGCTTTCCTTGAGCTGAAGAGCTGAGGGACAGCGCCCAAGCCCAGAGTTCAAGCCTCACTACTGACCGCCCCTCCCCCAAAAAAAGAACTGTGATTCTCAGATCTCAGCTTCCTGAGTAGTTAAGATTACAGGTATGAGCCACTGGTACCTGGCTTTAATTCCATATTTTTAGTAACAGCTACTATCTAATTCTCCCAATACCATTCACTTGAAATCTTAGGAAAAAATTGTAAATAAGTAGACTGTTAAGTGATTTTGCTTTTAAACACATAATATATACACATATATGTATATGTATATATGCATGTGTGTATGTGTGTGTACATATATATATATATGGAAATGTGGTATGAAGCCAAATGGAAAGGTGCAAATGGGCTCAGAGAGTGTTTGGTGTGTTGGCTGATAGGCTGGAGAGAAGCAGGAAGTGGCTTGAATTGCACTGGAGATAGAGACTGGACACTGAGCACTGCCCATCCTCACGAGGTTGGGGCCCTCTGTTCAGAGTGTCAGGAGAGCCATGGAACATGGAGAACACTAGGGACACTGTTTCCTTTCTTGGCACCCCACTATTACTTTGTGAAAATATGCATGCATTTAATTCTCCATTTAATTTTCCCAGACAGCCTGGAATACCTGTAATCCCAGCTACTCAAGAGATAGAGATTATGGCATCACAGTTCAAGTCCTGCCTATGCATAATGTTTACAAGACTTTAAAACCTGTCAAAACTGGCCACAATTTGACATTCCATTTTTTTCTCTTAGGAGCCAACATGGGATATTTATCCCTACTGGATGCTGATTATGACAGAAGACCTCCCAACAAGAACTTCACTAAGGCTGTGAAGTATACAGTATGTTTCCAGTGGCTCCAGTGCATGTTTTGGGACAAGAGAGAGTGGAAATCGGAAAGTTTCTCTCCACAACAAGGAGCTTCTCCAGGAAAAGTTAACTGCAGGTATGGGAGTTTTAGCAAGTGACTACATTTTGTTCTATCTTTGACCTAAACCCTTTCTGAGTCAAGTCCTCCTATGAGAAGCTGGATCCATCTTGGTCCTGAGCAGATGTATTGTGACATCTGTCTGCATTTCAGCGTTGGGAAGGGGAGCGCATCCTGGTGTCTCCCCCTTCCTCCCTCCATGGAGATGGACATGTGCTAGGCATAGATGCATGTCCACTGAGCGATGAGCCCGTTCATAAGGGGCAGTTATATCAATTACTTCTAAATGTCCTGGTAGCCGTTGAGTGTGCAGTTTATAGTCAGGCAAGCAGGGTCCTCTGCTCTCACTACCTCTGTTGTCCGCCCTGTCATTCACTCCTAACCGAGGGCCTGGCTTGGAGGCAAGGCCAGAGACACCCTGTGTAGTCATGAACAGCCTTCCCAGAAGTTTCTGGTCATCTCAGTCATGTTACAACACTGGAAAATATTTTTATCATCAGCCTACAGAATTAATACTTCTATGACATGGCTAGCTTAGTGATTTTTCTTGTCCTCACCCTCTCTGAAATAGAGATTCATCAATTAGTAACATTATTCAACATTTTAAGATAGCTGGGAGTGAGGGCTCACACTTATAATCCAAGCCTCACAGGAAGTGGAGACTGAGAGGATCACAGTTGAAGGCCAACTCAGGCAAAATAATTCACAAGGCCCCTGTCTCTACCAACAAAATGCTGGGCAATGATGGTCATGTCTGTCATCACAGCTATTACAAGAAATAAAAAACATAGGATCACTGTCCAGCCTGGCCAGGCATAAGTGAGAGACTGAATAATATAAATATATATTACATATAAATATATGATATGTGATATAATATATAAATGTATATTATATATCATATATAATAATGTATAATATGTGTAATATATAATATAAATAAAATAAATAACTGAAGCAGCCAGGCACTAGTAACTCATGTTTGTAATCCTAGCTACTCTGAGGGTTGTGGTTTGAAGCCAGCCTAGGAAGGAAAGTTAGTGAGACTGTTATCACCCATTAACCACCAAAATATTGGATTTGGAGCTGTGGCTCAAGTAATAGAGTGCTAGCCTAAAGAAAAAAAGCTCAGGGCTGGGAAGGTGGCTCAGTGGTAGAGCACGTGCCTTGCATGCATGAGGCCCTGGGTTCAATTCCTCAGCACCACATAAGCAAAAAGAAAAAAGCTGGAAGTGGTGCTGTGGCTCAAGTGGTAGAGCGCTAGCCTTGAGCTGAAGAGCTGAGGGACAGAGCCCAGGCCCAGAGTTCAGGCCCCACGACCGGACCCAAAAAAAAGAAAAGAAAAAAAGCTCAGGGACTGCACCCAGACCCTGAGTTTAAATCCCAGAAATGGCGCACACACACACACACACACACACACACACACACACACACACACACACACACACACACACACACACACACACACACACACACACACACACACACACACACACACACACACACACACACACACTGCACCCAGACCCTGAGTTTAAATCCCAGAAATGGCACACACACACACACACACACACACACACACACTGCACCCAGACCCTGAGTTTAAATCCCAGAAATGGCACACACACACACACACACACACACACACACACACACACACACAGAGTGAAATTTTTAAAAAGGAGCATAGGGATATGGCTCAAGTGTCTACAGCCCTGAGTTCAAGCTCCTCAGTTCTGCCCTCACCCTTCCCCCTCCAAAAAAACCACCCTAAACTAGCATTTACTTTTAAAAACTAGAAATAGCCAGATGCTAATGGCTGTAATCCTGAAATTCTACCTACTTAAACCTGAAAACAGGGAAACTTACTTTCTTTCTTTCTTTCTTTCTTTCTTTCTTTCTTTCTCTTTCTTGCTTTCTTTCTTTTTTTTGTGGTCATGGGGCTTGAACTCTGGGCCTGGGTGCTGTCCCTCAGCTCTTCAGCTCAAGACTAGTGCTCTACCACTGGAGCCACAGCACCACTTCTGGTTTTCTGGTGGTTTATTGGAGATAAGAATTTCATAGACTTTCCTGCCCGGGTTGGCTTTGAACTGTGATCCTCAGATCTCAGATCTCAGCCTCCTGAATAGCTAGGATTACAAGGTGTGAGCCACTGGTACCCAGCTAGGAAACTTTATTTCTTTAAACTATTTTTCCAGATTCTTCCCAGCTCCTTCCCAGTGATCCTCCACACAGGGGGCTTTCTTAGAAGGAAAACTGTTGTAACAAACAAACAACAACAACAAAAAACCCTTCCCCCAAGAAAATCTTCTAAAAATACAAAAATTTAGCTGGGCACTGGTGGCTCACACCTGTAATCCTAGCTATTCAGGAGGCTGAGATCTGAGGATCGAGGTTGGAAGCCAGCCCAGGCAAGAAAGTCTGTGAGACTTTTGTCTTCAATAAACTACTCAGAAAAAGCTGGAAGTGGCACTGTGGCTCAAGTGGTAGAGCACTAAAGCCTTGAGCACAAAGAGGCTCAGGGACAGTGCTTAGGCCCTGAGTCTAGCCCAGGACTGGCAACAAATAATAATAATAGATACAGTAATAGTAATAATAATCTTCAGTCTATTTGAACCATAAGAAACTGTTTACTGGGACTTCTTGTCAAATATGTCCAGGTCCCATCATTTTGGAAATATCCATAGGTGGTTATTACTCTTCCTGTGTCATACCCTCTGATTATGTGGTACTGTTCAAACTTCCTGGTAATGGTCTAATATTCCACTTTGCATCAAGTTACACACTAATGCAATCCTTCTTTCTCTGTTACATACTACTTCCTGCTAGGCTTTTTTCTAGGAGTCAGGGGTACCAAAATGAATAACACATGGGTGATGATGAGGGTGAGGTAGATGGTTATTGTGGTTGTCATGGTAACAGTTAACAATGACAGGATTATTTGTAGAGTTGAGAATAAGCACTCAGGGAAAGGATTACAAGAGTTGAGATGGGCTTCCTGAATAGCTGGAATTATAGGCATGAGCCACTAGTGTCCAGCAATAGCTTGTGTTTTAGATGAACTCTGTAAACTGGGCCTACTTGATCAAATGATGATGACTGGAACTTCTCCACTGGCATATAATCACACTGGAGACAGTGTTCCTGCCATGTCTGGTATCCTAATTGGCCTTTTCCTTGTAGCTACCATCGCCTGGCATCCTTCTCTCTCCTAAGAAAAAAATTGAATGCCAGTCTTGAAGTGAGTGACATTTCCGAGTTACAGAAGTAAGTGCCACATTTGAACTGGGTTTTGCTTTACCACTGCCTGCTCAAGATGCCCGCCGATAATTAAGCAGCTGCAGGAAATCAGGTTGCTTATTTTCTTTTTTGAGATAGGGATATTAGGAACTAATTTTCTTTAAATGTTACACTGAACTGTCTGTGCATACTTCCATCCACAGGTGAGAGGTTATTGAATGCAAGAAAGTCAACAGACTTTTCTTATAGTTAAGTTTAGCTTTGGATCAATGGGAACTTGATCAATTAGTTTTGATTGGGTTAAATCTATAGGGACAGCCTTGCCACATCTTCTCATCTAGGTTTCTACTCACTGACATACTTAAGTTGTAACTTGCCTCTGGCTCTTGTGATATTTTCATAGTCACTCTTTCATGTGAAACAGCTCTACTTAGAGGTTGAACGATGAACAAACAAAGAACAAGCTCTAGTGGGCAGAAACCTTCCCTGTCTCGCTTATTAAAGAAATAAAAAATAAAAAAACATAGCCAGGCACTAGTGGCTTACTCCTGTAATCTTAACTACTCAAGAGGCTGAGATCTGAAGATTGAGGTTCAAAGCAAGCCTGGGTAGGAAAGTCCGTGATACTCTTACCTACAATTTACCACCGAAAAAACAGAAGTGAAGCTGTGGCTCAAAGTGATAGAGTGTTAACCTTGAGCACAAAAACTTAGGAACACTGCCCAGGCCCTTAAACACACACACACACACACACACACACACACACACACACACACACACACACACACACACACACACACACACACACACACACACACACACACACACACACACACACACACACACACACACACACACACACACCCTAAAAAATAGACAGGTGCCAGTGGCTCACACCTGTAATCCTAGCTACTCAGAAGGCTGGAGATGAGGGCCTGTAACAGGGGTCAGGTGTTTTCTACCCTCACTGGCACTGATACCAGGGAAACAGGAAAGATGTACCCACCAGTAGGGGGCATACAGGTACAGATAGGATGCAGGTGAGACTGCAGGAGCTGCTCCAACCTCTCCTCACTTTGCTATGCTGGGAGGAAAGGGAAGAGAAGAATGTTATCAAGCTAACTGCTGCAACATGACACACAAGTGGTGTCACCAAGTCTTCAAGAGCAGGGAGACAGTGTCCTATCCACATTTGGCATGAGGTTCTTCCTCAGACCCAGTGAGGCGAGGCTCCCCTGTGAAGCTGGATCATAGGCCAGGCCGTAGGTGCTGGCCACAACCACTGGGAAATTCTGGGTCTGCAGAGCCTTCTCCATGCAGCCTCAAGCATGTATTTAAACACAGTCTGTCCCAACACCAGCAAGGGCTGAGTACAGGGCAGCAAGGGCAGTCTTCCCGATGTCAGTTCCCTTGAGTCACTATTTCTCTTCCTTGCTTACAGACACCCACAAAACCTGTTTCCCAGTATCTTCATTGTGGTCTTTGTGATTCTTTACGGAGTTTTGATTACTAAAACCAGACATGTAGATTGTCATAACAAAAAGAAAACTGAATATATCTTTCTTCAAGAAGACATGCCACCTGGCCACCACCTGTATGCACTTGTCCTAGCCACTGGCTTCCGGTCTCCGGCCAGGTTTACATCAAAGGTAATAAAAGGTTCCTGGGAGGTCTCTAGTGGGGCTCAAGGGCATGCATAGGCCTGAGGAGCACAAGAAGTGACCATTTGGCCAGGCACTGATGGCTCACACCTGTAATCCTAGTTACTCAAGGATCACTGTTTGATGTGATCCTTGTGAGGCAGAAAAGTTTGTGAGACTCATCTCCAACTAGACAGCAAAAACTCAGAAGTGGAGGGTGTGGCTCAAGTGGTAGAGTGCCAGCTTTGAGCAAACTAGCCAAATGAGAGTGGTAGGCCCTTAGCTCAAGTCCCAGTATTGGCATGCACACATGAACACATATAGCAGCCATCTGATAATTTACCTGCCCTGGAAATCACCTGTTATCTGTCACCATGGGCCTCATCCCAGTTTCTGGGCTGAGACTTGTCCATCCTTTTTCCTGCCATCCCCAGCTTGTACACCCATAGGGCAGAAGGGTCAACTTGTCCCCTTTTGTCAGCTTAAATCCCATCTTCTTCACATTTGCACCATGGAAAGCAGCCAGAATATACAGGTTGTGTCTCAGAGACTTTGGAACCAAGTTACACACTTCTGAGTTAACATTGGTTCCATGAGCCATAATCCAAGGGAAAGAAGAGATCAGAAGTGCTAGTTTGGGCATAAAAAAAGCAGGTGGAAGATGATGTAGAGGGTGGGCAGTAAGGGAAGTGGTGGGAAAATGGAGGGGAAGACTTGGTCCAGACGCCCAGGGGAGTGTCGATAAAGAATTGAGCTGTGGAAGAGGCCTGCAGGGGCCTGCATTGGAGCCTTAGTCAGAACTGTGTGTGTTATCAGATGTGTTCCCATGCACATTTAGAGGGCTCCCTGATGAGAGGGAGGTGCGTCTGCACTTGTAACTCACCACACCACTTCTGGAGGCACCGTGGTTACGTTCTGGAGCTGACAGGACTGAGATATGGAGAAGGGGGCATGGAGCCATCCAGAAGCAGGGAGAAAGAAGGTTAACCATTCAGGCTATGCTCATCACATACAAAGGCCAACGAACCATTAGGGACATCATTAAAGCTGATGTTCTTAACAAACTAGCAAGATTCGTGACTGGGGAAAAAATCCTCAATCCTCTCTACAAGCAACAAGAGTTTATATTGCACATCACTGGGGACAAGATTCTTCTTATCAGTCGTAAAATAGCATGGTGCGTGGAAGTAAACTCACCAAACACATGCCAGGCCACATGGAGAGATCTTGCCCAGAAGGCATGAAGGAGCTAAGCAAAGCTGTGTTTATTCATGGCCTGACACCTCATTTTCCTTTGCTATTTCTCCCAAATTATTTTATGACATTAGTAAGAATGCTGATACTATGAGTTAAGTTCTATCAGTATACTCATTTTTATCCATTTTAGACATGAAAACCCAAGACATAAAGAGGTTAGATTTAATCATTATTCTGGACTTTTTATTTTTATTTATTTTATTTTATTTTTTGTCAGTCGTAGGGCTTGAACTCTGGGCTTGGGCGCTGTCCCTGTGCTCTTCAGCTCAAGGCAAGTGCTCTACCACTTGAGCCACAGTGCCACTTCTGGTTTTCTAGTGGTTTATTGGAGATAAGAGTCTTACAGACTTTCCTGCCCTGGCTGGCTTTGAACTGAGATCCTCAGATCTCAGCCTCCTGAGTAGCTAGGATTATAGGTGTGAGCCACCGGCACCCAGATTATTCTGGACTTTTTAATTTGAGCAACTGATTCTAAATTTCATGTGGAAGAGAACACAAGACAGTTGGGTCAGCTCTAGAGATAAAAGGGCAGGGATTTCACCACAGAGCCAGACTTATTTTGAAGCTTTCAAACATGGTAGAGTGTAATCTTTGTAAGGGTATGGATTGATAGGCTTGGGAGACAGATTGGAGACTTCAAAATCCACATAGACATCTATGTAGACTTCAAGAACCAGACAGGAGGAAGTGGAGCTGTGGCTCAATTGGTAGAGTGCTAGCACTGAGCAAAAGCTGCTCAGGGACAGAGCTCAGGCCCAGAGTTCAAGCCCCAGGACCAGCAAAAAACAACAGAAAACAGACAGGAGAGAGAAGACTGCTTAATAAAATGTTCTGGGACAATAGCTGTCCTGGAAGAAGAAGACAATATTTAAATCTTTACATTATACCCACAAATTAAATACCTGAAGCCTAAAGACAGACCAAAAAAAAAACCACCAAAATTTAGTAACTGTTCACAGACACACACACATATATATATGTATATGCGTATATGTATATATATATATAAGGCATGTAGGAGGATTTCAAAAACAAGAAATAACTACCTTTCTCAAATGAAAAAAATGATACATTATACTATGTCAGAATTGCAACTCTCTTTCACCAATGAGAGATAAACTCAGCCCCACTGACAATGCAGATGTGAATGCCCCGCCCACAGGCCTGGTCCTACCATAGGGTACAGCAGCTCTCCTTCTAAGGTCTGTTGTATAGGCCAAGAGTATGAGATGCTGCACTCACTACTGTGTTCTCTTGCCCACCTGAGTAAGAGAAATGCCAGTGAATTCCAGATGAGACCCACTTTTCTGCATCAAGTATGTGAAGAGCCGGCCAACTGTCCCAGCCTCCAATTCCAGGTCTCCTCCCAGAGAGGCCCCACCCCAGAGGCACTATACCGGCCACATGTCCCTCATCTCTCTCCAGAGCTCCATGCTGTGAGGGCCTGTTGGGTGACTTTGTAGAGGGACTAGAAGCGGAAGCATCACCGCATCATGTCCTGTTTGTTTGTGACATATCCTGACCTCTCACCCCTCTTCTGTGTTTTGAGGTTTTCGTTGTTTTCTGTGGTGAAAATGGGCTTTCGGAAACCAGAGAACTCTACTCTCCAGAGAAGCCCCTATTCCAAGGGAATTCCAAGCACACTTTTATCCTGAGGTATCTGGCGTTTCCAATCATAGATTTGGGAAAGGGGGCCAGTCAGAATTGGGGTACCCCAAACCAAAATAAGTAGCATAGAGACAGTTGTTCTATAATCACTGATTTACAACCTATTGTTTTTGTTGTTGTTTTTGTTTTTAGTTTTCCTAATATTATGCGGTAAATGAAATTGTTTCTTTACATGAAGGAAGAAAGAGGGAGGGAGAAGACATTTAAGCTTTTTATATGTTTGTTCCAGTACTGGGACTTCAACTCAGGGCCTTAAGTTCTTCCTTAGCTTATTTGCTGAAGGCTAGAACTCTACTACTTGAGCCACATCTCCATTCCAATTTGTTTCTGCTGGTTAACAGTAGAGAAGAGTCTCTCAGATTTGTCTACCTGGGCTGGCTACAAACTGTGTTCCTCAGATCTCAGCCTCCTTACTTAGTGGCTACGATTATAGGAGTGGAGTTGCCAGTGTCTTGCTTAAGAACATTAATTTTATGTGCCAGAAACAGTATTTTTATGTCATTAAATCTGCCTGAATTAATTCGTATTGTCTCAGATTTGGCAGAATAGTGACACATTGTGTGACAATGATGATGAGTTGGAGGGGAAAGAACATGTCAAGAACTAATATCTGAGGGAGTTCTCAAGATGGCGACGGGGCAGTAGGGAAACGCCACAGCTCTCTCCAACCAAAAAGAGAGTTCGAGTTCCAACCTTTAATCTCCCCAAGAGACCGACAACAACAAAAAGACGAACACTCAGAGAAAAACCAGAGGTGGAAAATAACAAAAAAAGAAAGAGAGGAAAAGAAGAATTTCAGAACAGAGAAGAGCGAAGACCCCTCCCCCAACCTTTACTGGCCGCGCGGCAGTGCGCCAAGCCGCCGGCCAGCCGGCCCGGCGGGGGCTGCCAGAGCCACAGAGACACAGGGGGCTGCTTGCAGATCACCAGGTACCGGATTGCAGAACAGCGGATCGCCAGAAACAGAGAAACCTACCAGCCGGGAGTCTCCAGGAGGATCCCACCCCACCCATCACTCTCCACCGGAGCGGAGAGGCTCCATCCCGCCAAAGCCGCCCGGCACCAGCAGCGCCACAAAGGGACCTGTCCGCAGACCACCCGCCCAATCGCTATCGCAACGACCCGGCGGGGGGCCGCCCAACCCAGCCCGCAACCACCCCAACTGAACTCGGGCTGCAACAACAACTGACGGACTGCAACAACAACTGACGACCTACAGGGTGAGTACCCATCAGGGGACAGGGAATCCATCAAGGGAGACCAGAGCTGGAGGGAATCCCCAGACCCTGACCTAGACTCCCTACCCCAACACCCGGACCACAGGACCCACTAAAACTGGGAACTGTTCGAGAGCCCCACCAGCCGGTGGAGCACACTCTGCTGGCCAGGCCAGAGCAAGAGCGCCCCGGGAAGGGAGCTTAAATGCTCAAGCCAGGAACAGTGCCCCTGGGTCAAGACTACCAACAGTAGAAGAAATTTGAACTGTGTCCTCCAGGCTGCATAACCAAGGTGGTATACACATTAGCACAGGCCTAACGAGCGCGCTCCAGGCTGGGGCCGGAACCAGGCCAGGGGACCGGCGCCTGAACAAAGCAAAAAGGGTCAGAAGTGGGGCTGTGGCTCAAATGGTAGGGTGCCAGCCCTGAGCTGAAGAGCTGAGGGACAGCACCCAAACCTAGAGTTCAAGCCCACAACCAGCCCAAAACAAACAAACAAAAACACATCAGGAGCCCATAGCAGACTCCAGTATTTGGGAGAGTGCATCCAGAGCATCTGATCTTCCCAAGAGCACCCGCAGGAGCAAACACAAGCAGTCTAGGCTGCTCAACCCTTCCAAAGGCGGGAATTGCTACAGCAGAGAGCTGAGAATCCTAAGTGAATAGCAGCTGGAAATAGGCTCCCAACAGAATCCAGATCAGGCACAGACTCTCTCTACCAATACAGAATCAGCAACCAAGCAAAGACAGACACACCAAAACAAGATTGAAGAGCAGTCTCCTGAACCCCCATGCGAAAATCACAGAGAAAAATCACAAGGTTTACCACTACCCAGGACAGCAAGCTCACCTCAAAAGCCAGCAGCCACGCAGGGGAGAGCCCCAGTGGGAGCAAAGCAGGAATGGAAGACAAAAACTACATCCAAGGGTTGCTGGAGGCAATGACTCAAGAAATAAAGCGAGAAATGGATCAGAAATTGAAAGAGCACAAGGATGAACTATCAAAAGATATACAGGATATCAAACAAAAATTGGATGCAAAAATAGAAGCTGCACAAACCTCAGTAAGAAGTGAGATAAACGCCAAATTAGAGGTAATGCATACTGATATCACCTCATTGAGAGGTGAGATCAGTACTCTGAGAACCAACATTGAATCCATAAAGGGATCCATTTCCACCATGCAAACCACAATAGAAGCCACGGTCAACAGAGTGAATGAAATGGAAGGTAGAGTGTCAGATACAGAAGACAGAATACACCAACTGGACCAAAAAGTGACAGATATGGAAAAATCACTCAAATTAAACCAAAGGGAAATTCAAGAGCAAGCAGATAATGCTAAAAAATTTAACCTTCGCATAATCGGAGTGGACGAAGGTGAGGAATTCCAGAGCAAGGGAATGCAACACCTATTTAACAAGATAGTCAATGAAAATTTTCCCCACCTCAAAAACGACCATCTTAACTACATCACAAAAGCTTATCGAACACCCAACAAGCAAGATCCCAGGAGAAACACTTCTAGGCACATAATAGTAACAATGATGGATCTGAATAATAAGGAAACAATCCTGCATGCAGCAAAAATGAAGAAGGAGCTATACTACAACGGGAAAAAAATTAGAATCACTGCAGATCTCTCCACACAAACAATGAATGCAAGAAAAGCCTGGGAAAGCACCATACGAGCCCTGAGAGCCAATAACTGCCAACCCAGACTGATATACCCGGCAAAGCTAGCATTCACATTCGATGGAGAACTGAAAACTTTTAATAGCAAAGAAAAACTAAATGAATACATAAACATTAAGCCAGCATTACAAAGAATTCTAAGAGGGGGGACACAACCTGAAGAAAGCAACCAGGAACTGGGACCTGCCCCAAACAGGCATTACTCAAAGTCTAACTGAGCAAGCACAGGAGGAAAGGAAAGAAGAAAAACTTAGGAAAACGGAATGGCAGGGACAACAATGCATCTCTCTATACTTTCTCTTAATATAAATGGGCTGAATTCGCCAATTAAAAGAAAACGAACTGAGGACTGGATCAGAAAACAAGACCCATCCATCTGTTGCCTTCAGGAGACCCACCTCTCAGCCAAACATACAAACAAACTCAGAGTGAAGGGGTGGAAAAGGATCTACCAATCAAATTCCCCCAATAAGAAAGCAGGTGTAGCTATCCTGATATCTGACAAAATAAACTTTTCATTAAAATCAGTACAGAAAGACAAGGACGGACACTACATATTAATAAAGGGAACAATCCAAGAGGAGGATATAACCATCATCAACTTATATGCCCCAAATATCGGTGCACCCAGATATGTTAAACAAATGCTCTCAAACTTACAGAATAAAATAGATCCCAATACGATAATACTAGGAGACTTTAACACGCCACTCTCACCAAAGGACAGGTCTACCAACCAGAGGATTGGCAAAGAAGCTACCGAATTAAGTGAGGCCATACTTCAAGCGGAATTAACTGACATCTACCGAGTATTTCACCCTAAAACAACACAGTACACATTCTTCTCAGCAGCTCATGGAACTTTCTCCAAAATAGACCATATCATAGTTCATTCAAGGAACTTAAGCAAATACAAAGGGATCGACATAATCCCCTGTATCCTATCTGACCACAGTGGAATCAAGCTAGCTCTCAATAACAAAGCATACCGCAGAAATTTCTCTAATACATGGAAATTGAACAGCACACTCCTTAACAAGGCCTGGGTAACAGAAGAGATCAGAGAAGAAATAAAGCATTTCCTAGAACTCAATGAAAATGAAAACACCTCACAAAGAAACTTGTGGGACACAGCAAAAGCAGTCCTGAGGGGCAAATTTATTGCCCTCAGTGCCCACATCAAGAGAATGGAGACAGACCAAGTAAATAACCTCATGTTGCAACTAAAACAGCTAGAAAAACAAGAAAAAATGGGACCTAAAGCTACTAGACGAAGCCAGATAACCAAATTGAGAGCAGAGATTAACCAATTAGAAAATCAGAAAACCATAACCAAAATAAACCAAACAAAAAGCTGGTTCTTTGAAAAAATAAACAAAATTGATGGCCCGTTGGCAAGATTAATTAAAAAAAGAAGAGAGGAAACCCATATTAATAGGATTAGGGATGCCACGGGAAACATCACAACACGTACCCAAGATATCCAAACAATTCTAACAGACTACTTCCAAAAGCTATACTCTCTAAAGGAAGAAAATCTGGCGGAAATGGATGCATTTTTAGAGAAATACAAGTTACCCAAACTGAGCAAAGAAGAAGTTAACCAATTAAATAAGCCAATATCCTATAATGAGATACAGGAAGCTATCAAAAGTCTTCCAACAAAAAAAAGCCCAGGACCAGATGGATTCACAGCAGAATTCTATAAGACCTTTAAAGAAGAACTAATACCCATACTCCTCAAGCTCTTCAGAGAAACAGAGAAGGAGGGAGCTATCCCAAACTCATTCTACGAAGCCAATATCACACTCATCCCCAAACCAGGCAAAGACCCAACCAAAAAGGAGAATTACAGGCCAATCTCCTTGATGAACACAGATGCAAAGATCCTTAACAAGATTCTAGCTAACAGAATCCAGAAACACATAAAAAAAATAATACACTATGATCAGGTAGGCTTCATCCCAGAGACACAGGGATGGTTTAACATACGTAAGTCAATAAATGTAATCCAGCATATCAACAGAGCCAAGGTCAAGAATCACATGATTATCGCCACAGATGCAGAAAAGGCCTTTGATAAAATTCAACATTCGTTCATGCTAAAAGCTCTGGAGAAAATAGGAATAGAAGGAACATTTCTAAAAACAATAAAAGCCATTTATGACAGACCAATAGCCAATATTATACTTAATGGGGAAAAGCTACAACCAATCCTCCTAAAAACAGGAACAAGGCAAGGATGTCCACTGTCTCCACTCCTCTTCAACATAGTCCTAGAACCCTTAGCCAGGGCAATAAGGCAAGAAAAAGACATTAAAGGGATCCGCATAGGGAAAGAAGAAGTGAAACTATCCCTTTTTGCAGACGACATGATACTATACCTCCACGATCCCAAAAACTCCATCCCCAAACTTTTAGAAATCATAAGTCACTTCTTCAAAATAGCAGGATACAAAATAAACCCACAAAAATCAGTTGCCTTCCTATACACTGATAACGCACAGGAAGAGAGGGAAATAAAGGGAGCAACCCCATTCACAATAACCTCCCAAAAAATAAAATATTTAGGAATTAACCTAACCAAAGATGTAAAAGAACTATTTAATGAGAACTATAAAAAGTTAAAGAAAGAAATTGCAGAAGACACTAGGAAATGGAAAGACCTCCCATGCTCCTGGATAGGCCGACTTAATATAGTAAAGATGGTGATACTTCCAAAATTAATATACAAATTCAATGCAATTCCTATTAAAATCCCAATGACGTACATCACTGAAATACAGAAAACAGTCCAAAAATTTATATGGAACAACAAAAGACCTAGAATAGCCAAAACAATTCTAGGGGATAAAGACAATATGGGAGGGCTATCCATGCCGAACTTCAAACTCTACTACAGAGCTATAATCACAAAGACAGCATGGTACTGGCACAAAAACAGACCCGAAGACCAATGGAACAGAATAGAAGATCCAGATATAAATCCACAGGCCTACAGCCAGCTGATATTCGACAAAGGAGCCAAAGACATACAATGGAAGAAACACAGCCTCTTCAACCGCTGGTGCTGGGAAAACTGGGCAGCCACATGCAGAAAACTAAAAGTGGACCCCAGCCTATCACCATGCACCAACATCAACTCAAAATGGATTAAAGACCTTAACATTAAACCTGAATCTCTGAAACTACTGCAGGACAGAGTAGGAGAGACACTTGAACTAATAGGCACAGGAAGGAACTTCCTGAACAGAGTCCCAGGGTCACAACAAGTTGGAGAGAGACTCGACAAATGGGACTACCTTAAAATAAAAAGCTTCTGCACAGCTAAATCTATCGCAACTAAGCTAGAAAGACAACCAACTAATTGGGAAAAAATATTTACCAGCAATATATCAGACAAGGGGTTAACATCCTGTATATACAGGGAACTCAAGAAACTAATCCCTCCCAAACCTAACAAACCAATTACTAAATGGGCAAGGGAACTAAAGAGGGACTTCTCAAATGAAGAAATAAAAATGGCAAAGAAACACATGAGGAAATGTTCATCATCCCTGGTGGTGAAGGAAATGCAAATAAAGACAACCCTGAGATACCACCTTACCCCAGTCAGAATGTCCCACATCCACAAATCAGCCAACGACAAATGCTGGAGGGGATGTGGAGAAAGAGGAACCCTATTACACTGCTGGTGGGAATGTACACTTATACAACCACTTTGGAAAGCAGTCTGGAGGGTCCTTAGAAAGCTAAAGATTGACCTCCCTTACGACCCAGTCATACCACTTCTAGGCATCTACCCTGAACAACAGGAACCAATATACAAGGACACGTGCACCTCCATGTTTATTGCAGCACTGTTCGCAATAGCTAGGATATGGAAACAACCTAGGTGCCCCACCACAGATGAATGGATCCAAAAATTGTGGTATCTATACACAATGGAATATTATGCAGCCATTAGAAATGACAAAATAATGGCATTTGCAGGGAAATGGATGGAGCTAGAAGGAATCATGTTGAGCGAGGTAAGCCAAGAACGAAGAGACAAACGGTACATGGTCTCCCTCATAAGTGGATGCTAAATCCAAAAGGTTAGTGATACGACAAAACTAACAGGACTTAAGAAACAAAGAACTCCCGCTCATCTGGTTGAACCACTACTAAATATCCTCATGCTGCTGATCACAAATATGGTATATAACATGTGAACACTGTTATATATTACAGACTGTGGTAGACAATTTGCTCCAGGGAAGTTAGAATGAACTTGTGACTTTGAAATTATGTAATCATTTAATCACAATCAAAAAAAAAAAAAAAAAGAACCTCGGGGAAGGGAGGGAGGGAGGGGATGGTAGGGGGAAACAATGGAGGGGGTAACAATGTTCAAGAGGAAGTGTACTCATAACCTCACTCATGTAACTGTAACCCTCTGTATAGTAGCTTTACAATAAAAAAATAAAATAAAAAAAAAAAAAAAAAAAGAACTAATATCTAGGCCCCTGACTTTCTTAAAAAATGCACAAGTAGGTCTGGGAATGTAGCTTAGAGGTAGAGTGCTTGCCTAGCATGCATGAAGACCTGGGTTTGATTCCTCAGTAGCACAAAGTCAGGAAAGGGAGAGTGGCACTATCTGGCTCAAGTGGTAGAATGCTAGCCTTGAGCAAAAAGAAACTCAGGGACAATGCCCAGGCACTGCACTGAGTTCAAGCCCCACAAAAAAAAAAAAAAGAAAAGAAAAAAGAAAGAAAGAAAAGAAAAGAAGAAAGAAAGAAAAGAAAATACAAAAGTATTGAAGTGCCCCCCCCTTAGGGAAAATTTCATTGATAATATTCACTGACTTAGAGTATTGTCTTAGATTAACATTAGATTCATTCGTGCCATATATAAATAGATGGATTTTATTTACTTTGGTATAGAGAAATGACAGTAGCTCCCTAGCAGAGTTCCAGAAACGGCAGACAGTACTGAACCCCATACCTACTGTTGTTTCTAAACATGCATATCCAAGAGAAAGCTATTCATGAGGCTTAGTAGGAAATTAGTAATTACTAATAATTAAACTGTGTGACTATAATAATACTCTGTAATAACATTTATTGAAAAGGTATGAGTTGTTTATTTCTAGAATTTTCCATTTAATTTTGTTAGATGATGTTTGATAATGGATAACTGAGACCATGCAAAGCAAAAATGAGGATGGGGGGGTGACTGTGACAGAGACTAAGAACCTAGAGGTCACACTGGTCACTGCTCAGTGTGACTCACTGCCCACTGGCTGTGTTCTGGGGCCTGACCTGTCACTCTGCATGGTAGTGATTTGTTGGCACATCCCAGTCACCCCTCATGGACCATCAGCGCCAGGAGGGTGGCTCCAAGTTGGCATTGCATCCATCCCATCCTGCACAGGTCGGTGATGAGACATTGTGTATGTGTTACCAGTGTATCTGCGCGGTTGGGTCCACTCCAGAAGATCTGCCTGTGGCATGACTGCCGGGGACATTCCCCCAGCTTGTTCATCAGCCACATGATGGTGAAGAACTTGTGCTCAGGACAAGGCTGGTTCTTCCATGCCCAGTGCTGGCTGGCTGCGAGCCGAGGCGATGGCCGTGTGCAGCGGGAGTTCACTTGCCTGCACCATGGACTTGGCTTCCAGAAGGTAGGCCCTAGGCAGGAGGCATTCCACAGCATACCTGACTGCCCTGTGGAACGTCATTTCTAGCTCTGCATCTCTCATCACATTTTTTTTTCCTTTAAACCATTACAAAGTTATCTGCATTGCTTTGTTCTTAGTTATCTATAAAATTATCCTTATCTAAAATTTGCATGCATTAAGAGGCCATCCAAGCGTGGGTTAACCACCTTTGCCAATTAGTAATCATTGAAAAAATGCATTTCTTCATTTAACTACAATGATAATTACAATTCTGGAATTTATGGCTACCCGTGGTCTGCAGTTTGAGGCTTCATGGTAAAGACTTTTTAATGCCCCAAACAACTAGGATAACTCTCATAGAATACAGAAGTGGTCAAGGATCAAATAGGAGAAAATCAGTCCCAAGAAGCAACAAAACCATCTAAGAACAATCCATAGTCCCCAGACTGACTATGAAACTTTGGGTTTTTACATGTTCCCTTTCAATCTTTCCCTGCCTAGGAATGTATTTTACAAAGTTGGGGTAAAAATGCTGAGATTTCTCCCTCAATCTTTGATTAAAAGTGAGCACTTTGAGCCAGGCACTGGTGGCTACTCAGGAGGCTAAGATCTGAGGATCACAGTTTGAAGCCAACTCAGGCAGGAAAGCATACACACAAGCTAGAAACGAAGCATGACTCAAGTAGTAGAGCATTAGCCTTCAGCAAAAAATCTCAGGGACAGTGCCCAGGCCCTGAGTTCAAGCCCCATAACCTATGAGAGAGAGAGAGAGAGAGAGAGAGAGAGAGAGAGAGAGAGAGAGAGAGGCTTTGCTAGCTGAATAATCATAGAAGAATTAGAAGGTCTACATTGTTTCTTTTCTTCTCTTCTCTTCTCTTCTCTTCACTTCTCTTTTTGTCAGTCATGGATCTTAAATTCTGGGCCTGGGTGCTGTGCCTGAGCTCTTTAGCTCAAAGCTAGCACTCTACCACTTGAGCCACAGTGCCACTTCTGGTTTTCTGGTGGTTAACTGGAAATAAGAGCCTCACAGATGTTCCTGCCTGGGCTGGCTTTGAACCGTGATTCTCAGATCTCAGCTTCCTGAGTAGCTAGAATTACAGGCATGAGCCACCAGCACCCCGCTTGCATTATTTCTTCTCCAGCCTTGTTGCTTGAAAACTTTATGTGAGAAACCTAGAGTTACTAGTATAATCATCTCTGTCCATCTGCATAGCTGTGTCCCATAAATCAGCTGTCACTTGTTAGCCAATCTACTAAAAACATTCTGTTAACACAGTCTGTTAACTATTTTTTTTTTCGGTTGTGGGGCCTGAATTCTGGGCCTGGACACTGTCCCTCAGCTCTTCAGCTCAAGGCTAGCTCTTGAGCCACAGTGCCACTTCCGGCTTTTTCTGTTTATGTGGTGCTGAGGAATGGAGCCCAGGGCCTCATGCATGCAAGGCAAGCACCCTACCAATGAGCCATCTTCCCAACCCTGTTAACTATTTTACTGGTACTTATTTGTTATTCTTCTTGCACTCAATGGTACTAGTTCTATGTAACAAAATTGTTTTCTAGAAAAAAAAAAACAAATGCTAGGTGTAAAAACCTAACATTATTTGAATTGCATTGAAACTTAAAATCTGGGGCAGCTCCATGAGCAAGAGACCCTCTGCTGAGTAGTGCCCTGCGGGGATACTTAGAGAAGACATGGGTGGGGCAGCGCCAGCTCTTGATGTACTCAGACCCCATTAAAGTCAAAGTGCTTTGGGGGAAAGTCCTGAGACTAGAACGTCTAGTGGGATTGCAAAGGACAGACATGAAGGGAGGCCCTAGAGAAGAGACCCCTGAGCCACCATGGATGCATTTAAGAGTCACACAAAGGGGGTGGTTTGTTCTGGAACTTGACAGGTGCTAGTAGGAGTTTGGACAGGGCCAGAGTCCAGGGGAATGAGAAAGTGGCCTTGACAAAATACTGCGGATAAGTTGAGAGGGAAGAATCTAGAACAAGAAGCCACACAGGGTGTCCACATGGCAGCTAGTAGCTGGCCAGGATAGAAAAGCCAAAACTTTGGGGGTCTCAGTACAGAAAATTATGGGTTATTAATTGAGATTTTAATCTGTTGTTTAGATAGTCATTCTCCTGTGTGTGGTTTCTGTTTCAGCTTTTCTATTCAAAGTTCACGGAGTACTTGCAGGAGTCCCACATCTGGCTCTCAGTGTACAGCTGGCTTTCCTCCAGTGGTTATCTGCATGTACCTCGGCTGGCTGTGTCCTTCTGCCTACTATGTGTCTATGCTTACCTTGCTGCCCTGGTCACTTCAGGAGGACATGAGCAGGTGGAAATCAATGGGTTTTACAGTGGATTCCAAACCTGACATTCATAGCCTGGACCCCTCTTAACCTAATAGCAAAACTCTCTTCTGTCATTGGAAGAAGATTTATACTAGGAGAAGTGAGCTGTCTTTCTGAAGGGCCCAAGGGTGACATGTCCAGAGATGGAACTAGGAGGTGTCTGTAGGATGGTGCCTTGGGGTAAGGAGCTACCCTGCAGAGCTCCTTCAAAGCCTGGGGTTTTACATATTGTCTTTCCCAGAGGTGCTAGTACCCTGTATTTTCTCATGAGAACACTCATGGTAGGTTTGTGTTTTTTTTGATGGCTTGTTTGTTTGGAAGATTAGGTTTTATTTAGTAAAGCAAGGGAAAGCAGGAAGAAATAGAAAGGGAAAAAGAAGTACCTTTGATATACAGAGGGTGGGAGGAGAGAGGCTACTTGTAATTTTTTTTTTTGGTCGGTTGTGGGACCTGAACTATTGGTCTGGGCACTGTCCCTCAGCTCTCCAGCTCAAGGCTAGTACTCTACCACTTGAGCCACAGTACCACTTCCAGCTTTTTTTTGCTTATGAGGTGCTGAGGAATAGAACCCAGGAACTCATGCATGCAAGGCAAGCATTGTACCACTGAGCCACCTTCCCAGCCCCAAACTTGTAATTTTTTTAAGGGTGAAAATTGATTCACATTTTAAACAATTCCTCTGACTGAAAGAATGGGGAACAGTTCTTTTGCTCTGCAACTCTGGTTTAATTGTTCCTCATGGCATATAGAGAATTCTGGAGCACTTCAAGCAGATCCATGGAGATAAGATATTTTCTGACAGTGAAAAATAGTATGACTTGTGGACTGTGAAAAAATGGCTAGACTTGTTTTTGAGAGTGAACTTATAGCCATCTACAAGCCTAGCTCAGTGGATTCACTGGAGAATGCAGAATCTAGCACAGTAGTCTGTCAGTGGGTGACAGTTGTCAGAAAAGTGTGATAACAATTATGATTTAACATATTTTTGATGAATGCTATTGGTAGAACTTTTAAAAATGGGAAGTACCATCAAATGGAAAGATAAAAACTTTCATATATATACATACATATATATATATGAAAAGAAAAGCTTGGAACCTGCAATAAGAACTTGGTGGTAGGTTAGTCCTACATGGTAGACCAGCTATCTGAACTGAAGTCCTGACCAGTTCTTGTTGTCTGGTTGTATATTAGGAATATTTATTTGTCAAATTCCAGCCAGGATTAAGTCAACTGAGCATGTGCTTCATGAAAAGTGGGTGCTCAGAAAACATGTATTCCATCTACAAGGATTTTTCAAGAAGGAAAATATTTTCTTCTGGTTTATCTATGCCATGGGATAGAGAAGCAAAGCTTCATATGTCCTCCTGTTAAATACATTTGGAATTCAAATTGGCTGTGCATTTGGGGTTCGACATGCTTCAGGTCACATAACTGCTATTTTTGAACTGTCACAGCCTCTTCTAGTTTTTGGGCCTGCTGATATCACTCTCAGATCGCTTGGCCTGAGTCTCCTGTGCACCTTCCTGGCGGCTCCAGCAGCACATCTTGTGTCACTACTCTTTGGGCTCAGAAAGGTATTGTGACTGGCTGTGTGAACCTGGGCTCCAGCACGGAACTCAATGACTTATGCCACCCTCTCCGCCCAAATTTTTCATTTCTACAGGAAGCCACAGCATGTCCCCCAGCTACAGTAGGGCCATCTGTGAAAGGAACACAGCTGGATGCACTTCAGGGTAATGTACACAAAAAGAGAAACTCTACTTTGGTAGCTAGTTCTTTGGGTCAGTCTCTTAGTGGAAAGTCAATGTCCAACATTCAGTTGCCCTATTTTTAGTATACGGGTCATCATTCCATATGTTCAAAACCATCTTTACCCTTAGGCTGTTCATTTCTTTTCCACTTGTTTATGTTGACCTTATAAATCTTTTTTTACACAATGAGTTTCAAAGCTAGGTGGCTCACACCTGTTATCCTAGCTACTCAAGAGGCTGAGGTCCAAGGATGGCAGTTCAAAGCCAGCCTAAGGAGACAAATTCAAAAACTCTCATCTCCAAAAAGCTAACTAGTAGAGCACCATCCTTGAGTGAATAAGCCAAAGAACAGTGCCCAGGTCCTGAGTTCAAGCTCCAGTACCAGCCCACATACACAAATGAGTTTCATTATAAGTAAAATCCCTTTTTTTCTCATAATATGTAAGTGCTTGCCTCCACTTAGTAAACTAGACAATTGTCAGATAGGGAGTAAATACTGCAGTATTTCCTAGTGCTTGCTTTTGCATTTTGATGACTACTTTTAGAAGCTTTTATACAGTCAATTTTGGCATTATTTCTTCTTAAGGCTCTTTTTGCTTTTTTAGTTACTCACTTTTCTCACACTGCTGTGAGGGTAACCTCTGCTGGATGAGGCCTTTGTCCCAACAGCCTTATCAGAAAGTCCTCATCCCAGCCTTGTCACCTCTCAGAAAAGCTCACTCTGATGGGTGAGGATGAAGTATCACATGAAGAAAATTGTGTCCCTTGTAAGCCCAAAGGTATCACTGATACGCTAATTGAGCATCATATATTTGCCTTTTTTTTTTCTTTTCTAATCAGGCCATAATTGCTGTGGTAGGATACCAGATGTGAGGGAACCCTATACGGTAAGTATGTAGCAACATGCAGTAGCAAATTCTCTAGCATTAACTGCTAATGATTGATTTCATTGATACCCTCCCTTGGTCAAGGTTAAATCAGGTGTGGAAAAGATCCGTGTACCACCTACCCTACTGGTTGAGGTCAGTGCTCCAGAGAAATAGGGCTGCTTTCCAGCCACAGGCTACTTCGTTGCCTACGTTGGCTTTGTACCATGATCCTCACATCTCATCCTCCTGAGTAACTAGGATTATGGGCATGAGACACTGGTGCCTCTGAAGGGCAAATTTCTAATGTCCTGACTGCTGTATCAGATTGGGCTTTTGCTGGTTTGGATCTATGTAAGCACCCCACTTAGCACAGAGGAGCTTCTTTTCTGTGGGGTGTTTCAGAGCATGGCTGACCCCTGTACTTTCCAGCCTCTCACCCCTGCTTTGCCAGCTTCATGGTCCCTGGCCCTGGGTATGGTGCTCAGAATGCACTGTGTCCCTAACACCTTTGAGGGCTCTGCCATTTGCCCTTCCAACCCTTTCCTCAGCCTGCTGCTCTTGACTGGACCTCTGATATCTAGAGAGTAGGAGCCCATCAATCTGACTGCATGCAGCTGCCCATAGGCTGCCAGAATTGCCTCACAGACATCCCCTAGGAACATGACCTCTAGGAAGGGCTTTGCTTCCTCCTTCACAATCATGTGGTACCTGAACTTGACCAGGTCCACACTGGGTCATTTATGCCTTTTGGCTGCAAAGCATACTGGTCAAAAAGGCATAATTCTCCATAGAGGCATTGACCTTGGCCTAACCTTGTTATTCTAGCTTTCTGTACCAGCCATTCCCTCTGGAAGTAACCTTATGCGGAGGAAGGGAGTAAATGACAGTGATGCAGCTGGTACAACCCTGGAGCTGGAGGCCAGTGTGGCAGGCCACTGTGAGACAGCCCTGAAGGAGAAGAGTCACAAGCCTACCCCAACACGAAGTGATGTCCACGTGGATTGCAGTGAGAAGCCCCTTCCCTCTGGTCCAGTATCTGCCTGTGGCATTTGGGAGGTGTGGGCTCAGAGTAGTGTGACTAGAGATGGAATTGGCTAGTTGTCACTAGACACTCCTAGTCTCATCTAAACAAAACAAAACAAAAAGACACAAACTCATCTGAATACATGGCATCTTTTCTAAATCTTTGGTAACCATATAGCTCAACTCACACTGAGGAGAGATGACCAGATCTGCTAACCTAGTTGTCTCTATTTGTTCTGCTGTAGCTCCTAGCACTGGTTTTGAAGGATTTATGCCCTGGAGGTCTAGGGCCTACCCACCTTGGCTGAGCTCTGCAGGCTGGATCATGTGTGCATTGGTTTCCCTGGCCTGTGGTGTGGGGACAGGCTTCCTTGGCTACAGGTGAGCCATTGATGTTTACGAATATCCTCAGATTGTTTGGTAGAAGTCTAGCATTTGTGAGGAGATGCAATGTTTCTGGAAATTTCCAAAATATAGATGCTAAAACTCCCCATTGTTATTCTCTCTCCACCTCCTGTGACTGAAGAGAATCTTATGTTAATCCCAGACAATCACTTGGCAATCAGCTCTGCAACATCAAACAGCCTAGATGAATCCAGGGTATAAAAACAGAAACCAGCCAGTTACCAGTGGCTCATGCCTGTAACCCTGACTACTGAGGAGGCTGAGATCCGAGGATCCTGGTTCAAAGCCAGCCCAAGCAGGAAAGTCTCTGAGATTCTTATCTCCAATTAACAACAACAATAACAACAAAAAAAGAAGCAGAGCTGTGGCTCAAATAGTAAGCACTGGGCTTGAACAAAGTAGCTCAGGGACAGCGGTCAGGCCCCAAGTTCAAGCCCCAGGATTGACATACACACACATGCACACGCACGCACACACACAGAACCAACACCAAGCTCCTGAGAAAGTAGGCCATGACCTGTGCACATTGGCCAGAGACAGCCAATTGTTCTCTTGTGACACTTGGGGGGGGGGGGATTTCCTGAAAGATAGGGACTATGATGAATAGATTCCAGTGTAACCTTATTTCCACAATCTCTCTTGGCCTGCCTTGGGCCACCATTGGAGACCCAAGGGTCACTCAGTGTGGTCTCTAAACTATGAAGAGTAGTTACCACCCAACCTTTTTCCTTTTGACAGTCTCCCTTCTCCAGACTGCACATTTTGAGCCACTCTGTGAGGATGGACTGGATGTTTGAATCCTTTCCATATCTCAGTTTTCTCATCTACAGAGACACTTAGTGCACTTGCCTCACAAGATTTGAGGAGAAGCAGGAACAGATGACAGTGTAGGAACAGTGTAGCCAGTCCTGTTCACTCTGCCGCCTGCAGCCCTTCTCTGCCCTGTCTGCAATCAGTTGTGTCTGCATCAGGCAGATTCAGAGAGGGTGATGTCCCTTCAGCCAGGAGGGACTTTTCCTGTCATGGGCAGAAGGACATGGTGCCCATAACTAGGAAGCACCCACTCCCAGACCGCTTCCCACCCCCTGGCTTCCAGATTTCACCTCTACTGAAGTGGTAGACCACAGGGCAGCTTGCTCCCTCCAGGGTGCTCACAGGCCTGTTCTCTCCTGGCAGGTTTGTCCCAGCACAGTGTGTGCAGTGGCTGTGCCTGCTGTTGCTCTCTGTGGTCTGCTGTGCGTTTGTCACCCAGCCACTCATGGTAAGACAAGGTGGAGAGGCCTCTAGTGAGCAGGGTACCTGGAAGGGAAGGAAATGGTGGCTGTGTGTTGCTAATTCCTTCCTTTCCTTGGTAGTTTGTGTTAATACATAGTGAGAAAACCCAGAACTTGGACTTGTGCTAAGCTCCAGATGAACCTGTTATTCCATCCTTCTAAAAGCCTATGGGAATAAACTGCTCCTAAGGCTCAGAGAATATGAATCTCAGGCCAGGCCACAGCTGATGAGTAGGGGGCCCAGGACCCAAGGGTGGTGACCACTGGTGCCCGTTCAGACCGGATGAACCTGGGTGGAACCTACTGGCTACAAAGGATCAGAAAGACACTTCTGTGCCTCCAGTGACCACCGGTGCAATCTTCTTCCTTGCTCCAGATCTGCTGTATGGCGCTGGCTTTTGCTTGGAAAAGAAAAGACGACAAGGACTTTTTTACTGGGTCCTTATGTGAGGCAACGAGGAGTCTAGCTTTGGAACTGAGCGTGGGCTCAGGAGCCCACCCTGCCCTTTCTCCCAGCGGGGCCCTTGTCTGTGCAGGGGAGGCAGAAAAGGTGAGGCACTGTCTCCCCCAGTGAATTGCTCACTGAACAACTGGCTTTCCGGCATGTCCATCCATTGGAATGTAGGCTTTGAGTTTAAAGTTGGTTCTACTTTGGGGGCCCCACAGTATATATTTGAATTTCTTTTTTCCTTCCTGTCTCTCCTACCTTTGTTTCAAGCCCCAGTCCTGGGGCTTAAACTCAGGGTCTGGGTGCTGTCCCTGAACCTCTTTGTGCTCAAGACTAGTGCTCTACCACTTGAGCCACAGTGCCACTTCCAGCTTTGAGTAGTATATTAGTATAGGAAATAAGAGTCTCACGGGGACTTTTCTGCCCTGGCTGGCTTAAAACCATGATTCTCATATCTCAGTCTCCTGAGTAGCTATGATTATAGGTATGGGCCACCTGCACTTGGTTCATTCTTTCTTCTGTTTTCCTTCCTTCCTTCCTCCCTCCCTCCCTTCCTTCCTTCCTTCCTCCCTTCTTTCCTTCCTTCCTTTCTTTCTTTCTTTCTTTCTCTCTTTCTTTCTTTCTCTCTTTCTTTCTCTCTCTCTTTCTTTCTTTCTTTTTCTTCCTATCCTGGGGTTTAAACTCAGGGCCCAGGCATTGTCCCTGAGTTTCTTTGCTCAAAGCCAGCAGCTCGACTACCTCCATTTCCATATTTTAATCTGTGATGCTTCTTTATGTGCATCTATTAAACACAGGATATTTATTTTCTTTATCCCAATCACAGTGAAGTCAGAGTCTCAAGACAATACGTGTATTGTAAAAACACCAAAGTGAATGAGAAATATAATTCCTGGCTGTAATTCTGGAAACATTTTTTCCTAAAAATTAGGCCATTTGAGCTTCAGGACCCATACACAGTGTACTTCTTCTTTCCTTCCATCTTCCCTTCCTCTCTCTCTCCCACTCTTTCTCCCTCCCTCTTTTCCATCTCTCTCCCTTCCACCTTTCCTCTTTCCTTCTTTTCTTCCTTTTCTTCTTCCCCTCTTACTTTTTTCCCTTCCCTCTCCTCTGTTCCTCTCTCCCTGCTGCCAGCCCTTGCCGGTTTTATGTGTAGCACTGTCTTGTACAGTGTGGATGACATGAAAGTGAGCAAGGCACCCCAGTTATCATGAAGCTGCTCACACTTTCTTGCTCCCTTCAGGCATATGTAGTATGTATGTGGTGTGTGGTCTGTAGCTGTCCCTGAACTTCTTTTGCTTGAGGCTAGTACTCTACCACTAGAGTTAAAGCTCCACTTCCAGGTTTTTTTTGAGTAGTTTATTGGAGATTTGAGTCTAATGGACTTTCCTGTCTGAGCTGGCTTCAAACCATAATCCTCAGATCTCACTCTCCTGAGTTGTTAGGCTTACAGGCGTGAGCCACCAGTGCTTGGCTGGATCCCCACTTTTAGAACAAGGCAATAACAGCTCAGAAATAGGAAGTCACTAATCCAAGGCCATATAACAGCAAACTGTGGCCTGGAGCCCAAACCTGAATTCCTGTCGGCTCTCCTCCTGCACCCTACTGACCAGCATCTCTGCTTTGAGCAATCATAATGCTCCTTTCTCCTCAAAAATGTCAAATGCCATCTTTCCTTGCTAAAAAAAAGGCTCACTTCCTTCTCTGCCCCTTAGGTGCAGCCACCCCCATCTCTGTTCTTTCTCTTTTTGTAGTCACATCTTCTCTCTGAGATTCCTTTGACCAGTCAGGCTTGGTCAGGGCCAGGCTGGTACCTTCAAACCCATGCTGAACCTACACTCCACAGCATATGTCCTGCCAGGAGAATTTGAATTCCCAAGCCTCACACTATAGCATTTGCACTTGCTGTGTATTGCTCAAAAACCCAGTAGCTCTGGGAAGAAGAACTGTCTGTGATTTCTCAGACTCCATGCCGGTGGAATAGAAAAACAAATGAGTAAGAAATAAATAAATGAAAACCTTTAAAGGGTTCACATTTCCAGCTACGGTTCTGACCTTATCCTACACAGATACAGCCTGAAATCAATCATACTTTCTGAAAAGAAAAACAGGCACTGGTGGCTCACACCTGTAATCCGAGCTATTCAAGAGGCTGAGATCTGAGACTTGCAGTTCAAAGCCAGCCCTGGTAGAAAAATCCATGAGACTTTTTTTGTCTCCAATTAACCAGTAAAAGTCTAGAACTGGTGATGTGGCTCAAGTGGTAGAGTGCCAACCTTGAGCAAAAAAAACCCCAAAACATACAAAACAAGAGTGTGAGGCTCTGAGTTCAAGCCCCAGTGAAGTATAAAACAAAACCAAATATCATTTCTTGCTTATACAGCACTTTAAAATGGCTTCTCCAGTCTGCCACGGCCTTAAGAAAAGCTACTGTACAAATGCCAGCTGTAATTGCTCCTATAATTTGACAGTGGCAGGCATGTCTGCTATGTGAAGCTCTTCTTTGTAGTCGCGGTTGCAATCCCTGCCAAAGCTGCGTGCCTGAGACGTGAGCAGAGTTTGTAAATAGGGCTGTCCTGTTCCTGGCCTCTCCCAACAACCTGTTCTGTGTGGTCTGCACACAGAACATTTTGTTCCCCTGATGATGGGGGCACTGGGCCTGCCAGGAATGCCAATGGCCTCTCTCCCTCAACACCAGCCCCAGCTTATGGCTCTCTCATCTCTCCTAGGTCTTGGCTGCCCGTCGCCGTGAGCGCCACCTGCGCTGGGCACGGCCACCATCCATGGCCCAACTGAGGGTCATCCGAGAAAGGCTGAGAAGACAGGGCCACACCCAGGCAGCCCTGAGGTTGGTGCAAGTCTGGAGGTGATGGCAGGCTGTGGCCTGGTGCTCCTTTCAGAGCAGCATGCTGCATTGCTGTTGATAGTTCTAAGATTGTTCTCACTGGAGAATTGGAGTACAGACGCATCAATCTGTGCTCCACACACCAGCAGGTGAGGAAACTAAACTGGAGAAAACAAAACCAACAACTTAAAGTTGGCTCTTAAACTACCCTGGACTTCTTCATCCATACATAGACTAAGTGCACAGCCAGCCTTATTTCATACTGCTCACACTTCATTACTCAGCTGTAGACTGGAACTCCACTCCCCAGCTGGGCACACGGGCCTGGGGAAAGCCAAAGGTAATGGTGACACTTCTTCTGTGGGCATCAGCTGGGCCCAATGGCAATATTGTCGAATAAATTTCAAGTTGGGTACTACTAGTGGCTCATGCCTGTAATCCTAACTACTTGGGAAGCTAAGATCTGAAGATCCCAGTTTGAAGGCAGGCTGGACAGAAAAGTCCAGGAGACTCTCAATCTCCAGTTAACCAACAAAGAGCTGAAAGCAGAGGTGTGGTTCAGGTGGGTGAGTGCCAGGCATGAGTGAAGAAGAGATGGTGCCCAAGATCTGAACTCAAACCGCAGTACTGGTGCAAAATGAAATAAAAAATAATTTCATATTTAGTAGGCACAGACATGATGCTCAACCCAGAAGCTCTTTGATTTTTTAAAAATAAAACACAAAACTTAAACATCATCCTGGTAGCAAATTTCTCCAAATTAGACTTGGATCATGTTTGTCTCAATGGTGCCCAACCCCTTCTCCACGCATGGTGGTCAACAGTCACTCCTGTGACAGTGACAGTCACTCCTGAGTTCTTCTATGAGTAGTAGCTGAACCATTTCTCTAGATTCTGAATTCTAGACTCCAGATTTCTGTTGTAGTTTGTGAAGGATTTGGAAATTCCTGACACTTTTCCCACAATGGAGATGTTAAAACATATAATTACACCTTTGACCATTTTCCTTTAAATACTACTTCCTATCAGCATGAAGCATCATTAGTTTTCTCTCTTTTTTCTTTTTTTTTTTTCAGTCATGGGGCTTGAACTCTGGGCTTGGGCGCTGTCCCTCAGCTCTTCAGCTCAAAGCGAACGCTATACCACTTGAGCTACAGCACCATTTCCGGTTTTTTGTTGGTTTATTGGAGATAAGAGTTTCATGGCCTTTCCTGCCGGGGTTGGCTTTGAACCGCGATCCTCAGATCTCAGCATTAGTTCTCTTTAAATCCAGAATACACTCTGAGTTGAATCCTTGTCCATAGAGAGATGCTGTGATTGTATTGGGACATCATGTTTTTGGTGTGTGTGCCAATATAGGGGCTTGAACTCAGAGTCTCATGATCTTACCTTTTTTGCTCAAGGCTGGCATTCTATCACCTGAGCCACAGCCCCACTTCTGACTTTTCAATGGTTAATTAGGTATTAGAGTCTCACAGACTTTCCTGCCTGGGGTGGCTTTGAACCACAATCTTCAGATCTCAACATCCTGAGTAACTAGAATGACAGCCATGAGCCATCAGCACCCAGAAAAATCTGTAAACTTTTTTTTACACATACAGAAGTACATACTTTACCCCAGCATTCCGGCTTCCAGAAATAATAAGTAAAAACATGAGAATATCCATATAGGAGAAAAGTCATGTGGAGACTTGTGTAATGAGAGTCACTAGATGTACCTATGTGTCATCTGGGTCATCAGGTACATAGTGGGAGTTGCGCTCAACGCTGCACATGTGCTGTCCAACCAGACTCCAGACAGAGCCATTTAGAGCCTAAGTGAGAGTCAACAGGTAGATGGATATGGGGGGTAGGGGGTGGGGAATACCGTGGTACACCCAATTGATTCATGACAGAGCATGAATGGGTGTGCATGTGGCTTTCCCTAGACAAAGCATGAGGTGATGGCTCAGACAGCTTTAGAAAAGAACTATTTATGGGGAGAAAAGGATTAAGATTTGTAAGACTTGGCATTAAAATTAAACTTACGACCTAACAAGCTTAATCCCAAAGGACAGAAAATCACTGGGAAGATAGGCACAGAGCCCTCTTCACAAGTTGCACTGGCCTGTGGAGCCACTGGTGCCTTCGTTATAAAGGTTGACTCACACGGTAGGGAATCCAAATTAAGACTCCAGTGGAAAAAGAAAAAAAAGACTCCAGTGATTTTCTAATTCTCTTGTTGTTGCGATCCTTCAGAAATGTTGTCCTTGGTAGGAGAAAGAGATACAGATAGTAGTTCAAAAATATTGACATAAGCCAGGTGCTGGTGGCTCATGCCTGTAACTTAGCTACTCAGGAGGCTGAGATCAGAGAATTGCAGTTTAGAGCTAGCCCAGTGAGGAAAGTCAATGAGCTTCTTATCTCCAAAGAACCACCAGAAAACCAGAAGTGGTGCTGTGGCTCAAAGTGGTAAAACACTAGCCTTGAGCAGAACAGCTCAGAGACATCACCCAGGCCCTGAGTTCAAGCCCTATGACTGATGTAAAGAAATATCAGCACACTTTTTTGAATTAAAAAATATAGGTATGAGGTTTATTATATATGAGGATTGTTGAAGAAATCACATTTTATAGATGTATCTGCTAATAAAAGAACTAGAAACAACCTAAGAGCAAGGAGCTCCTAGAACTTAGATTCTTAGCACATGCTGCTACTGGGACTTGAACACAGGGCCCCAAGTTCTCTCTTAGCTTTTTCCCTCAAGGCTGGAGCTCTATCATTTGACCCCACCTCCACTTCAAGATTGGCTAATTAATTGGAGTTAAGAGTCTCTCCAATTTGTCTCACTGGCTTCAGTCCTTGATCCTCAAATCTCAGCCTCCTGAGTAGAAGACTGTGAGCCACAGAGCCAGGTGCCAGTGGCTCAGGCCTGTAATCCTAGCTACTCAAGAGGCTGAGATCTGAGGATCATGGTTCAAAGCCAGCCTGGGCAGGAAAGTCAGTGAGACTTTCTTTTTTTTTTATTGTGAAAATACTGTACAGAGGGGTTACATTACATGGGCAAGATAATGAGTACATTTCTTATCAAGCATTGTAGCCTCCTCCTTTGTTTCCCCTTCCCATCCCTTCCCATCCTCCCCCTTACCCAATCCTCCCCGCTCCCCCTCCCTGTCAGTGAGACTCTTATCTCCAATAAACCACTCAGAAAACTGGAAGTGGCGCTGTGGCTCAAGTGGTAGAGCACTAGCCTTGAGCTGAAGATTGAGGGACAGCACCCAGACCCAGAGTTCAAGCCCCATGGCCAACAACAAAACAAAACGATGTGAGCCATAGGTACCTAGCTACAAATACCATTTTAAAGCAAAAAGAACCAAGGGTCTGGAAGTAGAGCTGTGGCTCTAGCCTTCAGCAAAAGAGCTCAGGACAGTCCTCAAGCCCTGAGTTCAAGCCCCAGGACTGACAAACAAGTTAAAAAAGAAACAACTAAGAATCACTGATTTGAGATCTGTGACAGGAAATATACAAAGTGAGCTCAGAATCTTTATTAATCAAGGAGGCAACTGAGAAAACTAGGGTCCTTACTGAAGAACTCAGCAGTCAATTGGAAGAGACTCATATTGGTCAAAGATGGGCTAATTGGATACCAGATTAAGAATAGTAAGCATAATGAACTGAAGCTTATGTAGTATATTCAAGGCCATGAGTTTAGGGTAACTGATCAATGTGGGCAGGTGCTCAGAAAACAACCTTTGACAAGGAAATGAAATTGTCACAGCCTTGCCTTCCCTAACACACTGTATGTTGGGAAGCACAGCAGGGACAGGGGGTTCTCAGACAGATGTTCTAGTCAATGGTGGAGGGTGAATGATGGAATAAGAACTTGAACATTTTTGCAACCTTCAAGAAATAAATGAATGAATCCAGGCATTGCTCATAAACAACAGTGAAGGAGAGAGGGAGAGGGGGTTCTTGACATACTTCTTTAAGATGGTCTGCCCCAAACTGTTCAACCTTAATCAGATATTTTGTGTGTGTGGGGGTAAGGTAGGCTGTTGTTGTTGTTGTTGTTATTTGTTTGTCTAGGCAATTTACAGTTTATACAAAGAACACATTTTTTAAAACACCAAAAGAAAAAGATTGAGAAATCTACAGAACAACAACAACAAAAAAAGAATCTATGGCTGGGAATGCAGCTTAGATCTAAATCAATACAGAAATACAGTATGGATTGAGTAAAAGACAATATATCTGTATTGCATTGGTGTATACAATCACAATTGAAATCCCATAAGCTTTTTTTTTTTTTCTCACTAGTCCTGGGGTTTGAACTCAGAGCCTGGGCACTGTCCTTGAACTTCTTTTGCGCAAGGCTAGCACTCTACCACTTAAGCCACGGCACCACTTCTGGATTTTTCTATTTATGTGGCACTGAGGAATTGAACCCAGGGCTCCATGCATACTAGGCAAACAAACAATCACTAAGCCACTTTCCCAGCCCCTCCCATAAGTTTTTTTAAAAATAGATATTATTAGATGAATTTTTTTTCTTGGTTAGTCTCAGGGTTTGAACTCAGGGTCTGAGCTCTGTCCCTGAGCTTTTGTGCTCAAGGCTAATATTCTACCACTTGAGACACAGTTCCACTTCCAGTTTTCTGGTGGTTAATTAGAGATAGTCTCACAGACTTTCCTGCCCTGGATAGCTTCAAACTACAATCCTCAGACCTCAGCCTCCTGAGTAGCTAGGATTATAGGTGTGAGCTACCAAGATATTAGCAAATGGATTTTGCAATGTGTATGGGAAACAGAGGAACTGGAGAACCAAAGCAATTCTAAAGCAGTAGGTCAAAGTAAAAGGACTGACACTACAAAAACCAAGACTGGGTATTTGGTAGTAGAATAAAAAACATAGTAGAATGGACATAGGTCAGTGGAACAAAATAGCCAGGAAATAGAACCACACACAAATATGTTCAAGTGATTTGCACCTTACAAGAAGGTGCAAAGAAAATTCAAAGACTTGGGTTTTTTCAAAAATGGTGCTAGAAGCTGGGCATGGTAACTCATACCTATAATCATGGCTACTCAGGAGGCAGAGATTTAGAGGATTACATAGGCCAGGCTAGGCAAAAAAAAAGTTTTCAGGAGTCCATCTCAGTGGAAGAAGTTAAGGGATGTACTAGCACATGCCTTTCTTCTCAGCCTCAAGACAAATTAGGAGGATTACAGTCCCAGCACAGGCTCACACTAAAAAGTGAGATTCTGTCTCAAAATACTATGTAAGAAGGGCTGGAGAGTGGCGCTGTGGCTCAAGCGGTAGAGCACTCGCCTTGAGCTGAAGAGCACAGGGACAGCGCCCAGGCCCAGAGTTCAAGCCCCACGACCGACCAAAAAAAAAAAGATAAAGATAGAAGGGCTAGAGATGTGGTTCAGTAATAAGCACCTGTCTAGCAAGCTGGAGGGTCTGAGTTCAGACCCCAGTACTACCAAAAAAAAAAAAAATGCTGGGAAAAGTAGATGTAGAGGGGAGAGAGGGAAAAGAAGTGAACCCCAAGAAATTACACACTAAAGTTTCTTCCCAAGGACAAAAGCCCAGCTCCATGAGCAAGGCTGGGGAAACACCCAGCAGGTGCGCACGGGATGCACAAAGATGCCAACTCAGGTTTGTTTTTCTCACAGAGACATCTGCATGTCCATCCTCACACTGCTTCTGCTTTTGCTGATAATCTACGGGAAAGTTTCCCCAGAGGAACGTTCTCTCAATCAAGCTTTCCGGAAGGAATTTATGAGGTAGGAAGTTTGGGGAACACCTGTAGGCCTGGGGCAGGGGAGGAGACTGGCGTATTAATTCATGGCTAGCGCATGCCAAAAGGACCCCTGCAGTCAGGTCTCCAGAGGGGTCTCCTTCTTACTGTAGATAAGCTGCCACTTCGTCCTCCTCTAGAACAGACCAGGGAGCAAGTCAACCCTGCGCATTGTTTAGGCCACCCCTCTGGCTCATTTTACCCAGGCACAACTGAGGCCCAGAGAAAGATTAACCACATACCATATATGAACTCTAGGAAATCTTGTTAAATGTCTTCCTAGGAGACCTCTGTTCACAAATGTTGACCTTGTGCTAGCATCTCATTTGGGGGTCAATAACAAAACAGGGATGTCCCAAAACCCTTTAAATTCTGGACCCCAAAGTTTTATTTTTTGTATTCTTTTCAAAAACATCAGAGTTCTTCCACCAAAATTATGGTCACAATGCAGAATACCTCATTTCAAACTGTCTGCAACAATACTTCCTCAAGTGTACTGCTACTTTTGGGCTGGGAATGTGGCTTAGTGGTAGAGTGCTTGCCTAGCATGCATGAAGTCCTGGGTTCGATTCTTCAGTACCACATACACAGAAAAAGCCAGAAGTGGCACTGTGGCTCAAGTGGTAGAGTGCTACCCTTGAGCAAAAGAAGTTCAGGGACAGTGCCCAGGCCTTGAGTTCAAGTGCCAGGACTGGCAAAAAAAAAAAAAAAGAGTAACTGCTGCTTGTCAAGTCTATTCCTTTCCTTCTGTGTGTGTGTGTGTGTGTGTGTGTGTGTGTGTGTGTGATTCCTGCAAGTTAGCACTTTACACTTGAGCCACAGCTCTACTTTTGGCTCTTTGGGTGGTTAATTGGAGATAAGAGCCACAGACTTTCTTACCTGGCAGGAAAGTTCATGAGACTCTTTTTTTATTATTATTGTGAAAATACTGTACAGAGGGGTTACAATTACATGGGCAAGATAATGAGGAGTACATTTCTTATCAAGCATTGTAACCTCCTCCTTTGCTTCCCCTTCCCATCCCATCCTCCCCCTTCATGAGACTCTTATCTCCAATTAATCACAGAAAAAGCCAGAACTGGTGTTGTAACTCAAAGATCTTAGGAACAATGCCTAGGCCCAGGGTTCAAGGACCAGGAATGGCAAAAATAAAAATGAATCATTTTTATTTCCTGCAAGATTGTTATTGATATACAATGAGGTAATGACTAGCAAATGTCACCCTTTATTAGTTACCAGTTTGCCAATACTAGAGTTTGACTTCAGGGCCTCAGACTTGCTCATTTGGCTTGGCTGGTGTTCTACCACATGAACTATGCCACCAGTCTACGCTTTTGCTTGTTATTTTGGAGATGGAGTCTAGCAGACTTCTGCCTAGGCTGGCTTCAGACTGCTATGCTCTGTATCTCAGCTTCTGGAGTAGGTAGATTGCAGGTGCCCATCCTTCCTATTTTTATGACTCACTAACAAGGTAAAACCTGGAAGTCACCTTTCAATGACTCTGTACTCTTTCTAGTATCTCAGTAATCTTATTTCCTATTGCCAAGCACTCTCCAAGTACAGCTAACTGGTGTTTTCTACTTGCCTATTTGCAAATGTAGCAGTTACTTCAGGACTGACTTGTCAGCTGTCCCCTCTGAGCAGGTGCACAGACCAGACCACTAGATGATGCTGTGAGACAAATTAAGGGGTGATGTGGGAAGGTCGCGCTAGAAGTAGAAGTCAAGATTCAACAACTGCTGACTCTAGCTAATTCGTTTTTCATCTCATATTTCCTCAGTGAACAGTCTTTGATGTTTCTCATATGAATGGTTGCCTCTTGCAATTCCCAGCAGAAACATCGCAGCTGTCATAATATTTGTGAGCCTGAGATGTGTCCATAGACTACTCTGCTGTTGACCACTTCCTGTGCATGTTCTGAGTGCTCTCCTGCTCCTCCTCCCCATCCTACAACTAATCCTAAAACACAGACTTTGGAGGGTCTGAGTGAAGCCCTGAAGTGGAATCAGGGATTGAGCCCTTGACTTTCTAAGGGTTCCTGGGTAATTTGCCATCTTTTGGCTGTGGGCTGTAGTATCTTCCTCGGTGAAAGGAGGAGGAGTCTCTCCTCCGCACAAAATATTATCATGCTGTGGGACTCATATTTATATTGTATTTGGAGTGCTTCTGAACTCAATAAAGTCTCATAAAATTCCAAGTAAAACCAAACAAAAACCAACCCAGTAAAGCACCATGCTCCAAGCAAAGGCCAAACATGGACACTAATAGTTGGTTTTTTCCACCTTGCTTAGCTGGCTTTGTAGGGGTTTTTTTACATTATTGCTGTAATTAACACAGTCAAGACCAGAATATTATTGGGTTCTTGGGTTCATGTCTGCCCGTTAGTGTGCTGGGAACAAGGAGGAAGTGAGTTCCTGGTATGGGGTGTCTCAGTGTTGAGTCCCACTCAGACCTTTCTTGATTTTGTTTCTTTAATATTACCCCAGCAGAGGACAGGGGTCCAGAAGCAACAACATTTCTCCAAACACTGTGCATACTTGGGATGCAGATATAGCTAAGTGGGAGAGTACTCCCTGAATAGCTGTGATTACAGGCATGGCCACCAGTACCTGGCTTGAATACATAGTCTGGCCAAGGTAACAGTAGAAAGTAGAACTGAGAAAAGCACCCATCCAAAGACCCACGTAGGTCAGACTTCCAAATGGAAAACCAAGGAAGACCAAATGCTGGAATGGGAGAGAAAAAGGAAATAAAACCAATCCAATAAATTGGTTCTCAAAACATTTATATGTCAATGATCTTTCTTTGACCTTGGTTTCCTTTTATGTTGTCATAACATGAAGGTTTGGCAATACTTTTTTTTTTTCAAAATTTTCCCTCAGTCATTAGCAGCCTATCTGCCTGAGCCCTCTGCTGAGGCTGTGGGCTTGGTGGGGTGTTGATTCACTGTCCGCCATTCTGGTCTTGCAGGATAGAGATTCCTAATGGTAGCGTTTGCCTGCTGGTTCCTCTGGTATAAATGCTCCCAGTAATATGATGCTAAACAGGAGTCAGTAATTGTGTCCACACTGGTTTGCAGCCTGGTGGGAGCTAGCCTCAGCACCAACCTCCGTCACCCGGCTTTGCTTCCAAGTCCAATCTGCCCAAATCATGGCCACCAGTTGAAGAACTGTCTGTCAGGCTGGGAACATGGCTTAGTGGTAGAGTGCTTGCCTAGCATGTATGAAGCCCTGACTTCGAGTCCTCAGTACCACATAAACAGAAAAAGCCAGAAATGGCACTGTGGCTCAAGTGGTAGATAGCCTTGAGCAAAAAGAAGCTCAGGGACAGTGCCCAGGCCCTGAGTTCAAGCCTTAGGAAAGGCAAAAAACAAAAAAAAAAAACTGTCTATCCTTTGGAGTAGTCTTGTTTCTTGAATCTAAGGTTCCTACCGTGTGTCCTCCTATTGAAAAACTGGGAAACAGACATGCATGGAAGGAAAGCTGGTCCTGAGGAAAATAGAGGAGACCTTTTTGTCTCAAACTTCATCCTTGGGGGAATGAAGAGATTTTAGGGGACACACTGAGTGAAAGCGAGACAGCAAGTAGGAAAACCCCATGCTGGGAAAGTTTTGTGCAGGTTTGTGAGCTTCCCTCTGCTCTGGCAGGAGACATACAATGGACTTGGCTTCCCTGAGGTCAGTCTGCTGTAACCTAGGGAAGAATCTCTTTAGCAAAAGGATGAGGGAGGAGGAGGAGGAGACACAGTCACATGAATCCTTTGCTACAATCTGGACAATATTGTGTGTACTTGGATGACTTGAACTTCTATCCTTTCCTCCCTGGTTTTTTTTTGGACAGGGTTGGGATTTGAACTCAGGACTTTTCTCTAGTTGGGAAGATGCTGTACCAATTGAACCACACTTCTGACCCTTTTTCCTTTTAGTTAGTTTTTAGATAGGCTCTTGTGCTTTTTGCCTTAGATGGTGATCCTCCTACCTATGCCTCTGGCATTGCTAGGATTATAGACATCCTCTACCACACCCAGCTTGTTGGTTGAGATGGGATCTCCCTAACTTTTTTCCCCTGTTCTGCCCTTGAACCCTGATCCTCCCAGTCTCCACTTTCTATGTAAGCTGAGATTACAGACATGCATCACCATATGTGATCTTGAAGTTGATACTCTTTTCTAATGTCTTATCAAGCTCTCCAGTGAAATCAGTTCCTCTGAGAAGTATTTTAACCTCTTCTTTTCATGGAGAAAGATCTGGATTAAACGGCCACATCAGACTTGTCTCTACTTGCTGAGCATGCATGCTGTATTATCCTCACCTTTATTCATCCTTCATCCTCCCATCCAAGGATGAGAGGTTTTGAGCTGTAGGTGAGAGGCATTTGGCTTTCTCCAGGAATTTGGTCTCTTTTCATTTCCTGTTGCACGACCATTGCACAGGCACCCGTCGCTGTGTGAGTGAGCTGAGGCGCCACACCTGGTCAATGTGCGATTGTTTCAGTGCCCCCTTCAATCCGCACCCTCACGTTAACAGGAAGGGCATAGCTGATGCGAGTAGAAGGCTGCGGCGGCGGAGGGCCAGGTACAGTTCATGCAGTGCTTGCCTGGCGTACGCTTCCATCCCCACCATGAAGGTCAGGCAATGCCGGCACTTGTGTGCCTACACCTGCTCATGGCTGCTCACGGCCATCCTGCAGGCAGGTTATACACCAGCCAGGCCCCTTCAGCAGCCAGGCAGAGGGAGGCTGAGCCTTGACCCCTGTGTCCAGAGCCCCTGTCTATTCCTCACCCTGAGCTCTCTGCCCAGTCTTGTGGGCCTCCATACTTCCTCAGATGACCATGTGGCTCCTCCCTCAGGGCCTTCAGGTCTTTGCTGAGGTGTCACCTCATATTGCTGCATCCTGTGGCCATGTGAACTACAATTTCTACCTACCCACCCACCTCCCACTTCACTTCCTGTCCACCATCACTCCTGCTTCTTCTCATTCATATCTGTCACTTTGTTCTATGCGAACATGCTCCTCAACTTATGATGGGTTTTGTCACAATAAACCCATGGCAAATGGGAACCAGCCTAAGTAAAAAGAAAAACTTAAAGCATTGATTATAGGGTACCAGCAGCTGACACCTATAATCCTAGCTACTCAGGAGGCTGAGATCTGAGGATTGTGGTTAAAGCACTCTGGTTCACCTACAGTTGGGCAACTTCACTTAACAGGATTCTCCTGTAGATCACATGCAGAATGTCTCATGGAATTTCTTGAATACTGGGCTGAAAGTGAATGATTGATGAATGAACTCCACAGTTCTGTAAAGTCAAACAATCATAAGGTGAACCTTTGTTGTTGGGGAGCATCTGTGTATCTTCCTTGTTAATCCATTTCCCCATACCAAGCAAGGAATTAATTTTCCACTTCCCAGTGCCTAGGAAGTGTCTGATATAGTTGCACAGTGATATGTCTCAAATGAATGAATTAATGAATGAAACAATGAGTGAGTGCCTTTCCCACTATTCTATCTTCTCTCCTGCCACCTGGGAACAAAGTGAATCCCAGGGTTTGAGCCATATGTTGCCAACAGTTTTGGTTTCATGTCCCTAGAGTACCTGAAATCTGCACGTCAGGCAAGAAAGAACATTTCTGTGCTAACTTTGAATTGTTTTCCTGAATGCACAAACAACGTTTTGCTTTTGTTGTCCAATTAAGAGAGGCCAGGAATTACCTAGGGGACCTGAGAGGCCCTGACGGCTGGTGGGACTGGTGTGTGACCGCGCTGCTGGATGGGCTGTACCCAGAAGGCCTCTCTGCTGCTGGCCAGGTGCCTAGGACTCAGGTGTGTGGTCCTGCCTCTCCACCTCTCAAGTGTGCCACGGGAAGTCAGTCCCCTGCCTCTCCACTTCTCAAGTGTGTCACAGTGAAGTGGGCCCAGCTATACAGCCATGTAAGGCTTTGAATGGCTATGTTGGTTGCAGGGCCATGGCTTTGCCCCCAGGGAGCTCCCATTACTTTCCAGGTTCATTTACCCCTCCCACCCCTCCCTGAGCTGTGTGGGACTCCAGGCTCCACGTTTATAAGCCCCATCTGGCCCTGGGGACACACATAGAGAATCATAGGGCTGAATGGGTGCAGAGCGAGTCCGTGGCAGATTCTGGTTTCCAGTGTGGACTTGCATGACAAGGGACACTAGCAATGTCCCCAGGTCAGAGGAGGAGCAAAGGTATAAGAAAGAAGAATCATAGAAGGTTTGGAAAGAGACAAGCAGGTCACAAGTTTAAAAATGAAAAGAATAGCTTTTTATAAATATCCCATTCCTTGCTCCCTGTCTTATTTCCTCCCTTCCTTCTAAAAAGAAAAAAGAGTTGATATCTTAGCCAGGTATAGTGGTTCACACCTGTAATGCTAACTACTTGGAAGGAACACGGTTCCAAGACAGTCCAAGCTGAAAAGTTTGGGTGAGCCCATCTCAATAAGAAAACTGAGCTACATAGAACTCATAAATGCTATAGACCACGATAGACAATTTGCCCCATGAAAGTTAGAATGCGTTTGTGACTTTAACTAGCATCACCATCCCACAATACTGTGAAGTTTGGGAAATTATACAATCACTTAATCACAATAAAGAATTTGAGAAAAAGGAAAAGAAAAAGAAAACTGAGCTAGTGTTGTGTGCCTGTCATTGCCAACAGCTTTGGTTTCATGTCCCTAGAATACTGCAGGAGAATGCTAGACCAGTGGCTAGGGCAAAAGGTAAGACCCTATCCCAAAAAAAAAAAAAAAAAGCAAAGAAGAATCAAGAGGTAGAGTGTCTGCCTAATAACTGCAAAGCCCCACGTTTAATATAAGCAAACAAAATCTGGCAATATCTTTGAGTTGTATTCCTCAAGTACCATTTTTCACTTCATTTTTATTGGATTCTATGTGATATCATGAGACAACAACAGTGACGAAATCTGAAGAGCTCAAAATAAAGATCATGAGAAGTTACGGATACTGAAATGTCATTCGAAGGCTAGTCTTTTCTCCAGATGAGTCTGGGGAGGGAGGGGGTGTCTTAAAGCGTTGGTGGAAATGTAGTGAGTCCCTCGCCCAAGCTCCCCCAACCTTTGTAGAAATTTTAATATTCTGAATCTCTCTTCTTCTTTCAGCCAGGAGCTCTTGGAGGAAAATGCTACCTCCTCGGTACCCCTGTGATCAAGCAGCTCAAAGTCTTTCCCTGTGGTCCGTGCAAGGTGAAGCTCTGCTTCTAAACAGGAATTGAGTTTGAAAACTCTGGGGGACACTGAGGCTGGGAATGGACAGATGTGTCGGCATCCTCAGAGCTGAGAGTGACTGGAAATTGCCAGGCACCGGGGTGGAGTGGGAGAAGATGGAGAGAGACTCACCTTCCTCTTCCTCTTTCCAAACACCTCTTAAGAGTCTGGTTTACTATATCCACTGGACTTGGTGCTGTATGCAAACAACACAGGATTTTTAATCTAAAGATAAAATTTTTACCTTTTTTTTTTCATGTTGAGAAGGGGCTGCCTTAGGAGGAGAGTTTTACCTGTATCATCCCCTTTTGGGAAAATGTGCAGCTTGTCCCAGCCTGCTAGAGTCTCAGGTTGGAGTCTTCAGTACATAGTATCTTGGTCCTTCTGGCTCCTCCAGTGTACAGCACAATGGGGGAGCCACAATGCAGGCAGACTTGAGGTGGAGATTGACAGCTTCTTCTGATTGGTGGTTTTGTTTCAGTCTCCCAGGCCATTCTGGATGCTCATTGGAGACTCTGATCCCATGTGTAGCCCTGAAACCCAAGGCCTTGAGAATCAAAGTGTGGTCTCCTGTAGTCCTGAGGCCTGTGGGGCCAGAAAAGAGGCCTGTGTGCATAGCCTGGGAAGAACAAGGTGAGCGTCCATTGCAGGGAGGCTGCAGGGCAAATCCCAGTCCAGGCACTGATTAGTAAAAATGTGATTGCTTTAAACAATGGAGTCCATTGTAAAGAGAAAAAAAGAGGCAACTGAATATTCTAGACACTGGACAGTTCTCCTCCATTTGTACATTGTACAAACAGAAGCCCTAATTTAGCCAGGATGCCATCCATCGTTGCTGCTGCTGGGAAGAAGGGAGAAGCAAAAAGAGAGGAACTTACTGTCACCAATAGAGTCCTCAAGACACAGAGAACCATTTGTCCAGCCCCTTAATGGTCCAGTGTTAGCTGAGCACTGTTGGCCCATGCCTATAATTCTAGCTACTTGAGTGACTGAGATCAGATGATTGCAGTTCAAAACCAGCCCAGGCAGAAAAGTCCATGAGACTCTTATGTCCAATAAGCTACCAAAAAAAGTCAGAAGTGGAGCTGTGACTCAAGTGGTAGAGTGCTAGCCTTGAGTGAAAAAGCTCAGGGACAGTGTTCAATCCCTGAGTTCAAGCCTCAGGACAAAGCTCCCGTGTCATTTGTCCTTGTACAAGCTTACAGGAGGTGTTCAAAGCACTGCACTCCAGCCGGGTTTTTCTGGGGACTTCAAAGCCTTGCTCCATCTCCCCCAACCCTCCTCTCAGTATGTGCTACTTTCCAGGCCCAAAGCCCATGCAGCCCTGGCTGCCCTGAGGGCCAGCAGGTGGATTGACCAGAGCACCAGGGCAGTGTCTGTGCACTTTACCCTCTACAACCCTGCAGCCCGACTCTTCTCCAGCGTGATCCTGAGTGTGGAGATTCTCCCTACTGGAGGCCTGACCCCCTCTTTCCTAGTGCAATCCTTCAGCATCTTCCATAATGACTCAGCCCCCCAGTACTATCTCATGCTTCCCAAGGTGAGTTCACCTGCTTTTCTGGCCTCCTGAATGAACACACAGAGGCCAGCCTTCCCCTGGCCTGGGCACCCTCATTGGCTAACATATCCTGCTAATCACACCCTTGTCATGTTCCCATCATGCCAGGAGGCATCACAGGAAGTCTTGAGGCCTGGGAAATACTGCCCCCCAGTGGAGAGACCAATCTCACACAAGTGGCCCAAATGTAGGGCTGTCACCAGACTTAGTAGGAGGTTTAGGTTTAGTCTCATGGGTCTCTACCAGCTTCTGCTGTCTTAATAAAATATAATCACCTCCCCACCACACACACACACACCACCACCACCATCCAGTCACACCTTCTATACGTTCAACTTGCAGTCAGCTGTGGTCAGAATACATGAAATGGAAGATTCCTGAAATAATCCTTAAGTTTTAAGTCATTTTAGTCCTTCTGTTTTTATTAATTTTCCTTGTTCATCTTTCATGGGGGGCAAATTTCTAAATTCAACTTCATCATAGTTTCAGATGTATAGGACACAATACAGTATATATGAGGTTGTGTGAAGGTTCAAGCATTTGTGGGGAGGCAGTCTGAATAAAAGAGATAACTGTTGGGCTGGGAAAGTGGCTCAGTGGTAGAGCGCTTGCTTTGCATGCATGAGGCCCTGGGTTCGATTCCTCAGCACCACATAAGCAAAAAGAAAAAAGCCAGAAGTGGCGCTGTAGCTCAAGTGGTAGAGCGCTAGCCTTGAGCTGAAGAGCTGAGGGACAGCGCCCAGGCCCAGAGTTCAGGCCCACGATCGGAACCCCCCCTCAAAAAAAAAAAAAGAAAAAAGAAAAAAGAGACAACTGTAGAAAGGCTGGGTGACTTAAATAGAAGACATTTATTTAGCACAGTTCAGGATGCTGGAGGTCTAAGATGAAGCTGCTAAAAAGGTAGTGCTCTGGTGACGGTTGCCTTCCTGACTTAGGGGAGCCAGACTCCTCCCTGTATCCTCATGTGGCCACTTCATTTTGCCAGTGAATGAGCATGGAGCACATGAGGTCTCTGGGATCTACATGTATAAGGCCATGCAGGACCAGGGCCCCACCCTCATGCAGTTATTTAACCTTTTTTTTTTTTTTTCGTCGGTCGTAGGGCTTGAACTCTGGGCCTGGGTGCTGTCCCTCAGCTCTTCAACTCAAGGCTAGCATTCTACCACTTGAGCCACAGTGCCACTTCCATTTTTCTGGTGGCCACTTCCGGTTTTCTGGTGGTTTATTGGAGATCAGTGTCTCACCGACTTTCCTGCCTGGGCTGGCTTTGAACTGTGATCCTCAGATCTCAGCCTCCGGAGTAGCTAGGATTACAGGTGTGAGCCACCAGTGCCCGGCACCATTTTTTTTCTTTTTTGTGGTCCCATCTCCAAATATAAATCACACAGGGAGCTTAAGCTCCAAACTACATTGGAAAGGGGGGAGGGGCGCATCAACCTTCAGGAGACGGCTTTTTGGTGACATCAAAGCAAGTGGTACTGCAGTGCCATATTTTAAACCATCAGAAGTGACATACAGACACCTCGATGAGCACTTTTGCTCATCAAGAATGCTCATGTCATGTATGTCATATGTATACATGAAGATTGACTATTTTGAGCATGCTAAGGAGAGAGAGGAGACTTGTCTGAGTTGAATGCTCATGTCATGTATGTCATATGTATACATGAAGATTGACTATTTTGAGCATGCTAAGGAGAGAGAGGAGACTTGTCTGAGTTGAATGCTCATGTCATGTATGTCATATGTATACATGAAGATTGACTATTTTGAGCGTGCTAAGGAGAGAGAGGAGACTTGTCTGAGTGTTCTGTGTTTGGTGTTTGATGCCAGTACTGGGGCATGAACTCAGGCCTCATGCTCTTGCATGGCTTTTTCACTTAAGGCTGGGGCCACTTGAGCCACAACTCCATTTCTGGTTCTTTGCTGGTTAGTTGGAGATAGGAGTCTCACAGACTTTTGGAAAAGTTCTGCCTGGGCTGGCTTCAAACAGTGATTCTCAGGTCTCGGCCTCATGAGTACTAGGGGTGTGAGCCACCAGCTCACACAGAGTTGTTGTCTATCTTGCCTATGTGTGGTCTCTCCACCAGCTCATCTTCCTGGTGCTCCACGTGGCCCATCTCTGCCTTCAGCTCTGTGGGACTGCTGAGGAGGGTCTCCTCAGCTGCTGGCGGAAGCCCAGAACCTGGCTCGAGGTAGGCTTCCATGGGTCATTTCTGTTCTGAAATTCAGAATGATAATACTATATGATCTTATTGTTTTCTATGATATGTTATAGTTGTTACATATTGTGTAATCATATAATTATATATAATATATAATCACATAATTATATATAATTTTTATTATGTCATCTTAATATATAATTGTCTAGTATTATAATACTATAGCATATTGTGTATATCATATATTATGTATACTACATATACTATATGATATTAATAAACATATTACTATTTTACTATATATAATATACAGTATATTCAATACATACTTTTGTGTAGTATATTACATAATATATGGCATATACAACATAATCTATCAATGTCAATATGTAATATGTATTATAGCGTATCTATTATATGTGATGTATTAATGTTATGTATAATATGGTCTATGTAATATCTACTATATAATAGATATATCATTATAATAACACACTCATGATAAAATGAATTTTTGTGTCTATATAACTTTTTTTTTTTGGCGCCATTCCTGGGGCTTGAACTCAGGGCCTGGGCGCTGTCCCTGAGCTCTTCTGCTCAAGGCTAGCACTCTACCACACAAGCCACGCAGTTCCACGTCTGTCCACGTCTGGTTAACTGAGATGAGAGTCTCACAGACGCTCCTGCCCGGCTGATGTTGAGCCTCCGATCTCAGCCTCCTGGGTGCTGGGAGGACAGGCGTGGGCCGCCGCGCGGGGCTTGTCTGCAGGTGCGTCCTGCAGGGGTCAGCTGAGTCCTTCCGAGCTGACCGCGTCCTCCCCTCGGTGCCTTGCAGCTCTCCGCGGCCGGGGCGGCCCTGGCCTCCTGCGCGGCCTCGGGCCGCCTCGCCGCGCTCGCGGAGGACGCGGCTGACCAGCTCGGCCGGGGACGCTGTCTGGCGTGCGTGGACCTCCTCCCGGTGGCGCGGTGGAGTCAGGTGCGGTGGGCAGCGGGCCGCTCTGGCAGCGCGTGCGTGGTGGGTGCGGGCCGAGAGTCGGATCAGCGTGAGTCTAGGAAGGGTGGAGAGGGCCGGGAGGGCGCGGGGCCTGCTGCGCGTGCGGGGGTCACGCACGTGGGTCCCGGAGGCCACGGGGCCTGCTGCGCGTGCGGGGGTCACGCACGGGTCCCGGGGTCCGCGGGGGTCTGGCCTGCGGTGCGTGCCGGATCCCGGGCAGCAGAACTCCCGAGCCAGGGACTCCGCAGGCCCCTCCGCGGCTCCACAGTCTACACGGGATGAGTGGGTGTGCGGCGGCCCTGGGGGGCCTTCCCAGGGCGGGGACCCCATCTTATGGGTAAGGTCTACCTACCCCTGCCTGGTCCTGCTGCACCTCGGCCAATCCCTTCCCCACCCGCAGGCCTCACCGCTTCCTTTCCCACCCCTCTGGAGGGCAGCCAGGGCACTGGGGCTACCCCATCGTCCAGAGTGACTTCACATGCCCGGGAAGGATTCTTCCAGAACATAACTGGAAGAAGAGTGACAGGTTCACTCCCCTCTCATCTCCCTTCCCTGGCTGCACCTTCTGTAATAGCTCCCCGCCTTTAGCTCCCCTCATCTCTAATCCTGCCTCCGGCCTGGCTCTGCTGCCTGCGGCATAGACAGGGCCGCAGGAGGTTAGCTGTTCTCCAAGGAGCATGGAGCTGAGCCCTGGCTCCGCAATCCCCATCCACCCGTCAGAGACAATTTTGTTGCCAGCCCCAGAAACCCACCAGCCCTGGGAAACAAGAGGTGCCCTGAAAGAACCTGGGTGGGAAATGACGCAGGTTTCTCCCAGAAGGAAAATACACATGCTGGGCACAGGTGTCTCATGCCCGTCATCCTAGATACCCAGGAGGCTGAGATCTGAGGCCCACAGTTTGAAACCAGCCTGAGCAGGAAAGCCTATGAGACTTTTTTGGGGGGGGGAGGGGTCTGGTTGTGGGCACTGTCCCTCAGCTCTTCAGCTCAAGGCCAGCACTCTACCACTTGAGCCACAGCACCGCTTCCGGCTTTTTTCTTTTTGCTTGTGTGGTGCTGAGAATCGAACCCAGGACTTCAGGCATGCTAGGCAAGTGCTCTACCACTAAGCCACCTTCCCAACCCTGCCATGAGACTTTTATCTCCAATGAACTACAAAAAAAGAAGCTGGAAGTGGAACTGTGGCTCAACTGGTAGCACAAAAGCTCAGGAACAGTGCCCAAACCCTGAGTTCAAGCCCCAGAGCTGGTACCAAAACAACAACAACAATAATATAAAATCTCCTTTTGCAAGTTGTTACTGGAACTACAGCTTTAGGAGCAGTTTTCTGGGCTTTTCTGGGCAAGGGGAAACAGCCTTGCACAAGGAAGTCTACACCTACCGCTCCTTAGACTGGAGCTGAGCCAGGCCTCGTGGGTCAGTCCTGAGGCTGGACATGAACCCAGGAAATGTCTGTACACATCACTCCTCTTTTATCTATTAATAATGGCATTCCCCTACTGGAAGTAAGTTTAGAATGCATTGCCAAGCCTAAGATTCCAGGGAAGTACTCTCATCATAGAGGAAGAGAGTACATATCTTGCCCACAACAGGGACTAGGTGTCTAGATGCTCTGTGTCTTGGATGCTGTTCCTTTTTTTATTTTTAGCATTTTTTTGTGTGCAATACTGGGGCGTAAGGCTTTGCACTCTCCTTGGCTTTTTTTTTTTCCCCTCAAGGCTATAATGCTCTACCACTGAGTCACATTTGCATTACCAGCTTTTTGCTAGTTAATTGGCAATAAGAGTCTCTCAGATTGCTCTGTCCAGGCTGGCTTTGAACCAGGATCCTCAAATCTCAGCCTAGGCAGAGTAGCTAGGATGACAGACTTGAAACACCAGTTCCCAGCTCCATGTGGGTTTTTTAAACATACAGCTGTCATTTCTTTCTCTTTGGCTTATGGTCTTGGTGACAATGGATTAGACTGTGTCCCTGAATGCATTTCTCAGTGAGCCCTTTAGCAGGTGAACACCCTGCCGAGAGGTTAAGTGGGGAGGAGAGGCATGGGTTGGACCTACATCTGCCACATCTCCAGCTGTTGCCTTTGTCCCATCTCTTTATCTGAGCCATTGATTCCTGAAGCATGTTATTGCTTGTTGTTTTTATAAGGACTGAATTATTTAAACCAATGGAAAGCATTGGCAGCTCCTTACCTATTCCGTTCATAAAGAGAACACACTGCACATTCTCTCCCCAACCCCATGATCACTTCCCTATAGCATAACAGGTTGTTTGGAGGAAAAAATAACTAGATCATCACAGAAATGGCAAGGCCAGGACTCACATGAGGCCTTCTGGAAAATGCACTTGAGTCTGAATTTACTCCTGGTTCTTATCCATTCTCCTCTACAGACATTGGCACTGGGTGTCCCTGGGAGATTCTTGGTCTATGTAGTTCTATCAGTCAATGAATCCAGGCCCACACACATTTCTGTACCTTCTTAACCATTGGCCTACAAAATGATGTGCTGTGTTCTTCTGTCTCAGAGGGTGCAGTGGCTCCAGGGACTCCTCTCCTTCTTCTGGATGTGGAAATGCATTCATGCTCTTGGCTTTCTGAACAAAATGGTGTCCTGCTCTTCCAGGATGTGCCTGTTTCTCATCAGAGTCTTTGCCCCAGTGGTAAGAAATGGATAATGATTTCCATGGTCAAACAATACATTGGCACACTCTCATTAGTTAGAGAAAAGCAAGGTGTAGCACCATGCAGAATTACAGTCCTCCGATCCATTATGTGGTGGTTTTAGATTGCTGGTAATACTATTTGTACAATAAATGATGGGATGGCCACAGTCACCAGGACTTAAGAATCTAACACTTACTCTGTATATCATTATCACTAATGTAAGGGGTTATCACTGATGAGCATTCTTTGAGCACTGAGAACACTGTGGGGGCCCCTTGTGGGTCTCTCCAGTTAGCAGTCATTCCAGGTACTGGGCAGGCCATCCAGTGTAGTTTGCTGAGATACAGCCCTGTGCACACAGTCATGAGACTCTACTTGACAAGGAAAAAAAGTAGCAGAATGAATCCTAGGGTATGAGCTGGGAAGAGGACAGGGCCAGGATGACAGCAGAGGCCACGAGGGCCTGCTTGCACATATAACATGTGACTATGATGGAGAACCAGATGCTAGTCCATCGTCCAGGCTGGAAAGTGTGCCTGTGAGCACTAGAGCCATTTGAGGGACTAAGGTGAAAACAAAAGGGAATCAATGACAAAACACCTCCAGCCAAGGTCCCTTCAGGTCCAGCCAGGACCAAGCACCGCATGGGATGTGATTTACCTCACAGTGGGCCTTTGGTTTCCCCTAGCCTTTGCTAAGTGTTGGGACTTATGGATCACACACACACACACACACACACACACACACACACACACACACACACACACACACACACACACACACACACACACACACACACACACACACCCCTCTTCCCAGTATGCCCTCTCTTCCCAGTAACAATGGGTTTTCACAGAAGAACCATGGCATTGTAGATAAGCATTTTAGGAAGGAAGGCCAGAGGTGGGGACAGGGGATGCCACTGATGGCAAAGGCACAGAGAGATGGCCAGTTATAGCTAGACATTAATCACAGGCCAAGTGTGTGGCCTGGCCAATAGGGGAACTAGAAAGCTGTCGGAAGAGCCCTGTGTGCCTGCAGTAGGGAGGCAGGAATCTGCCCAGCAGCAGAATGTGAGGTGGGGAGTAGGGTACATCTGGAGCAGAGGCCTGGGAGGGCTACAGGCATGAAGACTGATCTTTGGGGCACTAGTTCTTAAACCAGGGAAGGCATGGGCCACACTCCAAATGCTCCTTCTGTAAGTGTTTCTTAAAAGCATCTAGATCTCCAAAGGAATCTTCCATCCTAAGAAGAGGTGTCAATGTGGTGGGCCTTCTCCCTGCAGCTGGCTGGAGTCCTATTACTGGCTGCCCACTTCCACCTGCTCTCGTTTCTGCTCTTCACCTGGGTGCTGCCATCTAATCCCTCTGCAGACCCCATCCATAGGCTGCCTTTTCGTTTTCTGGGAAGAAACCAGAAGGATTTCTTCCACAGCCTCTCAGAGGCCGGCCGGCGATCCACAGCTTGCTACTGTGTGGCATTCTTCCTACTGATGGCCACCATGTCGTTCAGAATGGTATGTAGACAAGGTCAAGACTTTGAAGTCAAGATTTGTGCAAGTTTCATCTGCTGTTGGAGTGAAAGTCCTCTGTCATATGTCCAGAAAGTCCCCTGGGAGTCTACCTCCTGCATGGCGTCCACCTGGACCCCTGACCTGTGGAATCACATCTAAAAACTTAACAGCCAAACTTAAAGCCACACATATTTTCTCCTTTGGTTTCTTCTACAATTTTCAGTGTTGTTTTACACTTGACATTTTTTGTTTTGTTTTGTTTTGTGCCAGTCCTAGGGCTTGAAATCAGGGCCTGGGTGCTGTCTCTGAGATTTTTGGCTCAAGGCTTGAGCTCTACCACTTAAGTCACAGCTCCACTTGTGGCTTTTTGGTGGTTCACTAGAGATAAGAGTCTCCCAAACTTTCCTGCCCCAGCTTGGTTTGACCCAGATCCTCAAATATCAGTCTCTTGAGCAGCTAGGATGACAGATGTGAGCCACCAGCACCCAGATAATATTTTGCACATAAAGTCTTCCATAATTTGCCCAAGGCTAGCCTGGATTGTGTTCCTCCTATTTTTACTTCCTGAGTGGCTGGGATTACAGATATGAACCACCATATCTGGTTTGTTGAAGCATGGAATCTAATGAACTTTTTGCCAAGGCTGGCCACAAAACACGGTGCATCCAATCTCTTCCTGAGAATCTGGGATTAGAGATGTGGGACAATACACCCAGCAACCTTGAAGGCTTTTGGGCTCACAGATTTCAGCTTCAACCTAGGGACTAATATCCTGTAGCCATTGTTGGATCATTCAGTACAATAGCCTGCTGGGTCCCTGACCCCTTTCTATATAACTCCCAGGCACAACACTTGCTCCAATGAGAGTCCACCCACAGCCAGAGGTGGCTCACCAGGGGACACTGAATCAGAGATGTGGAAATATACTTCCACTCGATACTGGAAACAGTCTCAATAATAAGATTATTTTCCATTGTGCAGTTCAACTGGCTGCAATATAGCTCAATTCAATTAATTTAAAACCCTATAAAATAGCAGCATCCCATACATCTCCATCTCATAAATCATTAGGTTAACAAAGCCATTTTTTTAAGTTTATAATACAGAACTTGTCTTCTTCTCTTCTCCAGCTAAGTTCTTGCTTCCAGATCTTTTTCCGAAAAAGAAAATCTCCACACCGTCAATCTCTTGTAACACTTAAAGATGTTGCTGCTGATGTGTGGAAGGAGGTGCAGACTTTGCTAGAGCTGGAAAAGCCAAAGGTGGAAGAGACTGAGGAGACTGGAGAGCATGTAAGTGTGGGCACTTGGAGCCATGAGCACAGTAGCACAGTTGGGATAAGGTTTCTCGCAGAATCTGGCTTGACCAAAGCATCACTGTAGTTGGGCACCCAGTACTACTGCCAAGACTCCAAATTAATTCTCAACCAGAGAATCTTCCCTTGTCCTTCTAAAGCACTTGAGAAAGTTCCAAGTACATTTTCCTCCCTTAATTCTTTTGTGCCAGTACTGGGGCTTGAACTCAGGGCCTTGCATTCTTACGTGACTGTCTCACTCAAGGATAGCACTCTATCACTTGAGCCACAGATGCATTTCTAGCTTTGGGTGGTTAATTGGATATAAGAGTCTCATGTATTTCTCTAACCAGGCTGGCTTCAAACCACGATCCTCAGATCTCAGCCTCCTGAATAGCTGGAATTACAGACGTATGCCACTGGTGCCTAGCTTGCAGTACAGTATATCCTTATAATTATCCTGTGCTGTTGGAAGGATGCTGTTTCTGATCTTCTCCAACAGGTGCAAGTGTACGCACTAGTGTCACACATACAGCATAGTCTGTCCCCTTTAGCATTAGTTGTTTATTTTTTGTACCTGCTACTAGACTCAACTTCTGCCCTGAACACGGTGCAGGTTACCCCAGTTGTGAAAGCAAGAGTGTTAAGCAGGCACTTGCTCTCAGAATATTCAACTGTCATGCATGGCTGATGGTCACCCATCCCTCAGGGAAGTTTTGAGACCTGCCTGTCACCTGTGATCCTGTCATTCTGCATGTGACACCTGCTTTCCTTGCCCTTAATGCCATTCAGTCATTACTGATATTGTGTATTCATTACTGATTTATTTCTTCAAACTGCTAGGGTTTTTTTTCTTTTTCTTTCTTTCTTTCTGTTTTTTTTTTTTTTTGTCGGTCGTGGGGCATGAACTCTGGGCCTGGGCGCTGTCCCTCAGCTCTTCAGCTCTACCACTTGAGCCACAGTGCCATTTCCAGTTTTCTGGTGGTTAATTGGAGATAAGAGACTCATGGACTTTTCCTGCCAGGGCTGGCTTTGAACCACAGTCCTCAGGTTTCTGCATCCTGAGTAGCTGGGATTACAGGCGTGTTATCTTTAAGGGGCCTTGATTTCAGATTGCTACCATTAACCATCGCGGTTTTGTGTGTCCCCCTCTGGCCCCAGGTCCAGTGTGTTTCTCACATAGCACAGCCATCCTTCCAAAGTCTATACCCCCTAAGTGCTTCGAATAACAAGGAAAGGACAGAAGCTCCCCCACCTTGCTTCTGCCCCAAATGCATGTATTAACCTCACTTCCTGTCTTTTAGAATTACTACCTGGATGAATGTTCACTTCTGATCGATGAGCTTCTGAGGAAGATTAATGGTTTGTCTGATAGCCTAGAACTTCCTGGTCTAGAAAACCAACCTGGAAGAACTGTGGAGAGGAGGGCGGATGATTCTCTGCTAGCAGGCATTTCACAGTACTAAGTTACTAGGGTAAGAAACACACAAAATTATTTTTTTGTCAGTTTTCTTCATTGGAAAATAAAAGTCAAGTTCTGAAGTTGGTTTGAAGTGGTTGCTGTTCCAAATTACAAGGTCCATTTACATAAATAATATTTAATTATTTAGATACAATTATTTATTATAGTAATATTTGATTATTGTAAGCATAATATTAGTTGTAACCTGTGCTCTGGCCAGAATTGAGAAATGATTCAATGATTCAATAAGGATGTGTGGTATGACTTCTAGATTAAAATGAGGGCATAAATATCTGCCCTATCCAGCAAAAGACCAGGAAACAGAAATGGATGCCTGTAATCTGAGCTACTTGGGAGGCTGAGATCAGGAGGATTATGATTTGAAGTCAACCCATAGCTGGCCATGGTGGCACATGCCTGTCTGTCATTCAGGCTACACAGGAGCCTCAGGGCAGAAGGAGCATGATTCCATCCAGCCTGGGAAGAAAGTTCCTGGGGCTTGAACTCAGGGCCTGTGTCTGAGCATTTTTCTCAAGGCTAGTGCTCTACCACTTGAACCACAGGTCCACCTCCAACATTTTTTTATTTTGTTGTTAATTGGAGATAAGGGTCTCATGCACTTTCCTGCCTGGGCTGGCTTCAAGCCATGATCCACAGATCTCAGCCTCCTGAGTAGCTAGGATTACAGGCGTGAGCCACCAGTGCCTAGTGAGAATTGATTTTTTTAGAACATAAGAATATATCTCAAGTTAAACTGGACATGATCGTATGCAATTGTCAGTCCAGCACTTTGGAGGCGAGAACAGGATGATTGTGCATTTGAGGCCAATTTCAGTTACAACACAAGTTCCAGGCCAGCCTGTCTCCAAAAATTGATAATAATAATAATAATATAGCAGCTCTGTCTCAAGTTGAAAGCCAGTACTATATCATTCCTTACATGTACTGTTAGAAACAACTCCACTAAGATTAAGGAAATTTTATCAGTTTGAAAGCCTCACAGGACAATACTTTTTCCAATGTTGAGAATCAAACTTAGGGTCTGGTAAATGCTAGCCAAGTGCTGTACCACAGGTAGCACATCTTCAGTCCCTGAGGCATGCTAATCTCATGTATGTGTGTATATTTATTCAATTATCTTTGTCATTATTACAATTGGACCTCAAGCCCCTGAGTTCTCAACTTACTTGCTCATGGCTAGTGTTCTGTCACGCCTCCAGTTCAGCTTTTTGCTGGTTAGTTGAAGATAAAAGTCTCATGGATTTTCCTGCTTTGACTGACTTTGAACCTTAATCCTCTAAGTCTCCGACTCTTGAGTAGCTAAGATTCTAGGCCACTGGTGTCCAACTTGTATCCATATTCTTTAATTCTTAGAGTTAGGGGAACCACAAATATATAATCAAGATGAATAACATCTTGTACATACATCAGATACTGATGTGAGTTCATAAATACTCACAATGTACAGGAATCCACACTAACTTCCTGAAATTTAGAGAATTTTTCTTCTGGTCAGTTGTGGGGCTTGAACTCAGGGTTTGCATGCTGTCCCTGAGTTCTTTTTTGCTCAAGGCCAGTGCTCTACCACTTTGAACCATAGCTCCACTTCCAGTTTTCTGGTGGTTAGTTGGAGATCAAAATCTCGCTGATTTTCTTGCTTGCCTGGGCTGGCTTTGGGACATAATCTTCAGATCTCAGCCTCCTGAGTAGCTAGGATCATGGAAGAGAGCACATGGCCTTGGAGAATACTTTGATTGCAAATCCTATAGAAACTGAGTGTGGATCTTTTTCCTAAGACATATTGCTATTTGTACCACATACAGAGTTGAATTTTTGCTTTGCTTTGTTTTGTGCTGGTTCTAGGGCTTAAACTCAGAGCCTAGGTACTGTTCCTGGGCTCTTTCATTCAAGGCTAGCACTCTACCACTTGAGCCACAGCTCCATTTAATGACTTTTTGGTGCTTTCTTGGAGATAAGAGTCTCACAGGCTTTACTGCCTGGGCTGACTTTGCGCCTTGATCCTTAAATCTCAGCCTCCTGAGTAGCAAGGATTATGGGTGTAAGACACCAAGGCTCAACTTGACAATCACCTTATGAAGCATGTGTTGACTGTGTTTCACAAAAGCCACTGTGGCCAAGCCTGGACAGCTCACAGGGCCCCCACAGGCATCTCTCCCCCAGGTACCCAGGGTCTCTCTGCCACAGGTGTTAGCTGGCATGTCTAGGAAGGAAGGGCTGTCACCATGCTGGAGCTGGTCAGTCCAGCTGGAGTTTGCAGAATGACCTTTTTATGTTGATGGGAGCCCAGCAAACAATCCACTTGAATTTCCTAACTTTAGGACAGTTGTGTTTTATCCCCAGCATTAATAATTAAGATTTGTATCTTTATAAACTGGATGCCTGGAGCTATCAATAACTATCTGCAAATGATGTTGTTCTTTGTGTTCTAAGTAACGCATGGCAACTCAGTGCCTTGGGTGACAGCTCCCTTATCCTCTCCTACCTGGCTCCCTTCCTCCCTCCCAAGTTTCTTGGCTTTTCTGCAGATGGAGAAATATCCTGCTCCTAGATCTTCCTATGGCCTAAGTATATGTGTATATGTATATATGTATAATTATACATAGGTATAATGTATAGGTAAATGTATGTATATCTGCATATGCACATATACTTGTACATATGTATATGTGTGCATGCATATATGTATATATATAACGATAACATGATGAAACCCACCAAACACTGTGTGGAGAAGTGGGGGAGGGGAGGAGGAGCTTGAGGGATTCATAGAGTAAACTTGTTCCAAGCTCACTGTGAACTACCATGCATCTGTGGAATTCTCACAGTGAACCCCCTGATACTATTAAAAGATGCTAACAGCCTTCCAAAATAAGTCTTTTTTATTCCAAAATAAAAAAGAAGAAAGTATAAACAATTTTTCATCTTTTACTTTCATTGGGTTAGTGGAATTTTTCTTTGTCAAAAACTAGTGCTTGATCTCACTCAGGTCACTGCAGTTGCACAAACGTATCTGTGATGTTCCGACTGTGTTCTCTCCTGCAAAGGAAAAGTGTTGATGTGCTAATCCTTCAGGCCTGTGAAGATGGCCAGATTTTCAGATGATAAAATTAGGATGAAGTCATGATGGTAGGCTCTAATCCAATAGGACTCTGTCCTTACTAAGAAGAAACGAAAAGGAAAAAAAAAAAAAAAAAACCACCAGAGAGAACGTCATGTAACAATTAGAAATAAGCTGTGCCAAACCATGGAACTATGAGACCCTAAAGACAAATTCTTCCCTGCCAGGACCTTCCAGCACCTTGACCTTTTTAGACCTCAGGCCCCTAGACTGTAAGACCAGATCTTATCTTCTCTTTCCTTTTTTCCTTTCCTTTTCTTTCCCTTCCCTTTTTTTTCTTTTCTTTTCCTCTCCATTCTTTTCCTTTTCTTCAATTTCCTTCCCTCTTTCCTGCCTGCCTTTCTTCTTTTTTTTAAAGCCCATCCTGGCACTTGATCTCAGGATCTCACACCTTTATTTTGCTTTTTCACTCCAGCTTGACATTCTACCTCTAGAGACATAGCTTCATTTCCAGTTGTTGTTGTTGTTGTTTCTGCTTAATTGGAGATAATAGTCTCATGGACTTTTCTGCCCGGGCTAGCTTCGAACTGCAATCCTCAGATCTCAGCTCCTTGAGTGACTAGGATTCCAAGTGGGAGCCTCTAGCGCCCAGCAGTATCATAGATTTGTTGGTGATACTTTCTGACTACATACTAGCATGTGGATGCAAGATTTTGCCTGTTATTTTTGGAAGATAATTGTCAGAGTTTATAATGCTCCAAGCTGTAACAGAAAACTTCTTCAAAAAAGAAGCAGCTGATACCACATTTCAGTCCTTCAGAATTCAACTTCTACAACCCTCGCTGGGAGAAAATTCAGCTCTCGTAAATAACTTATATCTTCTTAGCAACCCAGAAGGTCCTGGTTTATGTCTGCAGTGTCACAAGTGTTTGTCTAGCACACAGACAAATACAGGACTGACAATAATATTTCAACTTTATTGGTGTTCTGTCAGCCAGGAGGGAATAAATCAGTAGCCCTTAGAACATTCCTTCTTCTGAGCTCATTGAGGGCAGACTTGGTGTGTGTGATCCCAGACAGCACAGGAAGCTGTGTCTCTGTAGTGTCAGGGTTTGAGTTGACTTCTAATGTATTCAATATTTGTAAAAAGTATCTAAACAGTTCTAAACCTAACAAGCCTTTCTTGTGATATCCAGCCTGGGAAGGAGTCCAAAATAGATGTAGAAATACAGAAAGACTTAAAAAAAAAAAAAAACACACCAAAAAACAAGAACCATTAAAACTATTTCTTTTATATATTTTTTTTTTGGGGGGGGGGGAGGGTCCAGTCGTGGGGCCTGAACTCTGGGCCTGGGCGCTGTCCCTCAGCTCTTCAGCTCAAAGCTAGCACTCTACCACTTGAGCCACAGCACCATTTCCGGCTTTTTTCTTTTTGCTTATGTGGTGCTGAGGAATCAAACCCAGGGCCTCAGGCATGCAAGGCAAGCGCTCTACCACTGAGCCACCTTCTCAGCCCCTAAAACTATTTCTCAACCAGGGCACTGGTGGCTCACGCCTGTAATCTACTACTCAGGAGGCTGAGATCTGTGAATCATGTTCAAAGCCAGCACAGACAAGAAAGGCTGTGAGACTCTTTATCTCTAATAAACTATCAAAAAAGCCAGAGATAGAGCTGTGGCACATGCGGTTAAAACACTAACCTTTACCAAAAGAAGCTCAGAGACAGTACCCACGTCCTGAGTGTAAAGTGTAAGCCCTGGAACTCTGTCTTCTTAGTATCTATCTCTTTAGTTGAGTGATGCAATAGGTCCTTTTGAAAAGCTTTTCCGTTGAGCACTGGTGTCTCACTAGCTGTTCAGGAGCCTAAGCACTGATGATCATGATTCAAAGACAGCCCAGGTAGGAAAGTCCACGAGACTCTTATCTCCAATTAACCACCAACAAAAAGTCGGAAGTAGAGCTATGGCCCAAGTGCTATAGCACCGGCCTTGAGTTAAAAAGCTAATGGACAGTGTCCAGGCTCTGAATTCAAGTCACAGGAGTGGCACACACACACATACAACTTAAGACTTATACAAAACAGGCATAATAGCTAGTTGTATCAATGATATAAACTGAAAGTTTAATAGACTATATTACTGATTTTTCTAGCAGACAAGAGAATGACTTCATCAGAAATGTGCATTTGGGTACCTCGTCTCTCCACCCTACTCTTGGTTTATCCATTCCTGGCTTATCTTTTCTGGATGAAACCCCTCAGCACAACAGCCCTGAAGTCACAGGCCATCCACAATTTCTCTGCTTTCTACTTGACAAGATTCTGGCTTTGTGGATGGCCTGAAGCATCTGTTTCCACTTCCACTGTACCAAGACCCAGCCAGGAAGAGGGATGAGCCCTGAGCTCTGTCAGATTCTGTAGAAGTTGAGTCATGCTGGGATCTCCTCAACTCTAGGTTCTTTGGGGTTACAATATGCCAGTGTCAGTAACCACACATCTCTATCGAGTACACTGGCGGGGCCTTTGCTGGGAGAATACCTGGCGATCTGGCCAAGGCACTGATGCAGAAGTGCGAGCACGCACACCCACATCAAGGTCAAGGGAGCTGACAACTCGTTCCTCAAGACAACATGCTTCAGCCCATGGGTGTCATGAGTAGCTTGCCACAACCACTTGGAAACTGATACTGGAAACAGTCTGCCAAGAAGCATGCAGCCTGCATATACTGCCTTTGCAGTCTGACCACTCCAGCAGGGTGGCAGGGACGGTTGGACACAAGTGGCCTCTGCCTTGCTTGAGGACCCCTGGCCAAGCTTCAGTCACTGGCCTCCAACTCTACTTCTGCTCCACGTGTGCTGTGGACCCAAGGAAGACAAATGAAAGGATTGGGGCATTGGCCCAGAACAAACCTGTATCCAGGACTTTTTTCTTTTTGTCCAGAAGGGGTTACTTCATGGATTTAAGGCAAGGGATGGGCATGCTTTCAGTAATGCAAGATTCCCTCCACAGGACAAAGGTCCTAATCATTAAAACTAGCGAAAGTTCAGCATAAGTGTTTTTGTTTTTCCTTCTTTCCTCCCTTCCTCCCTCCCTCCCTTCCTCCCTCCCTCCCCCCTCTCTTTCTGTGTGTTGGGACTTGAATTCAGGGCCTGTGGGCTATCCCTTAGTTTTTTAGCCCAGGTTTGTGGCACTCTACCACTTCAGCCACATTTCTACTTCCAGTATTTTTTCAATTTTTTTTATTGTGAAAATACCATACAGAGGAGTTACAATTACATGAGCAAGGTAATGAGTACATTTTTTATCAAGCATTGTTGCCTCCACCCTTGTTTCCCCTTCCCATCCCTTCCCATCTTCCCCCACTTCCAGTATTTTTGGTAGTTAATTGGACATAGGAGTCTCATGAATGTCCCTGCCTGGACTGGTTTGAAAGGGGATCCTCAGATCTCAGCCTCATGAGTAGCTAGGATTAGAGGTGTGAGCCACAGTGCCCAGCCAGGAAAATCAGTTTCAGCAGATTTAGCCTTGTGTTTAAATTGAAAAGAGCTAACGCCCAAAGGAGTTGCTAATTGTTCCAGTTCACACAATAAGTACAAGGGAAGTCAGGGCAGAAATCCAAGTTCAGCACCCTTACACTGTCACCCACCAGTCCCAAGCACTCAGAGTCCAGATGGGAGGCAAGAGTCTCTCCAGCCTATCCTCACGGGCCTATACCATGCTAGCTATTCAGAGCCCAAAATGTTAAAGGAGAAGGATGAAAGTGGGACAGTGATCAAGATGCATTCTATTTATAAACTGATTCGTTGAATAGTAACTCCTTTGTACAACTCCTAATAAAAATTTAATTTTTAGGGCTGGGAAGGTGGCTCAGTGGTAGAGCGCTTGCCTTGCATGCATGAGGCCCTGGGTTCGATTCCTCAGCACCACATAAGCAGAAAAAGCCAGAAGTGATGCTGTAGCTCAAGTGGTAGAGTGCTAGTCTTGAGCTGAAGAGCTGAGGGATAGCGCCCAGGCCCAGAGCTCAGGCCCCATGACTGGCAAAAAAAAAAAAAATTAATTTTTAGTTTCAAAAAGTCTGAAACCTTATTTTACAAACTTCCTGTTCTCTCACATTGAGGTTGTTTCTGTGAGTTATCCTGCAGTGCTAATATATGCAATGAAAGAGACCAGGACAGATCTGATACTCAAATAAGGGATTGGAAATAAAATCCTTGTACTAGAAAGTGAACAATCAAAAGTGAATTTTTTTCCTGATTTAGCTAATCCACTATATAAAATGGTGATTTAATCTGATCTTTGAAGTCAGCTGGACTGCCACATTTGAATCCATTTTAAACCCTACATACCTAGATAAGAATGCTGAGGACATGATTGAATTGAGCACCTGCATGTATGTTGGACATGATAAATGACTTCCAAAGGCCTGGTGGGGCAGGCATTCTCTGAAGCAGGTGAAGGCAGATGGATGGAATAAGGTTTTCAGGACCTCAGTTGCCAACCACAGAGCAACCAATGTAATACAAACATCGGTTGTTTTTATTAGCATACATTAGCTGTACAGGAGGGCTCATTGGGAAATAGTCACACATGTATACAATGTATCCATTTCCCAGACTCTCATACCTTCCTGTCTTCCACTTCCCTCCTTTCTGAAAACAATTACAAGTGTTGTTGTTCTAGTCTTCCAACCCCCTTCCCCCCACCCCACCCCACCCCCCTCCCTGCCTCTGTTGATACTGGGGCTTCTTGAACTCAGGGACTTGTGCTCTTGCTTGGCTTTTTCTGCTCAAGGATGGTACTACTTGAACCACAGCTCCAGATCCAGCTTTTTAGTGTTGAATTGGAGATAAGAGTCTTGTAGACTTTACTGTCTGAACTGGCTTCAAATAGCCATCCTCAGATCTCAGCTTCCTGAGTAGCTAGGATTAGAGGCATGAGCCACCAGCTCCTGGCTTAAAACTTTCTAATTTTTAATAAATGTTTTGAAAACATAAAATTTCTTCTAATTACTACTTGAATTCAATCTATAAGCCAATTTGCATTATGATTTCCTCCTTTGAATTATGAGTAAAAAAGCCCAGGAACCACAGCCAGGCCCTGATTGAAGCCTCATGATGAGCACAAGAAAGAAGGAAAGCCTGGGTGCCTGTGCTCATGCCTGTAATCCCAACTACTCAGGAGGCTGAGATCTGAGGTTCATGGGTCAAAGCCAACTGGGGCAGGAAAGTCCATAAGACTCTTATCTCCAATTAACCACCAGATAATTGGAAGTTGTGCTGTGGCTCAGAATGGTAGAGTGCTAGCTTGAGCAAAGAGCTCAGGGACAGCACCTAGGCCCAAAGTTCAAGCCCCCAGGACTAGCAAAAAAGAAAGAAGGGAAGGGAAGGGAGAAAGAAGAAAGAAAAGAAAGTTTAAAGCTAAAAACATTTACTGTCCAATCAAAGAGTCTAGGAAGACAAACAAAACAAGCATAAAGACCATAGTTATATAAAAAAAAATACAAAAGCAGAAGATGACATTTTGCCTTTCCAAAAGCAGATAAGTCTCTACAGCATTAACGTAGAAATAGAACTCTCATCCATTCACCAGTGGCTCATGTCTGTAAATCCTAGCTATTCAGGAGGCTGAAATCTGAGGATTGAAGTTTGAAGCCAGCCAGGGCCAGAAAGTCTGTGAGACTCTTATCTCCACTTACCACCAAAAAGCTGGAAGTGGAGCTATGGTTCAAGTGGTAGAGTGCTAGCCTTGAATGAAAAAAGCTCAGGGACAGTATCCAGGTCCTGAGTTCAAGGCCCAGTACTGGCACAAAACTAAATGAACTAAAACAGTTTCATAACAAACCCATGCAAGCTAGTAATGAAGAACTGAGATGGCTCTTTCCACCAGCAGCAGGCATTACAACACAACCACAGAAAGAAGCATTCCTATTAACATGCAGTCAGAAGGTAGGGAGGGTGATAAAGTTCAATGTACAGATGTGAAAACAGACCGAGGTAACCTGAGGGGATGGTGGTGTTGGCAGAGATAGGGGAGAATGACAGAAGGAGTGACACAGATTAGGATGTTGAGCTGAAATCCCTTTGTATAACTATTTAAAGATAATTTTGAAATTTCAAGGTAAATTTTATATATAGATGACTTAGCCAGGAGGTGATGCGTGCTTGTAATCCAAGCACTTAGGAGGAGGCAGCAGGAGGTTGGCAAGTTCAAGGTCTGGGCTACATAATGAGACTCTGTCTCAAAAACATTAAGGTAGGTGCCAGTGGCTCACTCCTGTAATCCCAGCTAGCCGGGAGGCTGAGATCTGAGGGTCGAAGTTCAAAGCCAGCCCAGGCAGGTAACCACCAGAAAACCAGAAGTGGTGCTGTGGCTCAAAGTGGTAAAGAACTAGCAGAAGGAGCTCAGGAATAGTGCCTAGGCCCCAAATTCAAGCTCTATGATTGACAAAAAATAAAAAACAACCAACATTAAACAAACATGAAACAATCAAAAAGATCTACAATGGATCCACTATCCCTAATTCTGTCCTGTGGAGAGAAAATCAATACCAAGAAAGAAATGGAGTGAACCAGAGGATAAAACCTATGGTATAAGAAAAGCAAACACAAAAAAATGATGGTATGGTGTACAGAGCAACAGGCAAAGGAGACCAAAAAACTGAACAGTTCTTAGTGATAGATGCCATAATTCTTAATATTTTCCCAAGTCAAGCCAACCAATTGGAAAAAAAAAAAAACCTATAAGAACAAATTAACATCCCAGTGCCTGGTACCAGTGATTAGAAAATTGAAGAGGCAAGCTGGGCGCTAGTAGCTCAGGCCTGTAATCCTAGCTACTCAGGACTTTGAGATCTGAAGATCACAGTTAAAAGCCAGCCTGGGCAGTAAAGTCCAAAAGACTCATCTCCAATTAACCACCAGAAAACTGGAAGTGGCGCTGTGGCTCAAGTGGTAGAGCACTAGCCTTGAGCTGAAGAGCTCAGGGTCAGCACCCAGGCCCAGAGTTCAAGCCCCACAACCAAAAGAAAGAAAGAAAGGAAGGAAGAAAGAAAGAAAGAAAGAAAGGAAGGAAGGAAGAAAGAAGGAGAAAGGAAGAAAAGAAAGAGAAAGAAAGAAAGAGAAAAGGAAAGAAAAAGAAAGAAAAAGGAAAGAAAAGAAAGAGAGAAAGAAAGGAAGGAAAGAAGGAAGGAAGGAAGGAAGGAAGGAAGGAAATCAAAGAAGCAGTCAGGTGCCAGTGGCTCCCGCCTGTAATCCCAGCTACCCAGGAGGCTAAGATCTGAGGATCGAGGTTCAAAGCCAGCCCTGGCAGGAAAGTCCGTGAGACTCTTATCTCCAATAAACCACTAGAAAACAAGTTAGTGGTACTGTGGCTCAAGCGGTAGAGCGCTCGCCTTGAGCTGAAGAGCACAAGGACAGCGCCCAGGCCCAGAGTTCAAGCCCCACAACCGACAAAAAAAGAAAAAGAAAATCAGAGAAGCAGCTGGTACCTAGCTACTCAGTAGGCTGAGATCTCAGGATCAAGGTTCAAAACCAGTCTGAGCAGACAAATCTTGAAAGACTTTTATCACCAATTAACCAGCAAAAACCTGGAAGCTGAGGTGTGGCTTAAGTGGTAGGTCAAAAGCTTTGAGGAAAAAAAATCCAAGTGAGTGTGCACGGACCTGAGTTCAAGCCCCAGTACTTGCACGAAAACAAAAACGAAAGGAAAAGAAGAGTAGACTAGAGTCACAGAAAATCTTCTATAGAATTGTGTATGCCTCATCCTGTCCTAGTAATGCAGCAGCCTCTGAGTGACAGGGACAGACAATTTCTTAACCAAAACTAGTGTCTACGTATGACAAAATGTTATAATCTCCTAAGTGGAATCATAGGTGTTCACACAATGTGTGTGTGGCACTAGCACTTGAACTTAGGACCCTGAACTTAGCAAGCAGGCATTGTAT